AAGAGCTCTGCCTTAATGCATCTTGATTCAAGACGAAAGGTTGTGCACATAAACACAAACACACACTCACGTAGCGTTTCCTCTAATAATCTCCCCCCTCCTCATCTGTCTTTCTATGACACGCACACACAAACACACACACACACACACACGCACACATCTGTATCCACTGCTCTGGGAAGCCATTAGTGTGACCCGGCCTTGATTACTTATTCATGGGGCAGACAGCGCAGAGTGAGGGGAGTTGAGTACCGGGGGGGGGCCTCAATTATAAGAACGCTCCTTTCACTTCACCCACATCTCGTGTCGCAGGTGGTTTGATTTCTTCCTGCGATGTCAGCGAAAGAAAGAAATGAGAGATTTATCTCCGAAGACAATTAGGATGTGTTTTAGTGTGGTTTGATCTGTATTTCAATGACGTCATGAGTTGTTTTCCGATGTTTGGACTTCCTGTTTGTTTCAGTCGCTTTGAAATCACAGCAGGCAGCAGAATCTGCACAGTGAAACCGACGAGGAAGACTCTTCAAACCTCCATCATCCTGGTGATTGTATGGACGTCTATGGGAAACGACTTGACTTCTCTCTGGGTTTATTCACTTAGAAAACAATGTAAAACAGCTGATGGTCTCAATCCCTAGTTTCCAGTCTTCTGAAGAAAAGCATTCTGGTGCATTTAGAGCCGGATGCAGCATAAAGTAGGTTCTGCTTGGGGACGCTGTGGGGCGGGGCTACTCTGATTGACAGGTCACGCTACCAGAGCCTTCGGGAAGCTGTATTAATTGTTCTTTCATCTCAGCCAGTGTTTTTTTACTATATGTTCATGAAAGTTATTATGAAAATGACTCTGTTACGTAGGTAAAGCAAGTTAATATCCGTCGTTGACTTGGATTGTCACATTATTTTGCTCATGTAGATATTTTAAACCAAGCGGGTCGAACCCTGTGACCGAGGTTCACACTGGCGCTTTCACTTCTGTAAACATCGTCTCACATTTCGTGTTGAAAGTCAGTGAACTCACACGTTTGTTCTGTTTGTGTTTTCGGAAACTCCTTTTTATTGGTTCATCTTTAGCCAGGAGGGTAGCAGCGGCCACGCCGCGCCGAGAGGAACAAACAAACCAAATCAAAAGACAAACAACAACACCGGCGCTCCTTCGCCTCCTCCGACCTGCAAAATAAATACCTCACTCGTGAACACCATCCTGGGGATTATTGTAAGCTCTATTGTTGCAACCGTTTAAATAAATACCCATGAAGCGGTGTAAGCGATGAAACGAAAAGTGTGAAATGCATATTGTTCCATATATAATATATTCATTTAAGATAGATTTCTATATATTTGTTCCATATACTCTTCTTAAATTCTTTTACAACACAAGATGCCAATTAGTACCAAAAGCGATGGTCGCTAAGACACGAGAGGAGAAGTGGTGACAGCGGCACAGCATCAGACATGTGGGGAACCTTTGGAGATGTTTGGGAGGCCTTGGGATTAAAATATCTGGATTAATGGACACTCGTGTTGTGCACACAGACACACGGCAGAGAGAGCGGACGTGAAGGACAAGGAGCCACCGACGCCGATGAAAACGTTACAAAGTAACAACTCATTGCTCCTAAATCTGATATTTTCCTCAAATGATTGATGCCATCATGCAACTTGCTCGCGTCAACATCCATCCGACTGGTTCTAAATAAGGATGCATTCATGGGCATGATATCAATAAACAAATAAGTCAAATGATTCATATATGCAGGACGAAGCAGCTTGAGACTGAAAACAGACACAAATGATTGCAGTTAGTTTTGGTCTGAAGATGTTTTGCATCCCTTTGTGTGATGTTTAGGGTCATTGGGACCCTTTTTTTGTGGGGGGAAGCCCTTGGGTGCAGGAGAGGTATTTCCGTTTGCACTTCAGGTTCCTGGTTTGGCCCCCCCCCCCCCCCCCACGAAGCGCCGCGTGCTGAAGAGGTCACTGCTGGACGGCTGTGACTGTCAGTATGAGAGCTGTGCTCTGAACACGGAGGAGACGTAACCCTTTCGAACATGTGCAACAGTTTCCTCCGTATCGTCAACCCGCTTCCACTCAAATCTGTGAATCTGACATCCAGCCAATGAGGGGCCGGTGTGTGTGTGTGTGTGTGTGTGTGTGTGAGACTCATGTCCACAGTAATGCAGTTGCATTTGAAAACAACGTTTTCGCTCAGATTATTGTTTCCAATCACCATAAGAGTCGAACGGCGTTTGTCTCGTGTTGTGTCAGCGTCTGTTCATTCACGCAGCGTGCATGCAGGGTAGAATGTGCCGGCGCATAATGCATTGTTTTCCCATGACCAGCTTACGTGAGCGGTTTGGGGAAGCTCAGGAGTTTTGTTCTGCTTATGGTGGTTGAAAACTTTCACTTCATCAACATTTTCAAATTCATCTGCACCAATGTGGACACCGCGTAAACCGAGGTTTTGGTTTGAAAATATGTGCGGTGATGAGAAAAATAAAGCTTAAAGTGAGGAAAGTTGCAACATTAAAAAAAAGAACCAAACATTCACATCATAATTCAGTGTGTCCTCCACGGTCGCCAACCTGTCCGTCAAAGCGAAACCAGGGAGGACAGAAACATTTGGGGAAACAATCGCATTAAAGCGACCCTGCTTATTGTTTGAACCCCAAATTCATGAATTAAAAAATGTATCTTTAAGGTGGCTTTCTCGTCAACGATGTTACACATCGAGAATAAACGTTTTGTGCCGAAAGAGCAGAGCTCAGCTTCTGTTTCTAGATACTAAATGTTACTAATGTTTACTGTCAGAGTTGCCCCAAAAGTTTCTGAATTGATCCCAAGTGGACAGCAAAGTAAAGTAAAGACCAAACATCAATCTCATATAAAGAACGTAAAGCAGAATAAAAATAGTTATTAGCCCATATTTACATATAAAAATATAGCAAAGTAACATTTTTTTGGCTTCCTTGAAGAGCCGCCCACTTTTATTGTCTTTACGTTTGACACAAAATTTGAGCCTGAAGTGCGGTTTTTTTTTGTTGCATAAAAGGCCTTCATCTGACTGAATGGCGACATCAGCATTTCCTCTTTTCTCCCAGCATCCCTCTCCTTCCTCATCAGCTGCCAAACACCACACGTCCACTCATCTCCTCCCTCCCTCCCTCCCTCCCTCCTTCCATTCTTCTCTGGCCCATTAAGAGCTATCATGGAGCTAATTGCCTGTTTGATCAGCTCTCTGTGGACCAGGAACTGGAGGCTTTTAGCCCACTGAGCGGGAGAGGAGAGGCGGACGAGGCAGCAGGGATATATGTGTGTGTGTGTGTGTGTGTGTGTGTGTCAGCTGGCCTTTGTTTGTTGGGTTGTAATTGGTTTCATTTTAAAAGCTCCTTATCATTTTTGTTCGACCTTCTGCACATTACCGGGATCAGCTACTGATTTTCTTTTGGTCTCAGTGGTGTCGACAAAGGGATGCTAATATAGCTTATTTTCTAACCAATAGCCGGACCTCGTTAACCGACAGAGTTGGCGACTTTAATGCGCGGTGCTGAGGTTAAAGTGACCCAGGTAATCACACCGACACGCGGCGCGCTACCTCCTCCGGTTCTACCGAGGTAGCGTCTGCATTCTATCTAATGTCCATCAGGGGGCGACTCCACTGGTTGTACATCAGTCTATGAGGAAATTACCTTAATCTCCCAGTGAACATGATTTTCATTTAGTAAACGTCACGTGCCTGTGTCTTATTTCCACGACAAACACGACAAAAGTTTTGCTCAGCTTTTGTTTTTGAACTACTAAATCATTTCTGTTAAATTGTAGTTGCTTTAATCAGACAAAAATTGTTACTGTTGGTTAACGGTTAAATGTCAGTGTCACTACTTTAAATTAAATTCAAATTCAGTCATTCAATCAGTTTAGTTTAGAGGTAACTTTTCTCACTATAATTTCATTGGGGCAAAATCATTTCTCAAGCTACCGCTTGACGTGTTCTATGGGCTGCAAGTCCTCAATCCACGTATTGACCGGAGCATCTCACTCTCATTCAGGCAGTTGGGAGTAAAAAGTCGTCTCATTCGTGGACGGGAGGAGTAGAGGAGCTTGCGGAGTGGGGGGGGGGGTCGGGTGGCGACAGGCTGACTTCGAGAGGAAACCCGACCAGACCCTCAAAGCTCCACTGAAGCAGCGCTGCTAAAAATAAGACAAGGGAGGCTTCTGCTGCCGAGAAAAAACCAAACATACGCAAAGCTTCTACATGCATAGGTTGTCGTACAGTAGGAGGACACACACACACACACACGCTGCCTGGTGACAATGAATGCACCCTCCCTCCGGTTAAATAATCCTCCCTTCAGCTCTTGGCTTCTGGGGTAAACATGGTCCATCTACCTCACAGTGCTTTTGCTTTACAAATGAGCTTAATAGCGTTGACATTCACTCAGTTCATGCACTGCATGGTCCCTTGGTTTGGTGTCAAACAGTCACAGATGTGTCTTTGTTCTCAGTTTATGCCTCTGGGCTTTTTGTTAAAACACTAATAGTCAAACGTACACTGCGGCACAAGGTCTTTTATGTGTTTCTTCGTTCATTAATCGAGGACTTTTTGAGGAGCCTTCAGAACGTCACGGTGCTCAATCTCTCATGCATCTTCTGATTCTGTCTCGTTGAGGACAGAAAATGTGTTGGCATTGGCCATCTCACATCGCCACGGGGCGATTCTCCGTCCATCGCCCGTCCTTGACTTCCCTGCAGAGGGTGGGGAGGAAGGTTCAACAATAAATAAATAGATTTAACGCGTCGCAGAATCCACAGAGAGGTGTTTTCTGTCTGGATGTCTCGGTTAAGGTCAAAGGGCAGTTCCCCAAATCACAACAAGTTCTCTTCTTCTTCAGCTTGACGTCTCCCACGTGAACAGGCACAGTAAAGCTTTGGTCCCTCCTGAGCTGGAGATGGAGTAAGTTCAAGGTATATTAGGTGAACAACACGGTCGGTTTCGTTGGCTTGTCGTATGTAGGTGGGTGGGACGCATTGGCATTGTCGTCACAACGTCGGCTGTGGCACGCTTGATTGGCGACGGCGTTGCTTTGGCGGCGGGCCGGGTGGAGTCCGATTCCAGGCCTGTCATAAGGGCTTCTCCAGTGCCTTGCTGCGGAGCGAGGGGGCACCGGGGTTAGGGTGGAGGCGGAAATCTTGCGGCAACCGTGTTGGTGTTGCTGCCCTGCAGCCGGGGCGCGTGGAGCGTCGTGGGCGCACTGGCACAGGGCAAGGCACAGCCTGGCGAGGGGGTAGCAGCAGAGGCAGGGCAGGCAGAGCGCCAGCAGCCCCATGGTGCCCCAGCGGGCACAGGCGTGGGCCGGGGCGCAGGAGCACGGCCGATCAGCGCAGTTGTCCTCGTCGTCCTGGGCGGAGCAGTGGTAGAACAGGCCTTTGACGCAGCACAAGCAGGTTCCGTACTCCACGGCGCTCTCGGCGGAGCACAGGCAGCGTTGTCCGCAGGCCCAGCAGGAGGGCAGGCGGCGGGGGGCGCAGCACTCTCGGCACTTGCAGCGACCGCACCGCTCGCAGATGAACAGGTGGCGGCCCGGCTCGCCTCGTCCTCCGCCGGGCCTTTGCGAAAGGAGGCGTCAGGCTTGAGTTCTCCTTTGGGCTGAGAGCGGACCACCGAACCCAGGTCGAAACGGGAAGGCGTCAGACCCGCCAGTAGCCGCTGGTCCCGAGGTGGCACTGGTCCGAGACATGGAAGAGCTTATGGTACTGGAACGGCTCAGGTGGGACAGGTGAGCGTGCTGCTGACTGTGGCTGCGGGGCAGGGCCGAGTGGAAAGAAGGCTGTGGGTGGTGGGGGTGTACTCCATGAGGGTAACGGTCTTCGTGGGGATAAAAAAACCCGGACAGGGACGCCGGTTCCAGCGCCACGGGCCTCTCCACATAGTCATTGTTGGCCCGGATGGCACGTATCTGGTCGAGCGACAGCACTGGGACCTGCTGGGGGTCCAGCTCCGTCCTGAAGGAATGAGCGGGGTCCATCCTGAGGAGCCAGGCTGGGTAGCACCAGGGGGGAGGCCGGGGCTGGGGCGAGGGGCTCCCAACGCTCACGGCACATCAGATAAACCTGCAGACACACACAGAGAGAAGGCGGAGAGACAAACATTCGTCAGACGAGCTCGTTTTAGACTCGCATCCCTTTTCCGTTGAGCACATATTGCTCCAATTGCATAATGCATATGCACACACCTATTTCTGAAATATATGGACACCTTTTACTATTTAGCTTGTAGCATATTGTACAGAAAGTGAACAGAAATGAACTCCGCTTGAATCTAGATTTAGCGCTCCACCGTCATATTTATAACTACAATCGCCCAAAACAAGCAAATATTTTTGTATCTTTAATTTCTAAATAAACAGCTTTAAAATGTAATATTTCGTCTAACAAACTGTCCTGAAAGAGCCAGATATTCAATCAACAACAGTATGAAACCTCCAGTGGACAGAATGGTTGGCATTATTGATACCGAATGACCTGCAATGACACCGATTCTCTGATGGAAGGACGACTCTGCTCCCCAGATCTCCCCCCAGCGCCTTTCAGAAGTGACGTCACGTTACAACAACAGCAAAAAGGCAGCCTGTTACTCCCCAGAAATGTGTGCGGCACAGCCTCCACATCAGCCGTGTCATCATGACCGCCGAGGTTCTCCACCGCTCAGGCCAACGCTATTATTAGCCCGCCGGAGCCCGAGAGATACGACCATCAGGTCCACACTGTAATTTAGCATCTGTTGAACACAGCTGCTGCCGCCGCGGAGGAAACCCACCTGCAGAGCCGGGCAGCGCTGCCAAGCCGGGGCGGCCGGAGAGGCCGCCGAGGATTTCGTTCTGAATTTAGTCCTTGTATATCTGCCGAAGGGTTTGCAAGCTCAACAAGGTCGCTCGAGTATTTGGAATTGGTCCCATTGAGGACAATCTCATTGACATGGAGGCTTATTTTAGAAGACCTGAGATTAAATACAAAGTGCACTGAGTTGTGGTTTGTGGATTCAGCCTTAGGACGTGGTTTCTTTAATGGTTACCAATAACTGCCTTTAAAAATGGAAACATCAACCCTGGAGTGTTTCCTGGTAAACTCTGCAAGCAAATGTTTCCGCATAGTTAGTTAGTAGCATTATAACGCTAATAAAACAAAGATATTTGGGTCATTATATAACTTGTCCCTTTGAGTAGCTACGGTATAACTAAGCTGAATAAACTATACGGGACTATATGAAAGTAGAATGCTGATGAATAAACACTATAGAAGTGCATTGTTTACAAATTGAATGCCTCGAAATGCTTGAAAGTTAAATCTAAATTTGCTTATGAGTGGAGTAAATGCATGAGCCAAAAAATTAAATTAAGTAAAGTCTGGTAGAAAGTGCAGCTGATTTGATTCCCTGCTTAGACATCAGATGAGCAATGAATGAAAAATCCCCAAATTCTGGAAGAAAAGCCTCACATCTGCTGCTCACTTTGGAAGGGGAATGTATATTTGTAATTGTGTGTGCGATAAACACGGCAACAACCAAAAAACTCCCCAAACACTATCAACACAAACACACACACGCTGAGCTTTTCCACGCACACAAAGATCCTGCAGGTCTCGCCGGGTGGCCGTGGGGGGGGGGGGCGGCTGCTCCTCACATGGTGCCGGTCCTCTCAGAGGCTAATGATGCCAAATGGGAAGGCATTAGAAGCTGCTCACATCATGAGATTAGATGGAGGAAGGAGGTAAGAGGAAGCAGCACACCAGCGTCTTCGTCCACGTGAATACAGTTATACAGTTTATGATTCGCTGACCACACTCCCCCGAGATGGAGGCTTCTCACGTTGTTTTCTTGGGGTCGACATCCTCGCTGACCAGAAGAACAGAGGAGCGGCACTTAAATGTCTAAGCTCCACAAACCTCTGGCTTTTATTCCCAGGAGGAGTATTTAGTAACGAATATTTATATGCTCCAGCTCAGATTAGCAGTGATGGAAGCGTGTTGGATTTGTGGGATCTTGGCAAAGATTTTTTTTGTAACTTTCCTGAACCAACAATATTGGACATTCAAACCCAGGTGACGCAGCAGAGCAGCTAAAAACACTCCGGTGACAATTTGTGCTCACTAACTAGTTTCCTTCAACTTTAACTTCCTTAAAGTGCATCGAATGCTGGATACGCCTTCGCTCACTCCTCTTGTCAAGAGTCGCAGAGTGCAAGCCGTGGAAACACAACGATAACACAACAATTCTGTGTGTCCACACAATTCATCACGTGATCAGAAGCAGCAACCAAAGTTTACAGTAGGGACGGGTCGTGTGGTTTATATCAGGGCTGCATGTCATATTTATTTCCATTATGTACTGTTTCGTTCATCTAAAATCAATTTACGAGGACAGAATGTCAAATTGTTTCCTCCATCCAACAGTTGCAAAACCCAAATGTACCAAGTTTGTTCTTAAGAACAAAAAAGGAAAACGTTTCTTTAAAATATAAATCACCTTTCACAATTGTCTTTTTCGATCCAGCACTTTTTTGAATAACAACCGTTTAAGAGGATAAATGCATCACAATGCCACCAAACAACCTAATTAAAAGCAGATTACTAATCACAAATATTATATGATATTATTGCCCTGTTAATTATACCTCGAAGTCCTCCGGGGGCTTTCGAGCAGTCTTTAGGGGAAAGCGGGGCCCCTTCCCCCCCACATCTGTTCGGAGGTTTCCAGGGGGGCAGCGGATAAGAAGCTGGGGCGGGATGAGGAAGGTTTTTCCCGTGGTTCCCGAGAGAGAGGAGTCTCCGGCCCATAATTCTTATCGGGCAGAGGGGTAGAATATGGGCCCCGTTAATTTGTTGAAAAAAGGGAATACGAGGCCATTTCCATGACCTCATATTCATTTCCTGCTTGAGTCAAACGCTTTGACGTCATAGAAAATCTCAACTAGCCCTAAAACGCCGTTACAATGCACATAACCCTCGTCCACAGTCCACAGTGAAGAGGAGAGTTCACGGGAAGCAGGTTTGAACCAACACGGCCGACAGAGCAATGAGCGACTTATCCATTGGACATCCATCCCGCCTTTGTTAGCAGCATCCACACATTTTCTGTTTCTTTTTACTACGTTGCGTTCTGTAAAATGTGCAAAGAAGCGTTGGTCGAGCATCCAGGGTGAGGAGAGAGAGAGAGAGAGAGAGAGAGAGAGAGAGAGAGATGGTGTTTCAAGAGGCCAACAGTGGAAACCTGAGCATGGACCTTTGTGCTGGGGGAGTATCGGTAATGACCGAGGCCCCGCCATGACACTCACATGCACAACCAACATTTACACGGCTGGGTTTGAACTGTCTGGAAGTGTGGAAACATCCAAAATCGAAAACACTTGCGTTGTCTTAAAACGTACATAACTGTGACCCTGACTGGGTGTTCATCTGGTCAGTCAGGACTCTTCGCACGCCTGAAACGCTCGTGATTTAAAGCGGGGAACCCCGTCTCCCTCCCCTCTTTAGCATCGACGCTCACGCCACTACACCCAGGTGTTCTTCTCCACGTGCACGTGTCAGGAGAACATTTCTAAAGAATTAATTTAAAGGCTCAATCTGTAGAGGTTTTGTTTCTGTCCATCCTGTTTGTTACATCCTGAAATGTGAGCAGTAAAGGGAAAGTGAGCGGCTCCCTCGTCCGTCCCCGACGCCCCGCTGACTTGGACTCGGCCCGCCGATGGTCGATTGGCTCTGACGGCCGGAGCGTCGCTGCATCTCTCGGCGGTGACATCATGGTTTCGGGGCTATTTTAGAACGGACTGCAGTGACCCTTCGCCTTGGAATGAGGAGGGGTTGCCCTCTCTTCTCCTCCGCTTTCCTGTCGTCGTCTCCTCCCCCCCCCCCCCCTTCCTCTCGCCCTCTCACATCACCTCCTCCGCTGTCCTTCACTCCCTTTTCTTTCCCCCTTCGTGTCCACAGTGTTAAACAGGAGCTTTTTGAATTCATTTAAATTAGCAGCTCAGCAGTGGCCCTCAAAAACAAACAAATAACCTAAACTTGCAACATGTACAAGTATGACATGGAAAAGTTAATCCTCAATTCATGTGCGTTTTATGTGCACATCCTCACATGGGAAGTTTTCAATGTCCGTCCTTGTTAATAATACGGTATAATACATGGAGGTGAGCTTACTGATTCTTTAGCTCACTGGTTAGGTAGCTGGTTTTTTTATTTATATATCCTTATATTTTTTTATATAGCGGTTGATTTGGGTAGCAAACAAATGGTATTTGAACATCTCTTATTTGGTACGTTCATGTGTAAAAACGTTGGACTGAACGTACTGAACGAAGCAAGCAGCCGCTTTGACCCACTTCAAAACAGACTCATTTAAAGAAGCACTACAAAGCCCCCAAACGGACGTCCAACGTTGATTCCTGCACACTTTAACCTCAAAGTTAAGGTTTTTCAAAAGCATATTTAATAAAATTTGACAGATTGTCTTTGCAAGTTCTATGTTCTTCAAAGCTTCACAAAATGTAAAAGGACAAGTATGACATATTATGTAAAATCAAGTTTAACAAACGAGAATAAATGAATGAGTTGCATATGAAAACATTTAATCCCCTTTATAGTTCTGGGTGCGTGGGACTGAGGCCCCATCAGGCTCTAGGACCCAGGGGCCTCCCCCCCCGGCGCCCTGCGGGAGCTCAGCCGGATTGAATGACAATAAACTGGATGAGATACCGGATGTGCCGAATCTGACCCCAACGGAAAGACTGAAATAGACACTGCAGACCAGCAAGTCCAGGCCGGGGGGGGGGGGGGATTAGGGGTGGGATTGGGAGACCAGAAGGGGAGGGAGGACGAGAGGCAGTGAATGAGTGAGGGACGATGAGGCCAATAACTAACAGTTACAAAATTTTGCAAGAAAATGTAACAGTGCAGCAGAAGACGTCGTCTCTCTCGCTTCTAGAGATTCACACTCGGAAACCACGGTGATTGGGGCCCCAGGGTGAAGGGCCGAACTTTTTCTACAACAGCATCAGTCAAAGCCGCGCTTCTAAGGCAAAAGTCAAGAACCCTAAATATTATCATCAACAGAGAGGAAAGACCACCGAAGAAATTGATTTATTCAAGTTTCAACGAAACCACCTGACCCTAATACCAAAAACAGTCCATCCAACAAAGTGATGATACGGAGAGGTCAGAGAGATAAGACTGTGCCGAGCGTGGTGACGGAGTTTGTGGGGTCCAAAATGTGAGCTTGAAAGCAACTTAGAAAACTGGTACCGTCTACTTTCTTTGAGAAAATGCTCCTTAAACTTAAAAAGGGGTTTCATAAAAATGCCCGTTTGGCCCAATAAGGTTGATAACATTTTGACTTCAAATGCTTTTTCTAAGGTACAGTAAAGCAAGTCATTCTGTGTCCAAAGTTACGATAGACCGTGTGCACATCAGCCTGGTAGAAATGGTGACAAGGAGCCAGAAGTCCTAAAGTACCTTGAAGCTGCATTCTCTCTAATGACCACCAGGGGGCGACTCCTCTGGTTGTGTAGAAATCTGTGAGAAAATTACTTTTTCTCACATGAGCTTCAAACACAATCAGAAAAGAAGTTGAAGTTCTGTATTCCACCAAATCTTCACCATCAATTCTTTGAGGAAGACAAACCTTTCCTTTGTTTTTCCTCTTTCTTTCCTAACGAAGCTTTTTTACTGCTGATCTCCGTTTGTGTGGTTCTACGTTGCATTAGTCGATGCATTAGCTCTTCCGCCGTGGCGTAACCCATCGCACCCGCCACCCCCCCCCCCTCCGCCACACACGCCCTGCGCCCTCGCCATCCATTTAACCATCCATCCATTTCATCATTCGTTCATCCACCCGCCATATTCCTCCTCTCCTCCATCCAACCATCCCTGGTCAATCCCTCCCTCTGCCCCAACAAAACCACTCCTCTGCCCCCGTCCCACCCCGGCGGAGATGGATATTGACATTCTGCATCCGACCTTGAGGACAATCAATCACAACCCTGCATGTCCCCCTAACTCACACACACACTCACTCACACACCCACACACACACACAGCGGGCGGATGTTAACAATCAGTTAATGCGAACAATCTTCACTTTGGAAGGAACCGTTTTGGTGTTTTTTACAACTTTCTCCAAAAGTCAGTAAAAACTCTAAATTTAAAAACGCTTTACGGGAGAAGATGTATGCATCTGGGGTGCTTTATCACCTCCATCATACTCCAGAAACATCTGTAACTTTATATTATTAAGCAAAAACAAATCCCTGTTTTTAAAACAAACCTTTTTTAAATATTTCTCTCGTTTGTTAAACTTTTTTTTTCATCCCAAGGTCACGCGGATCATCGACATCATCAGCAGAATGGCGATAGCTTGAATTCATGATTACCTCTGATCGGTGGGAGATCCATTCTGCAGCGTCCCGGGTGTCTGTCTTTGCGTGTCTGTGTGTGTGTCTCTGTGTGTGTCCTGACAAATTAACTTGTACTTTGTCTTTGGGACCCAGTGATGGATTTCCGTTGCAATTTGTTGTGATGCCTAAATGTTATTTTACGGTGCGGTTAACCGCTCTCTGCTATCCAGCAACCGTATGTTATGAGATCACAGGAGCTTTGTTGTCTACGGGTGTGTGTTTGTAAGGCAGGGAGGATGCTCCCCTTCAGCGAGGCGCTCCCTCCTCCTCCTCCTCCTCTTCTTCCTACTCCTCTTCTTCTTCCCGGAGCTCCAACCCGGAGCGCTCTGGTCTCCTCCCGAGGAAAGTCCCTCCTTCCTACGAGCTCCTCTCTCCACGTTGTGAGTGCAGCCGGAGGGCTTCCCTCCTCGGAAACAGTTTAATTCTTCGGTTTTCGGAGAGTCCAGGAGCACAGGAGGAAGTATCTCCGTGCAGAGAGGAATGAAAAGCTGCAGCACGATACTTTGGGCTGTAGAAAGGAAACTGCAGCTGGTTTAAAATAAGAAGCTTCAGAGATTAAACACTGAACTTTAGAATAAAAATCTTCCTTGTTGTTCTTGTTTGTGTTCCCGTCCGTCTGTAGTTTCCTCTCCTCTCCCCGAGAGATGAATGACTGAGAGCTCTGCCCCCCTCTCTCTCTCTCTCTCTCTCTCTCCCCCTCCCCTCTCTCACCCCTCCTTCCTCCCCCATCACTGAAATCAGTTCACTTCAGCTCCACGAACATGACGGGGCAGAAGAGCTCGTGTTGTATTTCATTTGATTCATCGATGACTTTAAGACGGATTGGAGGTTCGCTGCCGAACACATTGAAGTTGAAAATGAGTGTTTTGATATTCCTTCTGATTCATCTCTGACTGTAGTTTGTGGTCAGATGATGTAACACATCCTCACGCAGAGTGGTAACTCATGTGTACAGTCCTTTCAAAATAAACATCCTTCTTCACTACTTTTAGGGTAAGATCATGGTGCAGAAGTTGCGTGAGTAATACATCTTCTGCTGTCATTATTCTTCCTGTTTCACGATAGTGTGATAATTAGCATTCATTTTGAGGGGTATCTACAAAATACTGAGCATCTTTTTTGGTACAAGTGAATCACAAGATTTGAAAGCGTATTGTTGCAGTTTATCTTTGCGCCTGAATGTTCGTCTTCTTCCGTTATTCATAAAGGTGAATCAAATATGAAAGACATTCTGTTTGTGTCAGTTGTAAAGTATTTAACATTCTGTTCATGTTAAATAATGAATCATGCTTATACATCATCGTTGAATATACGCTGTTATTCTGACACTTTATTTGTGTCTTGATTCTTCATGCAGAAGGGCTCATAATGGCGTCGCTTCATGCATCATATGTTGAGTTTGTCAAAATCTGCAGCCTCTCCTCGACGTGACGGATACGAGCGAGCAGCCTTTTGGTTGTTTATCGGTCCAACGGCGTTAGTTGAATTTTGTACTTTGGTGACGCCCCTCACGTAGTCATTTCAGCCCAAAAGCTGCATGAGGACATGTTGATAATTTAGGGGATTCTGAACAACGCAGTGCACTTTTTATGATATTTATTCATTATATTACTGTCGATTCTCACTCACTCATTCCATAAGGACGAGTGACATCACTTACAATATGCTGCATGACTGTAATATGAACCTCCTCTTGTGTCTGCGTGCGCGGACGCTCAAGCATGTGCACGTGCGTGTGCTTTTGTCTCTTTTGGTCGGTGCCCTTACTCAGCAACTTGCAACCATCCGGACCGAATGCAAGACACACAGAGTGTAGACACACACTCACACACACACACACACACACATTAAAGTAACCGGACACGGGTCCATAATGTGGGAGGGGTGGGGGGGGTTCTGTTTCCTGCTGAGGAAAATATCTGAGATGAAACAAACTGCTGAGAGAGAAACAACACAAAAATGGGATGCTGTAAAATAAATCAGTATTTATTAAAAAAAAGCAGAAATAGTGTTAATAAAAAAGGTATCACAAATTATCCAAAACATTCCAAACATTCAATCTTTTCTTAATCTGAATGTTAGCAAAACGAAACCACGCCAGCGCACAGACACCCGGTTTGTAAATTCATTGTTCTGCTGAAAGGATTTCCTGATAATGCAACTTGCACGTCGCCAACTAAGCGAAACCAACCGAATGGAGATGACGAGAGATGTTCTGGGTCACGCCGGGATCAATGTCAGATGGCCTGGTTAACAGCGTGCGGCTCGACAAAGTCATTTGTTTCTGCCGGCGCTCCGCTCCGAACGCGCGCTTCCTGTGTGCGTTGGTGTCATCGTCCACGCCTGCTGACCGGGGTGGTGGGGGGGGGGGGGCGTCCCAACCAAAAAAGCACATGGGCGTCAACTTACGTAACACGTTACAGTATCCCACACTGGCCTCTGAGGGGACGAGGTCGGGTGTGACACATCTGCACACTTAGTGATTATTGGTTTCGTGACAAACGTAGAAATAGAAAATTCCAATCAACGCGCGCAGGAAGTTCAAAGGGTCGGCCATTTTTTTGCGTTCCTTCGTGGCACGCTAACTTACGTATGAGGAAGACTGAGTCAAAGACTCACCGAGGGAAGGTTCTGCAGGAATGAATAAAAGGAGACATGCAGATGTGGCCTCACGAAGCACAGTGGAATTAGTTAGTTAGCTAGCTAACTAATTCCATTGCTAGCTAACTAACTAGCTAGCTAACTAACGGACACCTGACAAGTTAACCAGCTTATTCCACCGTGCTTTAATACTTCACCTGTTACTGAAAATGAACCAAAAACAGTGGACAAGTTACAGAGACCAAAAAACTTGAGCTCAGCAAAACCTTTCAGAATTGTTGCGATAACAGACACAGAAACCTCAATGTCTGTTTGAGTCTAAATGGACCATAATTTACTAAATGAACATCGTGCTCTATCGGAAAAGACTAACAGACTTTTGCTGTATTTGGTGTCACTTGCCTCCTGAACCTCCACCCACGCGCACACCTTCTAATTGTTGCTGATATTTGGGTGTAGAGAGGAAGAAGAGCCACTGATCCATTAACTGACCAGGAAAAGCTTGATTAGCTCCGGACAAAGCCCTGAAATAGAAGGATTTGGCCGTCGGCCAAGCGCCCATTTCCTGTGTGTCTGAGAGTAGCTCCAGCCACCGGGGCTCAAATGCATTTCCTGACTGTGAATAAAACTTTTATTAATGACCAGGAGTGCATCAGCGGCTCGCCCACACTCACTCATTCACTCGCTCATCAAGGCGAGAGGGGGGCGAGAGAGAGAGAGAGAGAGAGAGAGAGAGCAAGGATGATGGGAGTGAAAATGAGCTGCAGGGAGACGTTGTGAGACAAGCGAGGGCAGGAGGGAGGGTGTGTGGGAGACAAAGAGAGACACTGATGGATAGATCAGGAGATGAGGAGATAGAATTAAGTGAAACAAACCAGAGCCCGGACATTAAAAGAGAAAGAGAGATCGGCAGGAGGTTTTATACGGGCTCCAACCTACAGTATCTCTTACAGCGTAACTTTGTTGAGATAACGGTCACTCAGTGCACCTTTCCTCTGCTGAACTCGTCATGTAGACTCAAATACTTGGTTCCCCACAAAACAAAGACCGACAGTAGGGCTGCACAATCTAATTTATCCTCATACAAGGGTTCTTGTTTTGCCTTTTATGAACAAGTCATACCTTTCAAGTTAGTCAAATCTGCATTCTATCTACTGACCAGCAGGGGGCGACCCGTCCGGTTGTGTGGAAGTCAATGAGAGAATGACTTTGTGGGATTATTTGTCGTGCCTCTCTCGTGAGATTATCTGTTACGCTAAAAGTCAGAAACCACGTGTTGTGGTCTCGACGCACGCCCTGAAAGGTGAATGGGGAGCTTTCAAGTGCGTATAGAGGAGCGTGATTGAATCCAATGAGATGAGGGCTGTCAATGCCCTCCTGGCAGGGAGGAGGGACAGAGGAAGGGAGAGCGATGACCGCCATGACTGGTGGGAAACTGAAAACATCCACCCTGGTTACAGCTGTTATATCCCCATCTGCATAAGCTGCAGCAACGTGGCAAAAAAAGACAAGATGATCATTCGGATCATTTTGTCCGCTGCCTGTTGTATGTTGGTCCTCTGCTCTGAAACTTTTCAAGGGTTGCGAAACCATTAAAACTCGATTAGTTGTGCAGCTCTTTGTGGTATTGTCGTCATTTTGTTAAAAAAAGGATATAATAGATGAGAAGTTTGGGACCTGGTTGCTGTCTTGACATTGAGTCTTCGCTAGCATTGTTGATGCTAATAGAGCTAGAAAATAAACAAAACTCTTAATGTGACGAATTTTCTTTGTACCGCAGCCTTTTTCAGCTCCACCAACACCCATGTGGAGGCGGAGGGTGGGGGTGGCAAACACGCACACACACTTCCCGACCCCACAGCGAGGCAGGGGGCTTCGGCGGGTCGCTGACCCCAGGCATGGGGCCTGGTTCCTGGGGGAGAGGGGTCGATAGTTCTGGCTGTGTGGGGCAGAAGGTGTCAATAAGGGCAAAAGGCAGAGAAATGTTATTTTTCATTTGCTTAAGTGTTACATTTTTTTGTGTTTTTATTTAATTATAAAATGAATCTTCCCTTTCCAGTGAGTATAAATTACTCTGGGAACTCGTTACAACGGGACAATTTAAGATTAAACATATTTCCGCATTAAAGGTTTCACATGTTTCATATGTTAAATACTATTTACAAAGTTAAAAGCAACATTTTCACAATTTAACAAGGATTAACTGTGACTGTGACACAAACGGTTCCTGCCCAAAGGGGAAAAAAGGGCCGTGATCACATTGAGGTTCAGGTAACATCTACTCATTGAGAGTGAATAACCTTATAGGTGCTGGTAAATAAGTCATATCATTTGCATATCATATTTTAATATATTGTCAATAGGGTTCAGGGATTGTTTTATTTTCCCTTTCAACTTTCAAAAGCCCTCAAAATGAACTTTATTTGATTCCATTTCAAATCATTGACCAGCTTCATTCCGTGTTGCCACCTTTTGTTGATGAATTCCCCCGTTTTTTTGCCCATATTAATATCATACTTCCATTCATGCCAATAAAGCACATTGATCTGATTAGAGAGAGAGAGGGAGCAGCAGACCGGAGTGCGTAATGGGGAAGCATTGATTATGGCTGTTAACTCTGGCTCTTTGATGCGGATAATGCAGTCTCTCTCTTCCTGCCCGGTGCACTGGCTTTACACTCTAAAACCCCGGGGCCTCAGAGGATATTGGGTTTGCAGAGAGGGAGCGGCTACGTCACACTTGGTGCATAAGCTCGACTCTGACAGACAGAACTTCTGTGGAAGTGGGAGAATGATGCGGCTGTGTGTTTAAGAGATTAAATGTTTAAAAAGACACTAGAAAAGAGTGACAGAGGTATGAGTCTCTGGTAGAGACCTGTCGCTCAGGAGCTAGCCCCGCCCCCCAAGCCTACCCTGCTTTAAGGTCTGTCTGACTAAAATGAATCAATGCTGATTAAAGACTTGAAGGTAGAGATTGAGACCATAAACTCAGGTTTACAGTGATTACTGAGGGAATAAATCAAGGGAGAAGTAGTAGTTGTTTTTTTCTCATAGACTTCTACGGGACCAGAGGAGTCGCCCCCTGCTGGTCACTGCAGAGAATGCAGCTTTAAGACATTCAAGGGTCGGCTTTACTTTTAAGATCTGGATGTTTCCCTCCATGAAGTTCTGATGAGCTGATTTTAACAACCTGCCAAGCACCTTTTCGTGTTGGTCTTGGATATTTCTCCAAAACATCAGTCTCCTTGTCCTCTTTTCCAGACCCCCCGAATAGGATCGCTTCGCACGCCGTCCGTCGTCGGTGACGGCCACTAACCATTGACGTTCTGGTCCCTTCAAAGTGATCCTCCGTCACTGCCTGGGTCTGGTTACGCGGCCACATGACGGTGAATGGGGGCAAAATGGTTGCCGAGCACCCAGGCGAGCCGAGCCCTACAGAACTGCCGTGACCTCATTCTCCGTCTCTCTGCTCCATCAGCTCCACTCGCAGCGAGCTGCTGAGGAGAGCCGGCTCTCTCTGCTGGAGACCCGTGGAGTTACAGCTTCATTCGAGAACACGTGCTGAATGTGAAGCACCCGCTTTAACAGCAGGTGCATGCTGGGATGGATCTCTGCAGGCGAGGGCACTTGAAGGAAAAAATAGGGGGGCAGGTTTGTATTGAAGGTACGACCCATCGGATGGATTGTAAAGCATGTTTTTCTTTCGCAATCACCAAAAATGTGTTTATCCCAGTGATTACCGAAGGTAAAAACATCAAACCAGCGCAAACAAAGTTTGAACATTTTCATGAAAAACATGAAACTTCCATTAAACATGAATGTTTTATTCCTCAGCAGAATTTGCTTCCAACAGTCACGTCACAAAAAATCTCTGAAACCGAACAGCGAGCTCAGAAATACTTTTAGAAAAGTTCTTACGGCACGCTAGCTGTGTTACATTTTGCAGCTTTCTCTACTGATGGCGCCGTTTCCAAAGAGGTGCAGACTTTTATTTGCACATTTAAATGTGACATGAGCAAAGAGTGCAAACGCTGCTCCTCAAAGCACAACGAGCAACGTGAGAATTATTCTATTTTCCTAAAAAGAAATTGTTTAAACTGCTGCACTTTTTCAGGGTACAAGTGGCGATAATGTATATGGATGAATAACATCAGTGAACGCTTGATAATTTTTATGTTCTTCAGCCACTTGGAGGCAGCAGAAACTAGTTGTGAACACAGGAGGCATAAAAACACTCTGTGTCACCTGATGAATGTCCAGTTTTAGTTTTAGAGAAAATTGTGTGATTATTTCTAAAATATTGTGTGTATCGTATTCTCTTAGCAATGAAATTGATTTACTGATAATCTAATGACCTCATTTTGTTTACTGGTTTTTAAACCGCATAAAATAAAGACATGCTTTAACATACCGGGCTGATTGTGCGTATAAATGTGCAGATAACGTTTCAGTAAAGTACACAACGAGTCGTTTTTTTGCATAGACACAGTGATTTTAATCACAATCAGAGGTGTGGTTTGTGCTGTGGAGCATCTCACCTTGTGGACACGTCGACGTAGACACGCTAAAGAGCCTGAACACACATAAACTCAACAAACGGTTTACACAATATTGTGCTTGTAGCATTTTCTTCCACCATCATTAAACCCCACAACGAATCGACTAATCAACAACACAACAAAACAAAACCCATTATTGATTGATTGATTGATGATTGATTCATCTAAAATGTTCCCCAGTGCAGGAGGAGAACTGGGCGCGGCCAACCTACAATAGCTCTATATAAATATACATATTTACATCCTAGAAACACCTTTTCATCCCTTTGAGGAGAATCTCGTGCCACACGCAGGTCGACGTGCAGAAGGACAACTGCAAGCGGACCTTTGTCCTCTAAAGCTAAATTGCTTTTTTTCCCCAGTGGTAATTAGTCAGAGGAGTTAAACTTAGACGCGTGTTAAGAGAGGAGAAAAGTTTTATTCAAAAAACACATTTCGCATTACATCATCTCTCACGTTGTATTTAGTTTCTACGGCAGCCAATCAGCAGCTGGCTTTAGGGCAAAAGACCCTTGGTCATCTGAGATGCTTTGACCTTCACTTAAAGGGCCAGTGTGTAGAATGTGGGCGCCATCTAGCGGCGAGTTAGAAGATGGCAACCAACTGAAACCTTATTATACAATATTATATTAAATTTTACCCGCCACCAACCCCGGGGAGCCCCCAGGACGAGGGGCAGTGGGAGGAGGGGGTGGGAGGGGGGCTCCTGGGTCTTCTTATTGCTCCATCATTCCTGTCGGAGGGAAGCAGAGAGTGTCGTTAAGGGGTTGTATATCATTACATGTTTAGTCATTAAAAAAAAGAAAAATAACAGGATGAAACTAATGCAATGCAGCTGTTGATTAACTCACATCAAGTTGGAAGAATGGAAACAACTTGAGAGATCATCAACACGGATGACTGATTAAAGGCCGAAAGTATTTTGCACCTATTCACAAATCTGTCGTGCAATAAAAGGCGTTGCACATTCTGCAGGCCGCTGAGTATTTCTGTATGACGTGTTTGAGACCATCGGGCTCTCTCACCTCTGGGTGCATCTCTTTGCTATGTCGGTGTTGAATGTGGTATCCGAAGATCATTATTTCTCGAGCTGATTTATTCATTTGTAAGAAACTTGAATTGATTTAAAGTGATGCTTCGGTTCGATTCTCTGTGAGGCCCTTTGTGTTTCTACCTGTTCAGTTCCTGACCACCTGGTTGCTTCTCTCGATGACCACGGTCTTGCCTTCTCTGACGGACGAGCTGCAGTCGTAGTCGTCGCCGAGCAGACCGAGGAGCGGGTACTTGTTGCTGTACCTACACACACACACACACACACACACACACTCTGTGGGCTTTGCTGAATTTGTCGTGGTTCGGACCGTCGGCACGTCTGCCACGGATGAACTTTGAACAAAGAAGCTGTCGTTTTACCTGTTGGTGATGGTGGTTCTGGTGACTTGGCCCTTGGTGCTGTCGTTCCTCTCCCGCATCAGCTTCTGGATCTCCTGAGAGCCGCAAGAGGTCAGAGGTCAGCAGGGTCCGTTTTTTTTCATCAGAATGTTACATATTTTAGTGTTGATCACTTGAAGTTAAAGATTTATCTTGACAACTTTTGAGAATTACGTCTCCTTTTGTCAAATGGAGGAAAAAGTGCTTCTCCCCGCTGCTGTTTTGTGAATGTCAACCTGCTGCTGTGTGTGTGTGTGTGTGTGTTTGTGTGGGTGTGCGTGAGCAGAAACCATAAGAACGGGAGTCGTGGCAGCACCCCGAGGTGACAAAAGCATTCCTGAGGTTAAATCAACTGTCAGACGGCCTCAGCACAAAAAACCCAAAACGCTCAGAATGCAGCTGGACCTGAGAGGTTAAATAAAGAATGAATCTTCTCCCAAGCCAGGAGGGTGTGTGTGTGTGTGTTTTTGTGTGGCTGTGTGTGCGTTTGTGTGTGCGTGCAAACGTTTGCAAATTCAAAACACAGACGAAATTTGTTCTTTCACGAAAAAAAAAACACCCCAACAAAAGGACAAATCTTTCCGATCTGCTGGTCACAAAGGTTTGTCTCTTCGTCTGAGGGAGCATTCTGCCGCTGACCTCCTCCATCCTGGTGATGGTCGTCTGCCTCTGCTGCAGCGTGGCGAGCAGCTCGGAGATCTTCAGCTGGAGGCTGCTGTCCGAGGACGACCTCTCGGTGGTGGTGGTGGTGATCTCCATCCTCGTTATCTGGCTCTGGAGGGAGGACGCACAGAGACGACTGAGTCATTGAGGTTTAGGCAAGTTCCCCGGGCACTTCCGGTTTACTTCCTGTTTCTGCCAAGAACTTCCGGCGCAGGCTGAGTAGTGGTGTAAAAATGGCTTTGGAATGGCAACATTCGACCGGAAAGTTAAAAATGGTGTTTTGACCATTCCGCATCCAAGTAAGGTAACATCATGGGCGGACAACGCGTCGGTATGGCCCAGCATCACAACATCCAAGATCTTTTCTTGGTTACCAAGACGGGAGATGTGGAGACTGCAGGCTGTACCTGTAGCCATGCAGCCGCTACGTTAGCCCATCTTATGCTTGTATTAAGATGTTTGTATGTATCCGTGTGTTAATATATAACAGAACACGAAGAGTAATAAAAAGAAAGAGTAATCCCCTCAAGCCTGCCTGCACTAAAAGCATTTAACCCGTCAAAGTCGACTGACGAGCGTCAAAGTGCGCACCCCTGACATATCTATTAATAGCTTCGGAATGGATAAAGGTATTAACTTACTTTTTTTTCTATGAAAAAGCTGACATTCGTCTGCGTAATAATTAGTAGACTGTGTTGACTTCCGCGGATGATAAGCCTTCCGTATTTGAGTGCAAATCTATAGCATTTTACCGCAAAACAGAGAAATGTTTTTATCAAACTGATTTATTTTATTTATCTATTTGCTTTTTTTTTATATTATTCACTTATCATTTATCACTTTATTAAATGTTATTTATTTATTTAATATTTAATTATATTTTCTTCTATTCTTTTATTCTTTTCAGATTTTTCCAGATTTTTTTTATATAAGTCTAAATAAATTCAGGCATCAAGGGGTTAAACATACAACGCATACGGGGGAGCACGTCCACATTGGCGCCTTGTAGATGGTTCACTCGGCAATCGGCACGAGTTGTTGCAACCGTGAACAGCACAATATGTCCCGGGGCCGTGTCGGCGTGTAACACCATCCGTAGTATACTTTTTCTGCACGCTAACCAAAGACAGTAAAAGACGCTAACTCGCTAACCGGAAGTGCTTGGCAGACACAACCGGAAGTCGTTGGCAGAGTGAAAGGCCAATGGCGGCCCGCCTATTTCACTCAGGAAACTTGTCTATACAAAGGAGCTTCAAGACGTGGACCACCGGCTTCTTTCACACTGGGAAGCTGCTGCAGGTGATAAACAAACGTCCTCTTGATGGCGCTGGATGAATGCTCAAATTTCCTCCTCCGGCGGTTTTGACTCTCACCCGCAGCCTTTGTATCTCGCGGTCCTTCTCCTCTCTCATGGAGCTCAGCTGGTCGTTGTAATGACGGGACAGCTCCTCCGTCTTCAGCTGCAGGCTGGCGCTGCTGCTGCTGCCTTGGCCGGCCAGCTGCAGGAAGCGCGCAGACAAGGATGCAAGGCGGGAGGGAGGGAAGGAGGCAGGGAAGGAGGGAGGGAAGCCATCGTCAATGTTGCAGAGTTGACATTGTCTGCCTCAGGTCACCGCTCTGTCTGATTCGGGCGCACCAGCGCTCACCTTGTGTCGGAGCATCTCGTTCTCGCTCTCCAGCGCGCTCATCCTGCCCTCCATCTCCTGCAGCCGGAAGTCTCGGGTCGACTCGTCGCTCCTGGCGCCCATGAGCTGGCTCTCCAGGGAGCGCTGGGCGCTGCTGGTTTCCCTCAGAGACACCTGCAAGGGGAACGAGACACACACAGGAAGTCAGAAATATAGACTCATTTCAGTGTCCTACTTTTGTTTTCGATGGGTTCCATGAAACACCACGGAAGAAAAGCCAAGCGTCATTGAAACGTTGCCCTGAGGATGAGGTAGAGCGGGTTTTTGTTTTGCGCGGCCCACCTGCAGCTGTCGGTTGTTTTCCCGGACGGCCTCCAGGAGGCTGTCGTACTGCTTCGCCTGGTCTGCCTTGAAGCTCAGATCTCTCTCCAGAGACTCCTTCTCGCTCTCCAGACGCTGAGACCACACACACACAGGTGGCGGTCAGCAGTAGTACACACTTCTACTCTATTTAGTCAGATATTTTAGACAATGCATCTAAAACATCGTATGTGAAAAAGTCGAGGCGTATTGTTATCGTAATCATGGAACATTTCCCAATGGAAGATAATTTCCCTTTATCTTTTAAGTCCTGAATATTACGTTTCATTTCAAAGAAATCCGGGTAACAAGTATTAAATAAAATCGAGAAAATAAATAATTATTAAGTTTTTCCCCTGAGATTGTTTTTGTTGAAAGGGCTTCTTCTATCAAAGCTGCTTTTATCCACAGTGGCGCCTCCATGCAAACACGCGGGGACGCGCCGTCCTCGCTGCGAGGATTCTTCTCGCAGCGGGTTTCAGTTACTCGGTTACGTCGGCGGGAGCATGAGATTGCTTTTGTTTTTACCCGCAGGTCCTCGGACATGTGGAGGAGGTCCTCCCTCAAGCTGCTGAAGGTGGAGAGCAGCAGACGCATGCTCCTATCCGCCGTGAGACGAGTCTGCGGCACAAACAGCAGCATTCATCGTGTGGGGATTTGTTACGGGAAAAAAGGGCTGGGCAGCAATTCAATGGAATCTTTGTCTGACGTTGTCGGGCTCGTTGGCTGACTCACCTGCAGCAGGTAGCGGATTTGTTGTTTGGTCAGTTCAGTGGCTCCTTTGGGCAGCAAAGCCTCCACCTCCTCTTTCTCCACCTGAACACACAAACAAACGATAAATGAAAAACAGCTCAGTCGCTTTGGAAAAACTAAAAGAAGGGAAACTTTGCACTTGTACTTGTGAGACACTTAATATCTGACGTTTGTCCCGTTAAAACAGCTGATGGAGTCGTGTCTCGCTGACCTCCGATCGGATTCAATGTTTGTGACGCAGGTTTGTTTCTCACCTTGTAGTCACTGGAGGGATCCAGCAGGTGTTTCCTGTTACACAAAGAGGACACACACACACACAGGGAGGACAGCGTCAGACAACGCAAGCTGTCTTTGTGAGGACAGAAAAGACATTTTAGCAAAGGGAGGACATTGTGCCTGGTCCTCATTTTGGGTCGGACCCTCAAAGGTTCGTCTGATGGCTCGAACCAATCGACAGAAAGAAAGAGGGGGCAGAAAACCGCAGTTCCTCAAATGACCACTAGAGGCTGCAGAAGTCAATCTCCATTGAGTTTAATGTTAAAACGCTTTAAAGCAGCAATAAACGTGGTTCAAGCCTTTGCACAACAGTACGGATTTCAGGTCCAGAAAAGGTTTGAGATCCCTTCAGTACAGTACAAGTAACACTTACTGTCCCGGGATCTTGGACACGTGATCGGAGATGCAGGAGTGGATGTCGCAGTTCTTCCGGTAGACCTCGGCCAGCAGCTCGCCGAAGTAGCGCGTGTCCATCTTGTTGGGCTGCGGAATCTCCCTCAGCTCGGTCTTCACCTCCATCGTGGAGATCTTCTGGCTCGTCAGCGGCGGCTTGTGCTGAACGGTGTTGATGATCTCCACCTCCTCCACCACCACCACCCCCTCCTCCTCCTCCTCCTCCTCCTCTTCTTCTTCTTCATCCTCCTGGGGGAACGGGCGAGAGACGGATATTTAGCAACCGCGTGTTTACGACTGCAGCGTCTGAATGAGACAAGCAGACAAGTGTCTGTTCCGACTGACGGTGTCAGAAGAATGAGAAAATGGGACAAAGAAAGACACCAGTGAGTGATACATTATCCGATTAGGTCACACAGTGTTCACTCAGTGAGCCTTGTTGCTAAGCAACCACGACAACACTTTTCCTCAAACACGTGTGACACTGTGCAAACGAATTAAGGCTTCCCGGCAGGGGGAACGTGGCTACATCGTCACGGCTGTGGACCAATCAGATTGCTCGATTTGAGAGAAGAGGTGCTTAGGAAAAGTCATGTGTTACAATGTGTCCTCCTAACTGTTAGAGCGGTATGTTGATGGTCATTGTTGCTTTTTAATGGTACTTATATGCACACAGTCTACAGGTTATTTCAACCGACGTGTCTTAACAGAGCTTCTACAGAGGCAACAAAGTAGCAGACTAACATGAGACACGACTTTACATATATTTACATTCCCTCCTCGTCACATTGGAGGTTGCGTAACCTCCTTTATCCAACGTGTGGACTTTCTCTCCCTGCGAGCACTCGAACCTTTTTAGAACGCTCGCCTCGTCTTCTATTTTTAGTTATTCGGCCTTTTGGGACTCTATTATATTATTATTATTAGCTATTGTTTAGAATCCCTTTAAGAAGGATGCGTCGTGAGTTACACCCACCAGACCTTCAGCACCCAGTGGGGATTAAATCAGATATTTAGCCGCTTCTTTTTTGCAGCGTGTGGAAAAGTCACTTTGTCACTTTTCACACAGGTTCTGAGTTACGAATCTCACTAAGGAAACACACTTAATCCAAAAGGTGCAGCTGCTTCCAAGGCCGCAGGCGCGCTCGAGGCTCTCGCCTCTACTTTCACACGCGCTTGACCCCCATTTCACATTTGAGGCGCTTAAGGCGAAAACCGAGGCTGCCAAGTGGGCGGACGTCTTTATTGCTCGACTAAGCCACTGATTTGATGAGCAGCAAGATAAAGGCTCACTTGATGGAGACATTTCGACACTTGTGCATAGTTTCAGTTAGCTGAGTATTAGAAACGACTCTCGCGAACGCAAAGAAACATTCCAGACGGTCTCCGTGTTGTTTAAAGGGTCGCCGCTTCCTGTAGACAAAACACCCACACGGCAGGAAAAGGAAATATTTTACCAGGAAGCTGTAAAGCGGCAGCTGAGTGTTAAAGCTGAGCGGAGCTCACGTATCATCAGACCAGGACCCAGAACCGTCCTGCTACCTCGTTCGGGTCAAACCGCGGCTCAAACTCTTGTTTTATTGGAAAAGATGAAGGGGGAAAAGGAAAAGATTGTCAACAATCACCGCTCCAAAACCTGATTCTGCGCAGGTCAAACGAGCTCACGATTGGACCCAATTCAAAGAGAAAAGAGCCTCAGATCTCCTCCAGGTCTGAGAGTCGAATCAATCGCTTCCAGACAAGATGGCAACGGAGTAGACAAGAAACTGGGATTTGATTGTATGACTGCACGGCTTTTATGTAATTGTTTAAATCGCTGAGCTTCACAGAAGAAGGCGTCACTGTGTGGCCCCCTGCAGGTGTTTGCCTTGAGGAGATAATGTAATAAAACTGTCACAGGCCAGAGGAGACATTCTCCTCGAAGCAGATCTCCCAGTTTGCAACACGTGATCCTGTGGCTTTGTTGTCGGAGGAGAGCGAAGTGAGCGGCGCGCTGACGTGATTAAACGCAGGAGGGTGTGGAACACGGGAACATGCCCGTCATTCCTGCACACAAGGCCGCTCGTTCCACCGACATTTATCCTTTCTGAACTGAAGCAGGAACGCGGGTAATAATGCAAATGTGAGAACCCTGTTTGAGGCGGCTTTCTTTCCCATATTTCTTGCCGAGACGTTTTGTGTGCAGTTGTTTTTTTAACGACCAGATTGACGTGTTGAGACAAACATGATGAGCAGAACATCTTGAGAGTAGCTGACTTTAAGGACAAATCGGATGGAAAGAAACTCTTTGTTGGAACTGATGCGCGTGTGTGTGTGTGTGTGTGTGTGTGTGTGTGTGTGTGTGTGTGTTTGTGTGAAAAAATGTCTCAGGTCGCCTAATATGCAGGCGCGACATTCCAGAGATCCACCGTAGACCTGAGCTTACACTGCTGTGAAGAATGTGTGGGAGGTAACAGCAACCGCGTGATGATGATAGTGTGTGTGTGTGTGTGTGTGTGTGTGTGTGTGTGTGTGTGTGTGGGGAAGACTGACCTGTAAAGGTTAAAAGAGAGTTTAATGACCTTTCAAGGACTTTCCAGGCCCAAAGCCACTACGACGGGCCGACTCGACACAAACAAACAAAACCAAAATCCCTCAAAGTCTTCAGGGTCACTGATCTGGTTTCACTTCTGCAGGCTGTGAAAAGGAGCAGTAACCCGAGGATCTCACTCAGGGCCCGTGTGTGTGTGTGTATATGGGTGTGTGTGCGATACAGCGATGAGTAACACTAGAAGTGATAATGAGAGACGTCATTTTGCCACACAGGCTCTCTGTTGTGTGAGATTCTCAACCTATTCCCAAACTGAATTTCACTATTTGATTAAAAAGCTGCAAGAGTCATTCGGCAAATAAGATTCTACACTTGAAGCTTCGGCAAATAGTCTTTCAAATCAGTCTTGCGGTCAGATGTTCGCTCGGGGGTTAAGAGCCGAGAGCTGCTGGGTGTGACGATGCCCTTTAATTTCACACTCAGAGGTTCCCCGTCATCCTACAGAAACAACGATTGTCCACATCGTCAAAGCAGATCCAGAGTAGTTGCACGTATTTATCGTGGGACGCCACTTTCGGAGCAGGCCAAAGAAACGCTTGGGTACGAGCAGGTGGAAACCATCAGGTCCTCCTTCGCGGCCCCCGTGTGTTTAAGTGGGGATGCGCCACGCGCTCTCGAGTGCTGATAGCAGACTTCCAGCGGACGCAAAGCGTTTTTCAACTCTTTTGTCTGATCTCTCCAGCGGCTGGGAGGAAAATCTCACAACGGAAAGACGACGGATTCTGTCGCCAGTCACCCTTCAACCTGCTCGCGTGTTTTTCGCCGCCGCGGCTTTGACCTCGCTGGTTAAGAAAGCGTTTAACTGTAGCTGCAATCTAAGTCTGCTCCCCCAAACTGGAAAACCGAGTTGCAACAGGAGAAAGAGTCTCCTGCTGTCAACGTATCCCCGAAGCGGTAACTTAAGAAGCCGTTTTCAAGCGCTTAAATAAAGAAAATCAATCAAACTAAACCACTAAATTCAGATTCCACTCGACAAGCAGGTGATGCACAACATGCAAAGTGTTCTGCTCTGTTCAGACCTGCAGCAGCGGGTCCACCAATCGGTGAAGAGGATGACAGTCGATCGGACGCCAGTGCTGAAGGCGAAATCTGAACTCTGCGATGATTTTAAACTTGTTATTCTGGGACAAACTGTTCTGTGCGTCTCATTCGCCCTCCCGGCTTGGAGAGCGCCGCCGGGCGTGTCACATGACAGGAATTCTTGGTAAAGCTCTTGATGACCTTTCTGCGTTTTCCCATGAAAATAATTACGCTTGTGTGTGTGTGTGTGTGTGTGTGTGTGTGTGTGTGTGCGCGTGTCGAGCTTTGGAGGAGAAGAAATAAACGTTTTACTTCGTGAGCAGAAGGATTCACTGAACCTGATGAACACAATCACACCTGGAGAGGTTGGAAGGGACTCACGGAGAACACCTGGAGTAGAATAAGATATAATTTAACATTTGAAACAAGTAACGCGCTAACGTTTGAACGCGCGACCTTCTCGGGAACGAAGCGGCGCTATTAAATCCGCGAACCTCCCTACAGCTTTGAACATGACGCGTCAGGTTAAAAATTGAAGAGGCATGCCGGCCGTGCGCGGCAGCAAAGGCCTCTGGGAAAGCAGGCGGCCCGGGACACACCCAAAAACCCCAAAAGGGCCGGGCGCCGTTGCGACAGTTGCTGTGAGTGTGAACAAAGTGTGGTTGTAAAAAGCGTGAATGTGGAGGCAGGGCAGGGCTACGGGAGGACATGCGGAGATGCCGCCTTATTTTATACTCCCGTGTTGTGGATGTTGTGGTTTCACGCCCACGGGGCGTGTCGGCTCCGGACCAGCTATTATTTTCCTGAGGAAACACCTCCTTGCTCTCCACAAAGAATGCGCTTACATCTGGAGGGGGGGGCACCAACAGCTCGAAGGAGATGCAGAGAAGTCAGAGCAGATAAAGGAGCCACGGGAAGCCTGGTTTTGTTAGTTTAGACTTGAACCTTGGTTCCTTTAATCAAAGACTTTGTTCACTTTTCAGCCAACCGCCGCCCAGTTTTAAACAGCAGAAGTTCTTTTTGTACAAAACACACGTCGAAGCTTTCATGCTCACCGTGGTTTCAGGGAAGTGAGATCAAAAACGGTCTAAAAATACTAATAAATCTTTCTTTCACTTGACTTGGGACTCTGGACTTATTACCGGGAAGGAGAAAGACCAATTGGAAGTTTTCTATTGGACGACAGAACGACTGAGCTAAACTAAAATAACAAGACTTGAGTTCTCACACATACTTGTGTGGTTGCCAGGTTCTTCACCAACAACACGGCTTTCATGGGAAGAATTGTGGTGTGTGTGTGTGTGCGTGTGTGTGTGTGTCCTTGCCTCCTCCTCGGCGCTCGGCTCGGGGCTCTTGATGGGACTGGACGACTGGCTGAACACGAACGACTTCCTGCTGGGGCTCTGGAACATCGCACACAAAGATAAAGAGTCACGTTTGAACGGAAAACCAACGTCGGAGCCTCAGACAACGAGTGTGGAGACGCATCGACGGCGTGCATCTCCACAGTCGTTGAAGCAACTCATTTTCATTATCAAGCAATCTCTTGATTTCGCGTTCTATGACTTTCAAGAATAAAGCCAGAACATAAAAAATAAAAAAATGACCATCACAGGCTTCCATCCGCTTAACTGACTAATTCTTTTCAACAACCAGACATCAGCTTTTTGGTTTTACGGAATCATTGCCTTTCTCCCTCCTCTTATACTTTGAGTTATATAGATATAGATTATATAGAGTTATATAGATCATGATACAATCATGTGTCCAAGATCAACACATCTTGTGAGACGAATGAAGGCCGCTGTCTGATCTCAGAGGGCGTAGCTGCGTTATCTGCAGGGTGCGCCTGCTGGGGGGGGGGCGGTCAGACGGGCGCGGCGTGGAACACGTCTGCACAAGCTCGCAGCAATGTGACTCCAACCACAGAACTCGCTTTAAGTAAATTATTAAGCAGAGGGAATCCCTGACACACGACGCTAGAAAATTACTTTTATCAATGAGAAAGTTGTGGGGGGAGAAAATATGATTCGAATGTGAGCTTTTGTAAACCACCCGGCGGGCAAACGGGCAAACGCGCTCAGCAAGCGGGGGATTCATCACAGCGTCCTCTGCAGGTGCGGCTCGCCTCAGTTCCCATTGATCAGAATGACCGCACCTTCATCTAGTGAAACTCTATTAATCAGAGAGGAGCCAACTGACAAACGGAGGGAGAGGCCAGAGTTTCTAATTCCTCCAGCGAATGACCCCGAGCCAAAAGCAGTGAGGAGGATTCAAACCCATCAAAACCACAATAATGGAAGTGGAGTCAATGTTTTCATCTTCAAAACAGTCATACATGTTACACAAATGCATGAACCCTGACCTCTACGGTGCCTGCTGTGTTTAAATGAGTGTTTGTTTTATTCGCCATGAGCTGTGAAAATTCAGTGCATGGTGTCAGAATGAATGAGCCAATCACTGAAGCATGTTCACATATATACACGCATACACGTCACTGAAGCATGTTCACATATATACACGCATACACGTCACTGAAGCATGTTCACATATATACACGCATACACGTCACTGATATGGAATGCCGTTTTAGTCTAAATTAAATAAATGAATAAATACGTAAATACATGAAATATGCATTTGAAATACATCATGAAATAAATAAATGAGGCAATAAATACATAAATATTAAATACATTTAATTATTTCATGGTACTTTTATTTCATAATGCCACTTTTCATTTCATGGTACTTTTATTTCATAATGCCACTTTTCATTTCGTGGTACTTTTATTTCATAATGCCACTTTTCATTTCCAGAGTCTTTTATTTCACAATGCCGTTTTACATTTCACGTTCTTATATGCAAATCAGGGGGCGTGGCTAAATCTAACATTCAGAACAGACAACAGAGCCATGTGCAAAAGAAGGCTGGCTAAGGGACGTGAGTGTTGACATAATGGAAGACATCGGAGGGCTCCGAGGTAGCATGCTAGCATTAGCAGATCAAATCGATCAACGTGGGTTTTCTGCAGATACGATTTTGACACATATTGAGGGTTTTTTGGAAATACTAGGGCAGATAAGTGCTCTTCAAGATGTATATATAGACGACAAAGTTTTAAATTGTTTAAGACTGAACACACTACTGAAGCATGTTCACATATATACACACATACACACCACTGAAGCATGTCCACATATATACACACATACACACCACTGAAGCATGTCCACATATATACACACATACACACTACTGAAGCATGTTCACATATATACACACATACACACCACTGAAGCATGTTCACATATATACACACATACACACCACTGAAGCATGTCCACGTATATACACACATACACACCACTGAAGCATGTTCACATATACACACAAATACACGGCACTGAAGCATGTTCACATATATACACACATACACACCACTGAAGCATGTCCACATACACACATACACACCACTGAAGCATGTCCACATATATACACACATACACACCACTGAAGCATGTTCACATATATACACACATACACACCACTGAAGCATGTTCACATATATACACACATACACACCACTGAAGCATGTCCACATATATACACACATACACACCACTGAAGCATGTCCACATATATACACACATACACACTACTGAAGCATGTTCACATATATACACACATACACACCACTGAAGCATGTTCACATATATACACACATACACACCACTGAAGCATGTCCACATATATACACACATACACACCACTGAAGCATGTCCACATATATACACACATACACACTACTGAAGCATGTTCACATATATACACACATACACACCACTGAAGCATGTTCACATATATACACACATACACACCACTGAAGCATGTCCACATATATACACACATACACACCACTGAAGCATGTTCACATATACACACATACACACCACTGAAGCATGTTCACATATACACACATACACACCACTGAAGCATGTTCACATATACACACACATACACACTACTGAAGCATGTTCACATATATACACACATACACACCACTGAAGCATGTTCACATATACACACATACACACCACTGAAGCATGTTCACATATATACACACATACACACTACTGAAGCATGTTCACATATATACACACATACACACCACTGAAGCATTTTAACATATATACACACAAGGCGTCATTTTCAGCTTTTTATTCCTCTGCAATGAGGAGACGTTGACGGTGGTGTACTTTTCACAAGCCTCCGCCGAACGATGTCCAATTAACGAGCTTCTCATCAATTACGAGTGATAAAGGGACATGAACACATACTTGGTTTTGCTCTTCACTGACTTTATTTCACACTACAGGTCGAGGGCTAATAAATGGCACAACTAATAATGTAATAGCTTTCCTTGATGTTGTCATTTAAATGTATTTAAGCTTAAATTAAAAGCATAAAAACATATAATATTATATATGTTAATTAATGTTAATAGATAATGAGTTTTCTGCATTACACGATGAGAACAATTTCTTAAACTACAACATTCACACGTAACAATTTCATGAGGAATATTTACTATTAACCCAGTATATCTTCATCGGTTTGCATAAAAAATATTTTTAAACGTACTAAATATTACATTATGCTCTGGATTTATTTAGTTCATCAAAAGGTGTTGTTTACTTAATTATTAGATATATTATAGCTGATAAAAGCGTGCTTTTTTTATATAAAAAACATTTATTACATTTGAACGACCACTTTATAGCTTCAAATGACCCGGTGACAACTTTGAAGGTCTGTTTGTTCCTCCCACGCCATGAAACTATTTAAATTCACGTGTTGTATGTTATCTGCTTTAACCCGATATCTGTCAACCCACGTAGCTGTTTGTTTTCCCTCCTGTTCGCCACATTGCCGTGACCTCTGACCTTTAGGATGTCACGTCAGAGCTCCGTTTCTCTAAATGATATTTATTTTTATTTTTATGACATTTTTTTCACATTTTTTTCACATTTTCATTCTTAAAAGGGCGTTTCCACCGGGAGGCCGCTCACCTGCGCCGGGCTCTGCAGGTGAACCGTCACGTCGCTGGTCTCCAGGCTGCTGTTGCTCATGCGGGGGAGAGTCTGCAGGTACACCGGGGCCACCATCTGCTGCACCATGGGCCGCTGCATGATGTAGTAGGACTGCTGCTGCTGCTGCTGCACCGGGATGAACGACTGCTGCTGCTGCTGCACCGGGATGAACGACTGCTGCTGCTGCACCGGGATGAACGACTGCTGCTGCTGCTGCACCGGGATGAACGAGTGCTGCTGCTGCTGCACCGGGACGAACGAGTGCTGCTGCGCCCGCAGCTGCTGCTGCTGCACCGGGACCAGGTAGCGCATCGTCTCGTAGGAGCCGTTCAGCGCCGTCTGCTGCACCAGGGGCTGCCCCGTGGACACCAAGCCGCTGGAGGACAACGAACCGCTGGAGGACACCGAGCCGCTGGAGGACACCGTGCCGGCCCGGGCGGGCTGCGGGGAGGAGGCCACGTTTACGGTCCGGTAGCTCGTCGTAGTCGTCCGGTTCGAGTGGACGGACATCTTTGTTTTTAACGTCCTGTTCGAAGGAGAATGGGGAGATCGGTTTTAAAAAGTTTCTCAAATAGAAACTCTCCGCTTGTTTTTTTCCGGCGCGGTTCAACTTCCTCCTCTGCCCGGTAGACTGGAGAGGAAAGTCCGGTTGGAGGAGTTGTTCTACGGGGCGGCGGGCGGAGCCGGAGGGGGGAGGCGCTCTGCTCCCCCCGGGAGGTGGGAGGGATCACGGGGGAAGGAAGGCCCACCTGGCTGGTTGAAGTGAACCTTTTGTTGAGTGCACAAGTCTCATAGGAACAATGTAACTTCTTTATTTATTACAGCCTTTTAGAAAATCAAGCAACTGAAAGATCAAAAATAAGGAAAAGCAAGAACAACTATGGGAAAGTTAAACTCTCTAATGCCAATGACTTGATAAGTCAAGAACACACCAATGAATAAATGAAAATCAATTAATAAAAATGATAATAAAACGAAAAGGGGTAAAGCAAAGTCATCCGATGAAAGCCAGTCTGTTGTTGGTGATTTAAAAGTACTGATTCTCCAATCCAAATCGGCTACTTGCTGGTTATATATGTGTTGGAACCCGGTGGTCATTCAAATCTTTGCGTGTGCATTGTGGAGTGTGAAGGGAGTGACGGGTGGAGATCGATGTCACAGTCAGTCAGCTGTTTCACCTGCATTCCATCTACGTTTCACCTGCATTTGAATTTGACTTGTAAATTACCTGCATTCCACGCATATTTGAAGGGTATTTCAGCTGAATATTTTAGGCTCATCTGAAAACGTTGTCCGATTAGATAAAAAAAAGACATGAATATGAAAAAAATAATAATGTTTAATGGACAAATATAAGACAAGTAATGGATTGATAGTTGTGGTATAATTTATATTTCCTTTAATGGTCTTGGAAGCTCGATGGAATGCGATGATACACATAGTTTGATGGTAAATGATGATTTTGGCGTACTCTTTTTTTTTTTTTTTAAGAGCTAAATGATCCCATTGATACACTAACTCTTTATTTTGAAATTCTAAATAATTATTAATTACTCTCAGCAACACCAGGTCAATGCAAGATTAAATGTGGTCAACTAGTTCTCCTCCCGGCTGGAAGATGTCGCAGGTCAGGAGCATCCGAGCGTCCGAGTCCTCTGGTTCGCTGCACGCGTCGTCCGAATCATTACGCGGCAGGAGGTGGCGGGACACCACGTACTCGGCCATGTTGGGCAGCGGAGACGCCACACAGCAGCTCAGGGCACTGCGGGAGATGTCCATCTTGCAAGCGGCCGCCCACGTGTCGGTCGTCGCGTCGTAGCGCTCCACGTTGTTGACCGTTTCGAAGCCGTTGAAGCCCCCGACAACGAAGACGTGGTTGTCCAGCACCGCGATGCCGAAGTTGCTGCGCGGCGTCATCATGGACTTTACTTCCAGCCAGGTGTCGGTGCGAGGGTTGTAGGCCTCTGCCGAGGACAGACGGCTGAGGCCGTCAAAGCCGCCGACCTACGGGAGAGACAAGGACAAACAAAGGGCGGGAACGTTTGAACGGAGACAACCGGTGTCCAAACCTCTTCACGTTAGCGCGTCACCGTCTCGTGTGCTCACCGCATAGACGCGGCCCGCATGAGCAACGATGCCGATTCCACTGCGCTGGCAGCTCATGGGGCGGATCATTGTCCACTGGTTCGTCTCTGGGCTGTAACACTCGCACGTTTGCAGGACCTCGTTCCCATTGAAACCACCACAAATGTATACCTGGGAAGACCACCAGGGGCATTAACAGCAGGGCTTTTAAGCAAAGAATCACCTTTCTCCGCTTCAACGGGAGCTTGCCAATATTTCTTCAAATTATTATTACAAAACCTAGGACAAGAGACAATGTAAGACAATGCATATAATAGGTAGTTAACTATGTTAAATGTTAAACTGCAGTATTACGAGTACTTTTTTTTCGATCAGATTAGTTCCGGGGACTTTCAACTACACCCGGCGGGTTGTTTCTATTCACCCACCGCGCTGTGGAGCGTGGCGCTGCTGGCGTCGCTCCTGTGCTCCTGCATCGGTGCGATGGGGCTCCACTGGTTGGCCTCGGGCCTGAAGCGCTCCGCGGTGCAAAGTCGCGCGTACCCATCGTAGCCCCCCATGGCGTAGATGTAGCCGTCCAGCGCGGTGACGCTCACGTAGCACCGGCGGTCGATCATGGGCGACACTTCGTGCCAGGTGTGCGCGCTCAGGTCAAACCTGCGCACGCTGTTCAGTTGCTCCGCCCGGTCGAAGCCACCGACGCAGTAGACGCTCCCGTCGAGGAGGGCCGTGCCGTGGTAGGCGTGCGGGCGCTCCTGGGCGACCGTCACGTTGATCCAGTGGTCTGCGCGGATGTCGTACGCCTCGACGCCGTTTGTCGGGCCGCCGCCGCTCCAGCCGCCGATGGCCAACATGACGGCGTTGGGCAGGCGAGGGCGGTTCGACGTGCTGGAGAGGTGAGACCCAGAAGGTCTCTTGGACGTGATGTTTTGTAAGCATTTGACGGCTTCCAGGACCAAATCCCGGCACTCGGGGTTGTTGCTGATCAACTCATTCTGCATCACTCTGGTAATGATGAAGTCCATTCCCGTCAAGCCCAGCCGGACCTGCACAGAGAGGACAGGACAGAACATTTGAAATTAACTCAATGGGCCGTACTCAGTCAAGTAACGAGACCTTTTAGCTTCTTACAATCACCTGGTCGACTGGTGACATTCTATATTTTTGTCAGTGTCAGAAAGTCATTTTAAAAGCTCAACGCCATTTGTTCTTTTGATACTCAGATTCTCTCAGCTTCTCACTGTGGAACCAAGCCCATTTGTTCCTACTGAAGACCATCGAAAAATGTCCTGGGATCCAACGCCAATATTTGAAATTAGGATTAACGTATTGCGTATTGCGTACTGCCTTCAGTCTTGAGTCATGAGTAGCAATTTCTGCAGGTGCTTTCTCTTTTGACCTTCTTCTGGTATGATTCAAACAAACTGGGATGCATTTGCATGCTCGTCTCAGTTTGGGCTGGTGAAACTTAACACGCTCAACAACTGGTGTGTTTTGTTTGTTGCGCGAGGCCACTGTTGTCCTAATGAAACGTCGCAACCATGACAATCTGGAAGTTGCAGTCTCGACTAATTTCTCACGAGCTCCTGGTGACACCAGGGAAGGTAGATGAATCGATAACTTGCTGTGACTTGCTGACAGTCTCTGAAATCTCATTTTCCCGTGTTGCTCCAGGTTGTGCTGATGATGCAAGACGTCAGTCACCAAATAACCTGGAAGTCAATGTGACTTTGTGTTTAACAACCCAAACTACACAAAACCCCCCTTTAACTGGACTTGTTCTGGCCTCCGGTGGTTCTATTCTCCGTCACTTCCGGATACAGGCAGTTCAACTACATAGAGTGAAAATAAATGTCCATACCTTAGACATGAGCCCCGTGATGTGTTCTTTCCGATCTTCGGGTCCGTTGGCAATCCAGCGGAGGACGGCGTCGTACGCGGTGCTCTCTTTATTCACATTCAGGTCGTCACTAGCGAGGATGCCGGTGAGTTCGTGCACAGAGAGCTGCGGGAACTCTTCAGAGAAAACGACCTCGTCAAAGTGATCAATGACGTGGCGGTAGGCCTTGTCCCGCAGCCTGGAGGCGAGGCAGAGGTTGGAGAACTGAAGGAGGCCGACGCAGTTCCTCGGGCAGAGCTGCTCCACCAGGAAGTCGACACAAGTTTGCACGATGTGCGCCACTTGGAGCTGTTGGGCTGCCAGCAGCAGCTCCCGCACGTTTTCCTCCGTCACAGAAACAGAGCCGGTGTATGCAAACTCAACGATGAGCTGCATCATGTCGGGAGAGATGCCGGGTATGTCGAAGACCTTTTGGTCTTTAGGTGACGCACATCTGAAGACATTCCTGTCAGGAAGGTCAGGACGAACACACACCGATGGTGATTTATCTTCACATAAATAACAATAATGCTGTTTTTAAAGTAAGCATTCACAAAATTAAAGAGTGGAATAAATGTCACTAATATTATATTCATTCATATTATTTCATAATTTGCTGCTGAGAACCGATTCTCCATTTGTGTGTTGAGTCAAATATCTCAAGTGTGTGTGTAACACGTTGATATTAGAACTCACAGGTGCAGGTACGGGCTGCAGTTTGACATGATCACCCGGTGGATGTTAAACGATACGCCCTGGACTCTGATGACCGCGTCGCAAAAGCATCCGTCCAGCCGGAGGACATTGAAGTCGTCACCCATGCTGACTTTCTAAGCAGGAGGGTTTTGCGGTCGTCGGCTCGTCTTGTGGGTCTCTATTGGTCTTCTGAGTCAAGAGGGAGAACACATGTCATGATGTGGGTTCTAAATCCAGATCCAGTTTCCCATTCTAAAATTACAGATACATATATAATTACAGATGAACTGGCATCATCCAATTCAACCTGTAGACAGAAGGATTCTTTATTTCTGTGACTTACATCAGTCTGACAACGGAGAAGATTTTTCGTTAAAAATGTTGCTCTGTTTGGCATATAATCCACACTGTAAACGGTGCAATATTTATTTTTGACAGAAGATTATTAATTATTATTATTATTATTATTATTAACAGTGAACATTATGTTTTTCTTCTCTTTATCTCCCAGTTTTATTACGGGTCAACCAGTAGTCCCTGGTCACTTTGTTAGTCACTTCATAAGTGACATGAAATTTAATGTAATGTGAATAATTGTTACCTCGCTCACACGCGTGTGTGAGTTCAACTCTCGCGATACGCAACGAGAACAGACAACGAGACTTTTATCGTTCCACCGATCGAGGAAGTGGCTTTATTTTTATCGGGCACAATAATGGCTGCTACCGAACAACTTCGTTGTCTCCTGCGTGAACAAGTCGGCATTGGAGGCTCATCGTTGTCTAAATCGTCGGCCTGAATCCCCCCCCGACCTTCCGGTGAGGCCAGACGGCGCAGAATACGCTTACAGCACAGTTTTGGTCGACCGTTAGTCGCCGTTTGTCATTTTGTCGTCCTCCATCCAGCCCAGACCGGTTCCGCTCTGTGGTGCGTCGCCCGCCGAGCCGCCACCAAACTACACCGGAAACATTCGTGTTTGAGCGATAAAACCCTTCTTGGTTGGCGTACGAAACTGTTAAATATTTTATTTACACATTTTGTGAATGTGTAGACGCCCTTCATGATTTCGGGATAAGTGAAAAGACCCCACGCAGTGTCAGTAGTAGTAAAAATGACATTTTTAAAAACTATCGGTTAGCTCGTCTTGTTTCCCCCGTCCTCGAAATGCACATCACGATTGGCCCTTTTAGGATTCGCTAGGTGAAAGGTTCTTAGGCTATTCATATGTTTTCGCTATGGTGATATGTGACTTTAGGGTCTTAATTACGGTTAAATAGAAGACTCCGCTGGTTTAGTCCACCATTATGCAGCCAAACATCCCACGTCATCGGTTTTTAAACCCCGAACCGCTGCATGCCAGCCAGTCGTGTGTGTTGCCCTCCAGGTTTGAGCGTTTCAAGACCTCTTTTTGGCTTAAGCGATGTTGTAGACAAACGATTAAGTGAGAAAATACCGTTCAGGTTAATCGATTTTGAAATAATCGCAAGATGCAACGTGGATGCATCATTTAATTGACTCACGTTACTATTGCATACGTTATTCTGTCCAGTGTCGATGCAGGCCTCTGAGTTATGTCTCCTTTATCCTCTGGTTACTTCTGCTGTCATCTGCTCCATTGGTCGTACACGTCCTCTCTGTCTTTACCTTTTTCTTTTTATGTTGGAAATATCACTGTCGCTTTGAGTTTGTCTAAGACCACGTTGTTTAGAGTCACGTCGGTGGAACCGTTTACATTTGAAATCGTTCCTGAGATTCATCCTGAGATTCATTTAAATGCAAACTGCAAACAGTGTGAGAAGAGAGTAGAATGGGGGTTTGCCTTGTTGACTTTTGGCCTCTGCTGTCTCCTTAGTTACTTCCCCGTGCCTGGCTGCTGACCCACAATGCACTGCCAGAGGTCTTCAGGTGTCTCAGACATGCCGATGTAACTCGTGGCTTCTACTTGTCCAGTCGGCCCACGTCACGCAAACGCAGCCGGAAGGTGAGGTTCTGGTTCGAGTGGAGCTATTTATATTTGTTTACAGTATAAATAATGAGAACCTTTTGTTTCTTGGTTATTGACCTCTGCACGATATTATACAATGTCGGTATTCTGTTTTATGTTCCATTAGTTACTGGTGCATCCCTTCTTTCATACTTCTTTTTTTACTTTCTCTTATTTCCATTGCTTCTTCTGCTTTACACTATTGTCTGTATCCTCTATTGTACACTTATTCATTGTTAAAATGTTATAGGATATTTCATCCTATTTGTCTCTTCTAATATTTAATGAAACTCGGGCACCTTTGTGAATGAATCATCATCATGAATAAGTGATGATAGAGAAACGTTTTTTTTTCCGGTGCAGGTTCTGTCCTGGTTGATCTTTTGTTGTCCCTCTGCCATCATGTCCGGTCCACGGGATTTACCAGGTGAGTTTCTCCTGCAGAGGTCACGACGTTTTGGTGCCATCTGTTTGTTACTTTACAGAACGTAATCACAATTTAGTCAACTGAGCGCTCTGAACTTTGTGGCAAGTTATCTGCTGGACCTGTTTCTTGTTTTAACACATGAATTGCTTCATAAAGAAATGGGTTTTCCTAACCGCCTCAGTGATGACTAAGGCCTAGTTCGCACCAGACGCTTAAGGGCTTTTCCTGACAGACGCCTCAGATCACAGGCGATCCCCTTTGGTGCGTCAATTTGTGCTGCAACAAACCAGCATTTCACGTTTGGTTAATCGGCCCTTTTATTTTCTGCATTAGTTGTTCGGTCTCTGACACGTCGGTCGGGACGTGTCACAGTTGATGAGGATGTCATCAACTGTGACTGTGTCTGTTTTATCCACGGCTCAACGATAATCAGTGTGCTGTCAGAGGAGGAAATAAACCCCAAAACATTCTCATTTTGGAAGCTGGAATCAACAAATTAATAATATGATATAAATAATGTCCTTTTTTAAAATAGGGATCTACGGTTAACATCAAACAAAATCACCTATCGCATTAGTTGTATGTTTATATCCACATAGAAAGATAGAAATGTTAACTGTTATTTTTAATTTTTCTTTTGTTGACTAAAAAAAGGATTTACTATATTTGAATGTTTTAGAAGTAAAAGCGCGAGTTAGTATTTCACCATCTTTCTCAGTAAAATATTCCTCTGATGAACGACGTATATTAATGACGCGGTTCAAAGTCTGAAATGATTAAAGTGTGTGACGTTTGTTTAAATGTGTTCGCTGCCTTTTGGTCGTGTTCAAGAGCTGTTTGCGTGGCTGTTTGCGTCCGCAGCCATCGAGGATTCTGGGATGGGCGGGATGAGGCTTCCCATCGGGATGACCCGGCGAGCCCTCAGCTATGACGACAACCTGGAGGCCCCCATGTCCACGCCGCCCCACGACATCAGCATCAACAACCTGTGGAGACGACCCGTCATCCCGGAGAGGAAGTTCACGCGCCTGGCGGAGGTGAGGCGGGAAAAAGGCTGCTCTGCTCGTTTGGTCAATCTGCTCTTTTTGTCAAGAGGACGCCGCTGAGCTTAGCTGATGAGGAAGATAAGGAAGAGGAGGAGGAGCAGGAGGAGGAGGCTGATGACGACGACATGTTTGTTTGTCAATCTCTTCCAGGAGGATGAGAGCGGTGCAGTGAGTCAGTCCACAGTGGCGGACAGCGCCCTCTTCAGGGCGCCAGCTGCGGTGAAGGCCAAGGCCTCTTCAGTCATCATGAATTCTCTCATCACCAGTACGTGACCTGTCAACCCCGTTTTTACTCTCTGTACTCTTGTCCAACATGTCTTGAGTGCATATTATTATTATTACAATTAGCTAGTTGACTACCGATTTGCTAATTTAGTCGAATGTGAAATGTTTCTGTGACTCGCGTAGAAAAGCACACAGCTACAGTCAGTCACAATCATTTAAAATGTTTTAAATCCAAACCTTGTTTAAACCCTCCCCCACAGAGCAGACTCACGACAGCGTCTACAGGTTCGAGCAGAAGGCGGGGCTCACCGACACCAGCTACACCCCCCACAAAGGCCTCACCGCCGAGGAGACCAGGCTCCACCACCGCATACCCGAGTCCCTCCAGGTGATCCCTCCCCAACCGACTAAGAACCGCCGCGATGATGAGGTCATGACCTCTGCATCCAGCGAATGAAATGTTTCATTCTACTAAATACGGAATTCTGCTTTGTTGTTATTTTAGAAACTGCAGATTCAAAGTCTGGAGGCCAGAGAAGATCGACAGAGCTCCTCCACTCAGTCCACTCCATCCAACACTCCTCACAGCTCCCCGAAGCAGCAGCGCAGGTACGTGCACACATGCACAATCCATTCCTGGATCCAAACGTCCGAGCTGTTTGTTTACACTGTGTGTGTGTGTTTGAAGGGGCTGGTTCGGCAGCACCGGTTCAGAAGTCAGCGTCAGCTCCTCTAACAGCAGTGTGGATCTCGGCGCCGGCGACACGGCGGTGGAGCGGTGGAGCGTTTTCGCACCACGGCCAGTCGTCCAGAAGTCGACCTCTGACCTGGGATCAGACCCTGTGGCCTCAGGTAAACTACCTCTCCTCCCTGCGAGGCTCTGGGTCTGTACTCGACACCATTTAGTTTTTGTCTTATTAATGGAATCAGACTGAAAGAGGAAACGCAAAAACTTCACCTATTGGTTGAGGTGAAACGTGAGGGAAGAATTTGGGTTAATGGGTGATCACATGAACTTAGGACTGACCGCAAACACGGTCCAAACCTTACTGCCAGTTTATGAAAGTCGGATCAGACCAGTTGGAACTCAGATTGTTGACGGCTGCTGAGAAACAACGCTCACAATTTCACATGGAATCGATCAAATTCTGTTTTCCGAGATGACCGCAGGTATGTAATTCATGGCGGGACTCGTCTGCTGAGACGTCGTGCATCTCTCCTGCGACGTTTATTAAGTTAAGATGACATCAACTTTTCAAATTCAAGGATGTTAATTTGCTTGGACAGATCTTCACGAGGAAAGCTGTGAGGAGACACTAGTTTGAACTAATCAAGTCAAAAAGCAGGTTATAGTTTATTTAACAAACCAGGGTGCCTCAGTTATAAAACTAAATCGATCAGAACAACTCGAAAAGCTTCAGAAAAACAGGAAATGGAAAGGAAGTAAAAAAAACAAGTGAATATGAACAAAAACAAAACATTTTATTTTAACAATCTTTTTCTTTTGTATTTGCTTGCAAGCTGGTTGTTATTTAACCATCTGAACCTCAAGCTTTTATTTCTAGTTGATTATTTAATTCGCCCATTTCACCATAGCTCTCGTCTTGTTTTCCCAGCAGGCTTTGCGCTGCAGGCGTACCGCGGCGCCCAGAAGCCGACCCCCATGGAGGTGATGAAGTCCCAGGCCGCGCGGCTGGCGGACAACCCCACCGCCCAGCAGGTGAACCCCCCCAAAATGGAGATCCCCACAGTGGAGGGCCGCCGGCAGGGAGGGCGGCCGCACAAGCTGAAACCCAGAGACATGAACGTGCTCACGCCCTCCGGCTTCTGAGGGTCCCGGCTAATTTGTTTTATTGAAAAAAAAAAAAAGTCAAAAGTTCTCTGCAACCAGTTTGTTGAATGTGACGTTCTTTTGTTTATTTTCCTGACGATTTACTGAATATCCCCGAGTTGTTTGAGCCTTTTTTCTCTTTATCTAGTTCAATAATCTACGATGAAACGAATACGTTTCGTCGGTACAGCCGAGTTTATTCACTCCAAACCCTTTGACGGAAATGCGCCGAATTATCATTTCAAGCGTTTTTTTTTGACTAGAAATAAACGAAACCATCGCGACCGGAAGAGAAAAATGATCTTATTTAGCAGGAAAGGTCCTGGTTGGTTTTGCATGTTCGGCAGTAGTTACAACATGCAACGTTTTTAAGAACTTTCCATTTTTTATGCGTCTCCTGTGCTGCTTGGCAGTGAGAATCCTACCTTCCCTTGACCTTCAGTCTTTTTACTGTTGCAGCTGCAGGGTGCTGGCAGTGCAGGACCACTGGCTGATCCTGATACTTAGTGAAGAAGACTGGTCCTTGTTTTAAAAGAAAATAATAATGCACTTTATTCCCACTAGACATAAAGCCTCTCACGTTTACCCTTTCCTCCAGGATGCAATGTCAATGTGCAAAAACCTCTTCTTCCTCTGTGTTGATAGTATGTTCTTCTTCTCAAAGTGGCATTTCAACAAGCCGGCTGGCAAGAGAACTAAAGTCCTTCAATTTAGTTTAATACAACTTAAACCACAGAACAAAATAAAAAAGGTCTCAGGAAATCCCGCTTACTGAAACGTTCCATTTATTTGTTTTTTGATACAGATGTTTTAATTTATAGATTTTTTTTTTAATACCATCCACTGTAGCAACAGATTAATTAATTTGGGACCAGTAGAAGCTGCTTGATATGTGACTCCCACGCCGACACGTTTTAAGGTCACTGGTTACTCAAAGGTGGAATATTGGAGAAAAGAAATTGAGGGTTTAAGAATGCAACGGTCGTTTGTGAACGATTCCACGAGTGTTCGGAAGGAACCGTTGAGGGAACCGAGGCTTTCCGCAGCAACAGCTGAAGGATAATATTTTTTTTCATGGTTTCTGCAAGACGTGTAGCTTGGTAGCGCTTTATGAGCACTATGATTTCACCTGTCAAATGAAGTGAATCATCTCTTTGGCTGTTGTTGTGTCGCGCTTATTAATGATTTTGCAATTATTACACACAGTAGTTTGTCCTCGTGCTAGAAATATCCTTTGACACTTAAAGTTCTGCTGTCAGACGTTGGCCGATCCTGACGCACTCAGCAGCTGTGAATATGAAATATTTTTTTGCTGTGTTTTACATGTGACACTACCCTTTGAATCGCTCCCTGACTGAAGCATCTCATCTGAATCTGTGGTTGTGACGTTTATGTTCATCTGTTCAATATTTTTCCAGTGGATGGCAGAGAGACATTTCCCTTTGTTTATACTGTCTCTGAATAAATAAATGTTACGTTGTCATCAGTCGAACAAGAGTCTGTGTCTGATTGCAACCTATTTTGCGTAATATTTGACAAAGCAGGACTGTTGACATTTAAATATTCGCTGTGGATCTGTCACTTGTCACATTCTTTCACAAATAAAAAAGAAACATTCATGGTTTTCTCTTCTCCATTAGTACTGTATTTCCCAGCAGACCTCTGTGTTTAACTAATAGATCTCATCATCATGTTGGGCGTCATGAAGGTTTAACAAGTGAAAAACACATTAAAAGATTCACTGATTTTAACTCAGTTTATTTTCCTAGTTGAGCGTAGAAGTGTTTTCTTCATGCAAAGTAAACCGAACTTATGTTCCTGTCGTCTGTCTCTCAAACTGAAATCAACAACACGACGTGCCGAATTGCCGTGTGGCTTGTCGGTTTAGAGATCGGTGTCTCGTCCGTTCCATTTCGATAGCAAAAACTCTTTCTGGTGCTTTTGGACGATGCCATTAAAAGGTACAAGGAACTTTTCCGAAAGACCCGCTCTAGTGTGAACCTGACGATGGACTCAGCATCTCTGATCGTCTGTTTTCCTCATCTGAGATCAGTAGTGGTATTCAGACATCTTGAAAAGGTCTTTGAACAGTTCGGAAGTAACTTTGTCTTCTCAAAAGTGACCTTTATGTTGAATAATACCTCAACTCCCTGAAAAAAAGTTTTCTGTTCTTTAGTAGAAGGCACTGTGGGTTCAACCTCCAAACAGTTTTGGCTTCTGGATTGACAAGCTCCTTAAATTCCGTCATGGTTTGATGCCTCTAAATTCCCACTTATTGATCAAGTTCCCAATCATCTCCTTTCATTCTCTGTATCCCCACCCCTTTCTGTCACATCCTCTTCTGCACCACCCTCACACCTCCCATCCATCCTCAGAGACTTCCTCGGCCTCCTCTTCCTATCTCGTCCCCTCCCCTTCTCCTGGACTCTCCGTACATCTGGAAGAACAGCTGCATCTCTCTCTGCAGCGTTTCGTTTCGGAGGTCGGCGTCCGCCTTGGCTCGCTCCATGTTGCGGACTTTGATCTGGGCGACGCTTCGGCTGCGCTTCTGCCGCTCCAGGCTGACCCGCAGAACCGCCACCTGGCGCTCCAGCACGTCGTTGCAGCGCTCCAACCTGCCGCACACACACACACACACACACATGTACACAGCACACGGTAGAGACATGTAGCCTTTGTGCGAGTTCGAAGGCCCTCGTGCTGGTGTCTCACCTCTGTATCCTGGTCTGGTACTCTGCTTTCTGCTGGGCCATCTGATGCTGCAGCTCGGCCAGGGTTGAATGAGCATCCCCGGGCTTTGACTCGGGCTCAGGCCCCCGGAGGGCTGGAGGACCAGAGGGGAGGAACACCTCTGAGCTGCCCGTACTGAGAGGGCTGTCACTGGCTGCGGAACAGGAAGCTGGGGAGTTAAGGTGGTGGACGGCGTCATCACCGCCATAATTGTCCTCATCGTTATCATCACTGTCGTTGCAGTCTCCAGGATGGTCATTGCCGGCGTTTTCCCCTCCCGCCACCCGCTCTGGGGTCGTCAGTGTCTTTGGTGATGCGTCGGGAAAAACCAGGGCCATGGCCTCACCGCCCTCGTCCAACGGGAGAACCTCGCAGGAAGACCACGAAGACGAGGAGTCCCTTGAATGCCCCATCCCCTCCACCGCCGCATCCTCCCCGCGAGGTCCGATGTGGCCTCGTGGGTGGTCGCTTTCAAAATGCCCGGCGTCCTCCATCCTGTGACGTAGAGACTCTCCGTCCAGGTTGTCGTAGGCAGAGAGGTTGCTGTCCTCCTGGGCCTCGCTGCTCCCCCCGCTGGCCGGTCCTGGCGCTGCACCCTCTTCCTCTGCGCCACCGGGCCTCCAGAAACCAGCGTCTGCCTCTCCTGGGTCAACATTGGCAGAGGACGGTCCTCGCCCGACGTGCCGCTGGCGATAATCCACGTTGTGTCGGTCGGAATGGTGTTGAAGGGGCTGACTGGAGGATGGCACGGGGTAGAAGCAGTTCTCTGGGTGGGACGAGGTGTAGCGATGGCCGAGAAATCTCTTCTGGCCAAAGGACAGGTCCGATTTGGCAGCAGCAGAGAAGACACAACTGAAGACAGCAAGGAAAGTAAGGTTAAACTTTTCCTGATCATCCACCTGGGGGCCGATCTCTTTAAATGTCTTATGGACGGAAGGAGCCGGGGTTGCACAGGCAACCAGGCAATCGAGCTCTCCTCGTAATTAACCATCGATAAAATCAATATCTGTTCTCACCACATCTACTGGCATAAAAACAGGATGTAAGAGGTAAAGTAGTAAAGCCCCATCAAAATACCCACAGGGTAGGCTTCATAACCCTGGATCAACGTGTTATAAGAGGCGTAAAAGAGGTGCTTATTTTAACCTAAAGCCCACAGTGAGGCTCATGGCTGGAACGGGTCGTCCATCATGTGCTTTTCCCTGGGAACTTCAAACAGCGTATGAGTGATAAGCGCGAATGAGACGTGGTCGGCGTTGGATTAATGGCGATGGTTTGTTGTACCCGAGGTTCTGTCCGTCGGCGGAGGGCGGCCCCGCCTCTGCGGAGCGCTCCGCGATGAGAGGCATCGACAGCTGGCGGAGGCAGAGCGGCGGTTGGAGGTGAGGCTGCCTCAGGGCGCCGGGCGAGCGATGCGAGCCTCGCGGTGGGAGAGCGCGGGCGGTCGGGGGCACTTTGGCAAACAGAGACTCGTGCTCTCTGATCAGCTCCAACATCAGCACCTGGACCAGGGCCGCACCTGGGGAACAGAGAGAGAGGTACCACTATTATTACCACATACGATACATGATACATGCAGATACAAACATAGGTTGTAAGGTTGTAACGTGGTCAATGCAGAAACGAAATCACTCTCTCGTGTTTTATTACCTCCCATGATGCTTTGTGGGTCCTCAGCTTTGGCTCGGAGGATGTTCGGTCCAAACACAGTGGCCAAGTTCTGTCCGCTCATCTTGTTACTGCTGGAGAAACTCTGGACCTCGTTTAGAAACCTTCACACACACAAAAGCTAATTAACAGTTGACACCATTTAGTTATAATCAATTCTGCAAATTATTAAAAAAAAATACAATACAAATATTCAACTGCATTTAAAGTAAGTTGAAAAAACGACGTGTAAACAAGTCAATAGTTTGTCTTCTTACTGGCAGATAAAGTTAAGTAGGTTGAAGTTTGCAACTGGCAACTCGTGAAGAAGGTTTCTTAACTCTACCAAAACCTGAGAGGAGAAAGACAACATGAGTCAGGAGAAGGGATTCCAACGCACGACATGTAGTTTAAATGTTCACTCGAGGGAATATCATGCTAATGAGAAGAGAAAGATGCCGGTCTGTGCAAATGGTCTTTGTTAGGCCTCAGTAGTAGTGTTTCTATTCCGAAAAAACTTTAAACAATGAACCAACTTACAAGAGTGCGTTCAATCGACAGCTTCTGACCACACAGCAGGAAGTCCTGGTAGCGTCTGTAAGGAACCAGGGGCTCTGGCAGCTGTCGGAGGTACAGCTTTAGCAGTGACGCCACCGTGTGGACGTCTGTGCTACTGCAGGAAAAACACACATGAGGTGACTTGTGAAGAAAAAAGGAATCAGGAAACCAGAAGACGATGCATTGTACCTGTCGAAGGACGGCCTCTCTCCCGCGTCGAAGGCCTCCTGCAGCTCTTTGACCAGACTGGCCTGTCCCGGCTGGCGAAACAAGCCCACCTCGTGCAGCCCGCACTCCCGGATGAAGTTCACACACTGCTCCACCACCAGAGGAACCAAACGCAGCCCGTACCGCCGCTCATAGAGCACCGTCTCCTCCAGACGCTGCCCAAAGACTCCTGCAAGGGAGCGAGGGTTCAGTGGGATTCCTCCCCGGAGCCAGACAGCCAATCAGAACCACGGTGACCAGGTGAAGGACGAGTGGTCGTAAGCCGTTCAGGACACCAGCGCGAACGCAGCGAGGCAACAAACTTTGTTAGAAGACGTAAATGTTAACGCCAAGTGTTTCCTTGTCAAATAAAACAAGTTAAACAAATCACCTGCTTATAAATAAAATCTAAGTCCCCCAAACCAGTTTATTTTCAGTTGAAACCATGTGTGCTCGGTGTTGTTGTTTATGGATTTGGGTTCTTATCGGGCCTTCGTCGGGTTTAACGTCTTAAACCTGTATTCTCCTTAATGGCCACCAGGGGGCGACTCCTCTGGCCCTATAGAAGTCTATGAGAAAAGGACTTGATTTACTGCCTCAGTAAACGCTGTAAGCATGAGTTTAGGGTCTCAATCTCTAGTTTCATGTCTTCTTCAACACAGCATGAAGCCCATTTAGTAAATTGTGGTCCATTTAAACTCAAACAGACCATAGAGATACTTCAGGTTTAGGGGGAACCTGCATATATGCGTTTTTTTGGCACAAAAAACTGTGTGTAAACATCAAAATAAAGTGTGCACCCAAAGAGTGTGTGTGTGTTTGTGTGTGTGTGCACCTGTAAAAGGGATCCAGACCCCCTTGTTGAGGCTCTTCAGCCACTCGTCGCCCTGACCGGCGCTGTTCGAGAGGAAGAAGTAGGACCCCGGGCTGGCCAACACGTCTCTGTTTCCTGCACCGACACACGAGTCACGTCTCAAGATGGTTGAGGTCAATCAAACAAATGTGTTATTGAAGTTATTTAAACCTATTTGATCCGTGCAAATACAACGGTTTTCAAATCAGAGAATCCTGAAGCAAGTAGGCAAAGTATCAAATGAATCGCTCCATTAGTCTGACAGAAGACGTGACGTGGAAGCAAAGCGGCAGAACATCTCAGAAACAGATCGTTGCACGACCCCCCCCCCCCATCGCATGTCCCATAATGTCTGTCCTTCTCAAAGTCACATCAAACACACACACACACACACACACACACACACGCCCACAAACACATGTATGCATGAAGGAGACCCTGAGTCAGCATTTCAGAGTTGGAACTGAAGGACGACTCACGCAGCGTGCGATCTGGAGGGATTAACCAATGATTTGAGTGTGTCTGCATGTGTGTGTGTGTGTGTGTGTGTGTGTCACCTTTGTGGCCTGTGCTGTCATGTTTCCAGGACTTGAAGCAGCTGAGTCCCATGCTGCAGACGCTCGGCGCGGAAAAATCACAGACGGCGACAGTTTAAACTTGACTTTCTTTTTTCTTGTTTTTCCAGACTTGCGTAAGTTTACCGGTGGTAGAAAACGCTCCACTTAGCATTTTCTTTCACCGTCATGAAGACCAGAAGCACTTTGTGTTGGTTTTTAACATCCTGGTAGAAGAAGAGAGTCGCTGCTTGGAAGAAAAAAGATTGTCTTTGGTGTATTTTTGTCATTAAATACAGGTTCCACCTCGAGGACAGATTGTAATTATCCTTTCTTTTTTCTAGCAGAGGTCCTTTATAGATGTGTAACTTCCTGCCAAATCTGGTTTTAAAACAACCATAACCTTATATACAGCCTTAATACGAGTTCGTAGTAGAATAATCCACATTTAGGATGTTTTAGAAGCTGTGAGGAGTGAATATTTTAAGCTTAAAGGAGGTTCCAGGTTTTATACAGTAACATGTAGGACGTTCAGGCTTATAAGGACATTCCAAATGTTTGGTTCAACATTATTTCAAGCTTTCAGGTGGAAGAGTAATAGCTTTGTGCAGATGTTGAAACTCAGTGTACCAGATGTTCCTGCTTCATGCTAACTTCCTGTTAGCCTTAAAGAGAAGGCAGTGCAGGTTTTTGCAAGAAACAGCACACAGGGATGATATGTAGTTTTTAGTAGTGGGCGTTGAGAGAGATGTGAACCTCAAACGGACAGCGAGCCTTTAAATCTTTGGATGAAGGATCACCCTCTTCTTCTTTAGGAGGAGCTCAGGTCAAACGCTCAAACGAGAAGTTCTGACTGTGAATAAAAAAAATCCTGGTGTCCACGTGGAGAGAAAAGTCCCAGGATGTTGGTAACTATTCCAAACTCTTCTTGGAGTATTCTTAAAAAGTAGTAGTGTCGCCCCTTCTCTCCTTGGACAGGTGGGTCGTCGTACATCCACGGGCTCGGATCAGGCCGGTTCTTCTCCCCTCAAACATCACACTTCAGATCATTCATGTTGCATCCGTCCACATCCGCACGCCCATCCGCCTTCTGCTGCTTCACCGGCGGGGACAGACTTCATGAAGCTGCCTCTGGTTTCCCCTAAAGCCCCGGGAGTGAGATGTCCGACTTTTGCTCCCTACCTTTGGGGAACGTCACGCTGTCTGTCTCCTCGCACAAAGACGATCAGCATCACGTGTCCTTATCAGACCCGTAAACCCTCTCCGTCCTCTGCTCCGTCAGCTCCGTCTGAAACGTCCGCCCCTTCGTCATCTCCCGTCCCTCTTCTTCCTCTCCTCCGACCCAGTGTCCTGTCTCCCACCGCTGTCCCTCTCTCTTTGTCCCCTCTCTAGCTCGTCCTGTTGTCTCACTCCCACTATCCTCACCCCCTCTCTCTCTCTCTCTTTCCCAGCAGTGTGTGTGGCCCCTTGTTGCCCCCCTCCCCATTTACCTCATCAATAACCATGCTGTGTGTAGGTGTGTGTGTGTGTGTGTGTGTGTGTTTCTGAAGGCTGTGCATTAGGAAAATTGGTTCTCTGCGACGCAGCGCTGTTTTACCAAAGTAATCACAGCTGATGGTGAGAGAGAGAGAGAGAGATGATTTGGCTCAAATTCTGCTGCTGCTGATGTATGGACTGCTGCAACACACACACACACACACACACACACACACACACACACACATGCACATGCACACTGTCGCCATCATTCAAGTGGACATAAAAGCGAGAAAGGCTCAACTTTTGAACTCAATTAAAGTATGAAGAACCTTTCTCTCTCTGTCTTATCCTCTCTGAGTCCGGTTCGATAAACCTCATCGGCCTAAAGTACAGTGTGTTACTGGAGTGATCAATACAAGCAATCAAATATTAGGATAAACATTGTTACTGATGGAGGTTGTTCTTAACTCGCTATGCTTGCCATGCAGACAAGGCCACCCGGACTCACCAAACCTGAACATTAAATGGCGTCATATCAGAGGGGTTTCATGCACACGCAGCAGACTGAGGGTCACACACAGCGATAAACATGTGGTTTGTTCTCTGAACCATCTGAGGGTAAAGATCTCTACCCAGTCAGCTATTACAAATGTGTGTGATTCTCTTCATTCGTGCAATTGGTTTTTGAAGCTTTGTGAAGTTGTTATCTTTGAATAATGCAAGTGACGCATCATCTTGTATCTTGTATCGCTCCAAAAAACAGAAAATGCTCTCACAGACGCCATATTTTTATTAATAAAATGTCGTCTAAATCGGAGTCGAGGCGCGATGTGATGAAGCAAACCAACTGAGACGGGATGACGCTGAATGACGTTGAACTTGCGCTTCTGAGCCTTTGTTAGTTTAAACAAAAACACGTGTCGTTGTGAGCGTGACAGACTCCCGGCGCCATAAATACCAACCGCTCGCCGCATGTCTGCCGGTACGCGCCCGATGGACCGGATCCTAATCGCAGCTGAGAGCTTCCACATCTGTGCGTCGATACGACTCTTCATTACAGAGTGCAGTGTGTGTGTGTGTGTGTGTGTGTGTGTGTGTGTGTGTGTGTGCTCTCCGCCAAATGAAATGTGCCACGTGCTCTCCTCTTCACTTCGACCGCACGCCTGTAATTTATCACACGCGCGGAAAATGTCGCTGAGCGGGAGCGGTTAGAATCCGCCCTTCAGGAGAAAAGGTCTGAGAGCGGCGCCCCCGCGTGGTCACGTGCGACAACTACAACCGACACAACTGGAGACACTTGAATGGAGTCCGTGGTTTAAACCGCAGGGTTCATAACTCCGAAGGACTAAACCGAAGCCATTAAATGAACTATATCTGACGTGTTAGTGATAAAAGCAACATGAAACACACTGGACTTTTCACCCGGGGGGGACAGATGTTCACGTCCCGCGTGGAACGACGTAGAATTATCTGTGGCACGACTAACGCACTTCATTTAAGCCACTTCTGCGGTAATTGTGTCACCGTGGAAACCAAACCGGAGGAAGTCGGCTTCATTTCTCCGCCTGATGTTCGGTTGCTCGAGTCCTCTTCTGAATGCCATCCCCTCTGTCCCGTCTGATGAAACAAAGAAGTAATAACCCCGAAACACCCCAGGAGGAGGACACCGTCATCCACATGTCCTAGAGTCTACTCCACAATACGGGAGGAAAGGAGAGCCCCGGGGGGCCGGGGGGGCCGGGGGGCCTTAGCGCTCCCCGTGTCCCTTTTCACTGAGCTGGCCGAGGATTTTACGGCCTAGAAGTGCGCAGCGATTGTGTCACGTCTTGGTTTTCTGTGGGACGTCCCGTTTTATTGCACAGCAGTTTGAGCCGTGGTGGTGGGGGTGGGGGTGGGGGGGGGGGATACTCTGACGGACGAGCAGGACACCGCAGAGAGCCGGCAGCAGAGGACATCACAGCTTCTGTGACAGAGACAAAGACAGGTAAGCAATGTCTCAGGGTCAACACTAAAAGAATAACCAATATCCTTGAGTAGCTCATCAAGCGCTCTCAAAATAATGACTTAGTATTTCACGGATGTTTGTCGTTAAATGCCATCTTTTGTGTCGTCCCCAAAAACGCGGTTGTAGAGTTTAAATTACGGGTGTTTTGAGGCGTAAAAACGATAAAACGATAGGGCCGAATTTCCTCCGCCTCGTGGAATGAATCAGATCACATCCCATTCACGGCACCAAAGCGACAACAGTCGGGAGGGTGATTCCCGTTAGTCTGACCAACACAAAAAAAACCTTCCCTCTCAGTAAACGGTTGCCTATTTAAAGGCAAATCGGAGATAAAGGCCGACATGGCGCCGGCGAAGGACAAAGAGGGCGACGGTCCAAATGCTAAACTTGTGGATGTCACAGTAACTGCGTGTTCCAACCTACTCCAGACTCGCCGAGGCTTGGTGGCGGCGAGTGGAATGGAGATCATTCCCCCCCTCCCGACGTCCTGCAGAGCAAACCGCATGCAGGGACAGACAGTAGTGAGTGTTGGAGCATCGCAAGTGAGTGAGTCGCCCCCCGGCGCTGATTTACAGTCGATGGAGGACAGCTGAGCCGGGGAGACCTAGGATCCATTCCTCTCCATGGAAGGTGTACCCCTCCCTCGGTGTGCCGGCTATAAAAAGCTGCGGCCCTCGGCTTGCACAAGCCACCGCCACATTCAATACCCATCAGAGCAAAAAGGAATTATTAACTCTCTGTAACTGCTATGTGCTGCAAAGGTCAAAATGACATAGAAACCAGGAGTGGCGGAGGTGATGAGAAGATGGATAATGGCATGTCTGCTATTTGTGGATGAGAAGGTTCTGATTGCACGAGGACACAGTGGAAGCAAAACTGTGAGCTTGTGGACACGTTGTCAACATGTCAATCACCCACTGGAAACGTGATTCAGTGACTGGATCATTTGCTAAATGAACATCACGCTGTATTGAAGAAGACTTGAAACTAGAGATTGAGACCATAAACTCGTGTTTACAGCGTTCACCGAGGGAATAAATCAAGAGAGAAGTGGAGTCATTTTGTCATAGACTGCTATGGGATTAGAAGAGTCGCCCCCTGGTGGACACTAGAGAGGCCGCATTCCTCCTGTCCCTCTCCATTATGAAGACACCAGTGAGCCGGGACACTGGTTGTCCTTCACAGACATGAACATGGTGACGCCAGTTTATTTTGAGCTGCTCCGACGCACTCTGCCCTGCTACGAGATCACAGTACCGTGAAATTATTACCCCTAAAATATGCAGCTTTACCTACCGTTTGAGTGAAAAGCTCACAAATACAAAACTTATTTATGTTTTTAGAGATTTACCTCTTCAGAAAGACAGAATGGGCTGAGTGTCCCTTTAAATTGTTTGGTATTCTCTTCCCAGTCGAAAGAGTTGCATATTTTACTGGAACATTAATTAAATTAATTTAAAAAATGTTTTTCAAACTTGATCCATGCATTCTCCCAACATATTTTTTTTTCACGGCGCCATATGCCTTGAAAAACTAATTCCCCTCAAGGAATAGTTTTAGGTCCCCTTGTTGGCCCCTTTGGAAGCTGAGCTACTTGTGACTAAGCCCTTTTTCCACAGCAGTACGGGTTGTAGGTTAGAGTGATGAAACACTAAGTATAGCTTTGGAAAACTTCTTTGTCCCGTTGGAGAACAAGGGCAGTGGAGGACGGAGGGTCGGAATACCAGGCTGAGGAAGAGCCCCGAGTCATACAGACGCATTTCTGGGTCCAAATTAAACAGTTCCAGCTTTGTACAGTAGAAGAAAGAAGAGTTTTGGACCTTTATTCTCAGGAACCATTGTTCTTTATTCAGGTGCAATGGCAGAAAATGTAAGTTTTAATGCTCCCGTTAACTATTTCCACATAGTCGTAGCATGCATTTGTTAGCACAGTGTTAGCAATAAAGGTCCACCAGTCCAAATTTGATCTCAATGATTACTGGATGGATGTCTGTGATATGGTGTGGTACCCAACATATAAATCCTAAAGGAATTTAATCTAAAAAAAAGTCTTACAATTATCATATTTGAGGACAATTATTGAATGCAGCACACAACAAGGACAAAAAAAAATGTTTTTAAAGAAAGTTTAAATATGTTGTGGAAAAATTATATATTAAGTAAAAAAAATTTTTTTTAAATCTAAATATGACAGGTCAAAAAATTAAAAAAAAAAAAAGGTCAAAAAAAGGTTTGAAAAAAAGTCAAAGTATGTTGTCTAAAAATGTAATGGAAACCAGTCTAAATAGCTAAAGTCAAATAAAGTCTTAATTTGTTATGTTGAAAATATTTTTTTTTAAATCAAAAATTATTCAGGCAAAATATGTTGGATGGAAAATGTTTTGAAAAAAAATCCAAAAGAATTAGGTCAAAAAATATTTTTGAAAAATAATCTTAATTTGTTATGTTGAAAAATGTCATGGAAAAAAAGAAAGAACATTACGTCAAAATATGATCCTGTCTACTGCTTCTTCTTCTTTTTTTTCTTCTTCTCCTGTGTTCAGTTACCACCAGACCTCCACAGGCTGGAGCAGAGGGGCCACATTGTGCTTCCAGGGCCCAGTGTGTGCAGCAGAGCTATGGGCAAGAAGGACAACGCATGTGGCTCTTGGAGAGGTGACCTCATGTTCATGTTCATGGCTGACTTTGGCATTCTTTTTAAAATGTTTCTGTGTCTCAATCTGAATCTAAATCATAAACTTGATACTGACTCTCGTCGCTTGAGATCAAAGTTTTTCTGAAAGTGGACTTTGTGCCATTTGGTCTTCTTGTAGACGCTGATGACCTGAAAAGCTCTTCACAAGCTGGCGACTCGGTGAGATTCTCCTCCGTATGTTACCTGTGATGTTTAGACCCACTTTGCTAGACAGAGTGACTAAACATCACATATCACTACAGCCCAAATCTTATGAATTATTTCAAGTTGTTAAAACCATTTGCAAGCCATTCAGAGAGAAACTCATGCAGAGAAACAGTTGAGTCAAAGAAATGCAAGACATGCGAAAATATTGATCACCAACGGTGGAGATGGATCAATCTTTCGTGTCCAGATATACACATGTATTTGGTGGGGAAATATTATATGTACCGCCAGAGAGTAAATCACTAGATGATCCAACGAAATCTATTAATATATTTTCTCTCCTAAACATAATTAGGTGTTTCGCCGTCTTTCCCTTTGCCCCAGCTTCAATCTGCTTTTCTTGGCGACAGCGCTGTCAAGGCTGCTGCCGCTGACGACGAAGACGAGGACGAGGAGGACGAGAGAGGAGAGGACGGAGAAGAGGGCCACCTGGTCTACCACGTCGGACTCCTGATGAAAGAAAGATGTACTCGACGCCACTCGTGGTCCTCTGTGTCCTTTCTGTCCTAACCCTCCAAGTTAAAAAAAAAAATAGTGATTATTCAGTTGTTATTTATAATATTTATCATATCTAAGTCCCCCTGTCCTTCTCCAGATGAGGTGGTGTCCACTCTGGGAGCGGGAGCCTTTGGAAAAGTGGTGGAATGCCTCGACAGAGACAAGTAAGCTCGCGAGGACGTCCTCAGATCTCTCCTTTGGCCTCCGTTTGTCGGGACGTCACGATTTATTCGATACATGCAGAAGCCGGAGACAGTTAAACCGTCTTGTAAACCGAGAGACCTTTGGGTACCGCGTGTCCGCCAGGGACGAGCGCGTCGCCGTGAAGATCTTGAGGAACATCGAGTGTTTCCGTGACGCGGCGAGGTCTGAGGTCGCCGTGCTGGAGGAGATCAACAGCCTGGACGACGACAACAGATTGTGAGTTCTTTCTTTTCTCACACTAACGGACGTCTTTTACTCTTGATTCTGACTCCGCCCCCCCCCCCGCCCCCCCCGCCCTCCCTTCCAGTGCCTGTGTAAGGATGCTGGACTGGTTCGACCACGAGGGTCACATCTGCATCGTGCTCCAGCTGCTCGGCCTCAGCACCTTTGAATTCCTGCGACTGAACGAGTTCCTTCCGTTCGGCGTGGAGCAGATCCGACACATGGCCTTCCAGATCTTCCGAGCGGTCTGCTGTGAGTTCACCGCTGACCCCTGACCCCTGACCCCTGACCTTGTGATTGACTTGAAAGTAGTAAAGTGGATGAGAGCTGTTTTAATTCTTTAAATGCTAAGGAGAGGTCCTTAAATGTTTCCTTTACTGTCTGAAGCTCTTTTAATGACTTAATGACACACAACTACAACGTGTGTGTGTGTGTGTGTGTGTGTGTGTGTGTGTGTGTGTGTGTGTGTGCGCGGGTCCCACAGTCCTGCATCGTAACAAACTGACCCACACAGACCTGAAGCCAGAGAACATTCTGTTCATCTGCTCCGACTACGACCAACGAGTACAAACCCGAGACGGTAACCGCTTTGGATAGAAACGTTTCCCCGCCTTGTTTCAAGCGTCCCCAAGTACTGAGGGATGTTCAGCAGTGTGCGTGTGTGTGCGTGTGTGTGTGTGTGCGTGTGTGTTAGGAGTGTGAGGAGAAAAAGCTGAGGAGCCTGGATGTGAAGGTGGTGGATTTTGGCACCGCCACGTTCGACCACGAGCACCACGAATCACTGGTGTCAACGAGGCACTACCGAGCTCCAGAGGTCATACTGGGTACACACGCGCACACACACACACACACACACTCACACACACACACGGCTAGATGATGCCTCTGGTTGTAACTGTCTTTGTGCACAGATCTGGGCTGGAACCAGTCGTGTGACGTCTGGAGTTTGGGCTGCGTTCTCATGGAGTTTTACCTGGGACACGCCCTCTTCCAGGTACACACACACACACACATGCGCACACAGACAGAGACGGTAGTGAGCTGTTCTGTCCCCTCTGCTGCCCCAGACCCACGACAGTGGAGAACATCTGGCGATGATGGAGAGGATCCTGGGACCGATTCCCCTCCACCTGCTGAAACAGACCAGGTAACATCCTCCAATCCGCGCAATGAGGAACCAGGAAGTATGAGAGCCGACTGAGCGTCTCCTCCTCTCCTCCTGTGCGCGTTGTGTGTAGAAAGCAGCGATATGTGCACAACGGGCGCCTGGCCTGGGACCTGCAGACCTCCAGCGACGATCACGTCGGGAGACACTGCAGGCCGCTGAAGGTAAAACGCGCCGCCGATCGTCCGCGGCCCGCGAGCCAGCGGCAGCGAGCTGAAGGTGACTTTCTCTCACAGAAGTACATGCGGGGGAGGAGCGAGGAGGAGAGGCAGATGTTCGACCTGCTGGGCTACATGTTGGAGTACGACGTGTGCAGGCGGATCACGCTGGAGGAGGCGCTGTGGCACCCGTTCTTCAGCCCGCCGGGGGGGAAGAAGCCCCTGTGACTTTAAGCTACTTTAACGCTTTCTGAAAATAGTTTAATACTGAGCCGACCTCTGGCAGAAGATTGGCTATTTCTTCTCCTCCATCTCCTCCTCCTCCTCCTCCTCCTCCTCCTCCAGGGGCGGAGCTTCTCCTCCCGGGGTGATGACGCCGAGCTGCCGGAGATCCAGGACCGACGGCTGGGCCCGCTGGAGGGAAGGGTGGGGGGGGCAACGGGAGACCCAGATCCACGACTGATCTGCAGTGAGATGATGAGATGGTTTTCTGAAGGGAGTCTGGTGCTCGGAGACCACTTGAATCCACGGAGACCGACAGAATCAACAGGAAGGTTCCTCGTAGAAGCTCTAAGCATCGACACACACACACTGTTTTGGTTTAAAGCTGACGAGTGACTTACGATCCAGCCAGTTTCAGAGAGCGTTCCTGTCTACTTAATCATAAAATGCCACCATGATCCAGCAGTTGTTCAGACAGAATATGTCTGTATTCTCCTTCATTTGTTCATTGTCGTCCATTATTTTTTTTATTTTGATGTGTCTTAATTCTGCATCACCTCTATTTACTATTAAATTTTTGGTCATTTGTTTTTTTTGTCTCTTAATAATATAATATATATATAATATAATAATTATATTAATCAATAATGTGTCTCTTTGAAATCATTTTCTGTCTTTTTGTACTTTTTTTTGTCATTTTGTGTCTCTTAATAAATAAGTAAAGCATTTTGTAGCGATCCTTCCCTCGAGCTAATGCCGCTATGGCATGAGAGTATTATTCCTCGTGCCTCCTTTAAGTGGCGCATATAAATATACACAGACACACCCGCCGTCACGCAGACTCTGTCTGCCAGTCTCCAGTCAACATGCGCACCAGCTTTGTTGAAACAGGCAGATATTTAGATTCAAGCGGCCGAGGAAGTTTCCGTGAGCAAATATTTATCCGGCTCTGAGGTAGTCGCGTCTGTTATCTGAGAGCCATCGGTTTAAAGCTCCTAAATCACCTGCAGGCAATAAAGCATTGTGAAACAAGGCATGTGCGAGTGCCAAGGCCTACAGTTGGTGCATCATGTCGCGGGTTCCAGCCTGTCTCGTGACCTTTGATGATGCAATTTACCACACACAGGATATGATAAACGTATAAAACCAAAATACAACAATTTTTAGGGAAAATGCTGCAGTTTCCAACCCTAAATGCACCGTAAGGCCTAGCAATTAAATCAAAATTAAATTAAATGATTTCTCTTACTTAAAAAAGTATACAAATCTCACACCACACAAGAGGTATTGATTCTGCGGACATTTTATTTAAGACTTTAGGTTTTGTTTTTTCTCTCTCAGCCAGCACAGAGTCCTCTGCAAATATCTGCAGGTCATCAGACTGAAAACTTGATGCTTTCAATATCCAGTTTCAAGCCTTCTTCAGTACAGCTTGATGTTCATTTTGAGATCTTTGGTCCATCTAGGGTCAAACAGAGCATAAAGCAGGGTGGGCTTCAGGAACGTTTTAGAACATCCTCTGCTGTATGGTCTGTTGGACTCTTAATGGACCGTAATTTACTCAATGAACATCCAGCTGTATTGGAATAGAGATTGAGACCATAAACGCATGTTTACAACGTTTACTGTGGAAACAAATCAAGAGAGAAGTAATTCTCTCATAGACTTCTAGGACCAGCGGGTTTGACCCCTAAAGGACTGAGAATGAAGGGTTAAGACACGAAGCATCGGCGTCACTCTTCAGAACAAGAAGTACTGAGCCTGATTAGTCCTGAAATCATGGAAATAGATCGTAATAAAACTAGAGTTTACTTTGTTAGAGGTGTGATTTCGGTGAGACCTTAAGGAATGAATTCAATCAGGTCAGACGATACCTGAATCATATGCAGCGTAAAGTACAGACCTGTAATTTAAATTTTCCATTGATAAAATTTGTATCCCCGTCTTTCTGTCATCCCTGCTTCTCTGGTTTCTTTCACAAGCTGCTGGTGGCAGAAGACGGCAAAGTGTGCGCGCTGCTGTTGCCGATGATTGGCCTTAACAACGACGGGTTGAGGGTTTCTCCGACGGAAGCACCGGCTCCGACCTCCGCGGGCGGCTGCCGGTCAAAACTCCCCGGCGGTCCGGCGGCCGGGTACCCGGCTTGAGGGCAGGAAAACATGGCCGCCAACTGCAGCCGCACCTCCCTCTGCCAGAAGGCGTACACCAAGGGGTTGATGAGGGAGTTGGACAGCCCCAACAGCCACAGGTGATTCTCCAACAAGCCGGTGAGTTTGCAGCTCTCGCACAAGAGGTGCACTATGCACACCACGAAGAAGGGGCACCACAGGACCAAGAAGCAGCCCACCAGCAACCCCACCGTCCTCAGGGCCTTCACGTGGCTCCAGTAATGGCTCCTTAAATGGTGGTGGTGGTGGTGGTGCTCACAGTGTCGATGGTTGTCCGTCCTGGAGCCAGCTTGCCTGACTTGGCAGATCTGCTTCTGGTGGCCGCAGGCGATCTTCAGGATGTCCAGGTAGATGTAGAGGAACACGGAGAGCACGGGGAAGAAGCAGGTGCTGAACAGCACAATCATGCCCACCTGCTGGATGACGGAGAAGAAGGCACAGATGCCGGCGTAGCCGTCGGACTGAAGCTGCCGGACCATCGCTGAGGAACAGAGGAAAAAGAGGTTATCGGGACCCGCGAGACGTCACCATCGGGGAGGTCCATCAACGCGCTGGTGAAGCTTCACATGTTCCTCAAACATGACCCATCTGCTGCAGTTGTAACTAGCGGTGCTATTTCGTGTTACTGTTGCCTCCTTACCTATATCCTTTTTTGTAATATTTGTTTTCTTTTTATATGCTTGTTTGCTCTTAACACCACGCTGCTGTAAATCCTGTAAATTTCCCCACCGCGGGAATAACAAAGGATTATCTTATCACCAGCTTCCCGTCTGTAACACACTATTAATTCATCAAGCGGTTGCATTTTTTTATTTGAATGTAGCTTCATATTTTTTTCATTTTTGTTGTTTTTCCTATGAAAGTCAAACAATACCATGTGGATTTCCTTTACACACCTAAAACAACTAAGTTTTGTGGGAAAAGATGGAGTTTCAGAAAAACAAAATATTTCATATTTTTTAATATTTTATTTTATTAGTTTAACGTAAAAATCTTGGTTAAATGAAGGAAAATATCATAAAATATTTCATTTGATTCCAGCTACAAAACTACCTGGTTAGGTTTTGGAAAACATTGTGAAATACTTTGGGAAAAGTTAAATAATTTGTTAGATTACACATTGGTGCCCCACTCCCACTCCTTTTCCTTGAAAGACAAATACACCACCCTTCCTCACCCGGAAAGCTACCTCGATTGCGAGTGACACCAGCCACCCCGCACACAGTCTGTTCAGCCTCCCGCCCTCTGCAAGAAGGTATAGGAGCCTCCGTTGCCGCAACACCAGACTCAGAGACAGCTTCATACACCAAGCTGTCAGAAAGCTGAATTCTCTCCCCTCACTCCCCCCCAGCCATATCCGTCAGTCTGACATGGGGCTGAAATCCCCCCCCCCCCCCTTAAATCACTCAGGACTCTACAACAAAACTGTCTCTTGCACTTTTATCACTTACGTTTACCACGTAACCACTTACTGTTATACCTGCACTTTTGCTGCCATTACTAAATTGCCTTTTTTTTGCACTACCATAACCTCACTTTAAAGAAAAACTTATGCTGCTGTTGTCGTACGTGTATCTGTATGTTTTTTTTTATTTTTCTATTTGTATCTAAATGTCTTGTCTTATCTGTTGTTGTGCCTGTGCACTTTATATGTTTCACGGTGGGAGAGTGGGAAACGTTTTTTATCGATTCCTCGTATGTCTGACATGCAGGAAATTGACAATAAAGCTACTTTGACTAGATTTAAGCAAAATAAAATAGTTGGTTAGGTTTAAGAAATGGTGTGAAATACTTGGCTAGCTTCAGGAAAAGATCTAGAAATACTTTATCGTTGTGGTTTGGGTTAAAAAAAAACTAAGGAAGCGTCTTAACCTCATTTCACGTAACAAATAAATTGAACTTGACCTCTCTGACACGCGGCACCAACAACCTTTTTTTTAGCCCTTATAACAGGCACAATTTCCCGGTCTCACCTGGCAGGAATCCCATCGTGAGGGAGCTGACCCACAGCGCCAGCAGCGACCCGACCGCTGACCCCTTCCCGGACAGCCGCGAGTACCGCAGCGGCATCTTGATGGCGGCATAGCGGTCGAGCGAGATCAAGAACATGGACATGATGGACGCCGTGCAGGGCGACATCACGAAGGCCATCCGCAGCAAGCAGCGGGTCTTTCCCTGGGCGGGCGGCGTGGCGTCTGTGGGCGGATCGCCGGCGCCGAGGCCCCACTGGTTCTGGCCGCCGTCGTTGCCGCCGAAGTCCTCGGTGGCCAGGCCGGTGATGGCGACCCCCACCATGGCGTCGGCCAGCGCCAAGTTGAGGACGAAGCACCAGCTCTGGCTCCTCTTTTTCCGGAGCAGCTTAAACAGGGCGGCCGCCACCAGCAGGTTGGTGGAGATGATGAGGCAGGAGGCGATGCTCAGGATCACGCCCATCACCCGGGGCCTCATGCTCGGCGCCACCGGCTCGCCGGGGGTCATGCTACCAACGGGCTCGGGGCTCGCTGGTCCAATTGGATACGACATGTTGACGGCAAAAAAAAGAGATTTTTTTAATGGGAAATCCACATGTGGATCATTTTGACAGCTAAAATATGTCCAAGGAACTCCAACAGCCGCCACGCATGACAGCGCTTCATCGGCCGGAGGAGCGGCGCGCAGGTGTGATCGCCGCGGCACGAAGAGTCCTGTTGTCTGTTAAAACGTTTCCACGGTGATTTGTGGTTCAAACATCCACTCAGTCCAACCGGTCTCCGCTGTGTGCTTGAATCCAACAACAAAATGCAGAAAGGCAGAAAGAATCACGGCATTATCAGCAGGTCTCGCCCATCCCCTCCTCTCTCTCTCTCTCTCACACACACACACACACACACACACACACACATGCAAACCCTTCCGCTGCTGGATTGACCCTTGTCCCAGCTCCCAGGAGGGAAATCTCTATTTTTAAACATCCACTTGTCCTTTTAAACCAATGCTATTCTTTTGCTGCTGAGCCATGAAGAACATAACTTTATTTCACACGTTTCCATTCACAATAATTACGAGAAGGGACGAAATAATAATCAATGATGCACGACGATGACATTTGTTTACCACATAACTAAGAGATATCACCTTAATTATTTTGATTGAAACAATTATTTTTTTTGTTCTGCAAATATTCTAAATGTGCAAACAAGGCACTTTGTTATCAAATATGTACAAGTCTGCATAAATCTCAAGGAAATAAGTGTCCATGAACATTGGATAAAGCCTGGTTCAATCCCTTGGTTTCATTTAGTTGACATATTGGAAGTAAAGGTTTTAAAGGATTTCTCTTTATATAAACCGATAAATCCAAAACAGGAGGAATCAACATCTCGATGTATTTTACGGGTAATGAAAACAGCTCCTATAAATCACCATGAAACTTCATCATATCATATCAAAACCTGTTTTCTGGATATTTTTGCGTCTTCGCGTTGGCAAATGTCATCGTGACCAGTTGTAACCTTGAAGGTGAATTTCTGAGTTCTTGTTGGGAGGATGGCAGCATGACGTGAACGTAACACTTCATAATAACACCTCATGAGGATGGAAACCCACCTGGTGGTTGTTGCACTCCTTGTCTGTGCTGTGCTTTGGAGATTGTGTTAATAAAATGGGAGGAAGTGAAACAGTGTGTGTGTGTGTGTGTGTGCGTGTGCGTGTGCGTGCAGCGCTGAAAGCTTTAGTTAAACTCTAACCCGGCTGGCTGACGTCCTGCTCCGGCCCCAGAGTCCTCAGAGAGAGACATCTGGCCCCCGATGGGACCATTTTCCACTAAGAGTCACACACAAATACATCTGGTTAATGACGCTTTAGCTGCAAACACTCAGACCGCCACCTGGCATCACAACAGCTTCCGTGAGTCTGTAAGAAGAATAGAGAACATGACAATACTGAATTAATAATTAGCCTTGATTGTTTGTCTGTGATCCCAACGATCTTTTTGGTGTATTTACTTAAGTTAGTGAGAGGAACCTTTAACTGGTCCTGAACCAGCCTCAATTTATTCCTAATGGTCTTCATGACCTCCATCAGTAAACAACGGCATCACAGTGGAGGGTTTTAGTTTTTTTCTTAATGCTCGTCATCGGCGCCCTCAGGTCAGATGTGACAGTTATGTGAGACTGTTCCAGCACCAAGGCCGCCTCGCTCCTTGTTTCCACAAGTCTCGTATCTAAATGTCTGTAACAAAGTCCTTACTGGGAAAAGACTCGGCTTTGCAACTGGCCTCAGAAATTTATATTCTGAATGTTTAAAATAAGATGAATTGGTGAATTTTGCTGCGTGAAGGTGTAATTCTTCTTTTGCTCACTAGATGAAGCCCTTCAGCCGTCACAGGGGAGTTCAGCCTGCGACCCAAAAAACAGCAGCGGTGGAGGTTGAATCCAGCTGTTTTGCAGAGACGTGATCTCGGTCAGGTGATCTCTGTCAGGTGACCACTCTGTCTGCTTATTTGTGTTTATCCTCGCACTGATGTTGGTGCTGTGTCTTCATAGTTGTCCTTTGTGTTTCCCGAGCGTTGAAAGATTTTGCTTTTTAAGACCCAACCAGACCTTTTTTTTCAGACTACAGAGAGAAGCTCTTTGTTTATTAGTTTCTCCTAGTGGCCAAATAGGATTTTTTCCAAAGCTGATGCTGGAAATAGCAAAGAGTTTACGTTTCTCAACTTCTGTTGCTTTTAAATTTGCTCCATAAATAAATAAATAAAAACATTACCTGGAGCCAACTTGCTTACTTATAATTTTATCACTTTACTGCAGGTTTAGAATGTTGTTTTCTTTGCCTTTGCTTTTGTCCATGTCGGTTGCAAAGACTGCATCTGTGTGAAAAAGGGTGCTCGTTCACTGTATGTTTTGGGGATGTTTGTCTTTCCCACAGTCTGTCTGTGTGTGTGTGTGTGTGTGTGTGTGTGTGTGTGTGCGCGTGTTGTCCACTTGTCTCTGGTGTTCAACCGGTCAAATGTGTGTTGCCTGAACCTTTTCAATGTACTAACAGGACTTACGGTCCTTGTAATAAGCATTTGTAAATAAGTAGGAAGGACCTGACATGATGCTTATTGACATTCATATACAGCCTTTTTTTTCTGCTTTGGATCCAGTGGATGTAAAATGCACCGCAAGCATTTAAAAAGCTCAAAATAAATTATTCACCATACCGGCTTTAGATCCTTACTTAAAAAACAGTTCACTGCAAAAAGAATGCAAAATAACATACATTTTTATTATTTTATTTGTGAAGCAGTTAGAAAAATTGTCACTGGACATCATCAAAAGAGGACATTTAATGTTGCCAATGACGGTAATTATTGCTAATGATGCCAACAGGAGACAGAGTTGACACACATACAAGTCACGCGTCGAGCTGACTCAAAGGTTTTCATCTTCAAAACCCCGGTGCTGGTAGTCGACCTCGGATGTAGACGATCATCTTCGGCACCACAAGATAAAAACATCGACGCACAACACGTCTTGATTATCAGATGACCCAGAACACCGTGTGCGTCTGTGCGGAACAGCACAGACCTTCTGTCGTACCACGGTGGAACATTATCGCACTTTTTCAACAGGAGCAATCAAAAAGCTTAAGTAAAGGTTTCAATGACGGGAGGTGAGTTAGTCAAAGTCAAAATAAACGTGTTTGTAATGTTATTATATTAAGAATGATAAGAAACTCATAATATTAACATCAACATTCTTCTAAAAACCTCAGAATCCCATTTACATATTACACATATGCTCCTATTGACACATATTGATGTTGATAAGCAGGCTTTATAAAGGCATTACTACCCATTAACTTACACTCATCAGAAGGACTCAGATGTTTGGTGACTGTAAGCGCTGCTCTCACGATCCAGCTGTAGGTCAGAGTGAAACTGCGTATTGATCGGACTAAACTGCCCGCTTTGTTTGTTTAGGTTTGTTTGTGTCGATCTGTTTGCCTTCGGTTCAGGGCCGAGATCTTTTCCCCATTCTGGACTCTTTATTTATTAACAGGTGCTCTGTAAAAGAGCCTTCGTGTGCCGTTTATCGCATGTTGGTACTTTAGAGATGTTGATTTTCGAGACGTTGAAGGGCATCATTTTACACGACACAGATCTGCTTGTTTTTTGCTGATAAATTTCTGCAATTTGTACGTCGATTATCAGTGTTTATTATCAGAATACAAAACTCTGCATGTGGTGCAGAAATGAGAATTATGGGGCTCACTTTTCTCTGCGGATTTCTGATTTATAAACATTCACAGTTTGCCACATGCAGGGAAACATTGAATAAATCATAATGACAAAAGTTTGCATTTATCGGCAAAGAAAAATCCAGGACCAGTTAAATGTTATTTTTTAATCATGGTTGTTTTAATCGCCTGTTAAAAGTGATAAATCTGTAGAAAATGTAAATCAACTGAGACCCTCTGATGAAGATGTGAGAGATAAATGTTGCATCGCAACCACGGCTCAATGCGACTGACTGCAGGTGCATCGATCATCAGACTGGTAAAAAAAGTGAAAGAAGGATCTTCACACTAATGTGTATAAATATACGTCCAGAGGAGGGAAGGAAAACTCCCACCTGCTGATGCTGCAAGAAGTTCATCAAACAGCATTCGTGTTTCAGCCTGAATATATTTAACTGTCAAACCAAATAAAAGAACATTTTCACACTGTAATAAAAATAATAAGGCACAATATTCATAAGCATGGTAACAGTATTGGAATTATGTGTATTTTTTTAGTCGTAATCAGGTAGAAAAGTACATTTTGATTTGGTTTACAGCCTAACAGAGGCGGGACCAAGTTGTTTTCAAGTCACCAGTCAGTCTGTTAGAAAGTTGAAAGTCTTTGGGGATTTTTCTTTTTCTTTTTTTTTTTTAACTGACAAAAGAGTTAAAGACTAGAAACGACCAAATCAATTAATCACATGTTTCCAAGATCAATTCAACTTCAAAGACAGCATACGATTCATTTTGATCATTTTCTCCTCTTGATAAAATGATCAATGTCTGCATGGGTCAATCAATAAAAACACTCAGCCCAACACAATCAAAGGGTCGCTTTGTCTTTTCAAGAGTGTAACTTTTCTACATAACAGAAAGAAGAAGGTCTGGTCATGTGACCAGAAGACACAACATTTACAGAGAAAACTGACGGGCTTTATTAAACTTTAGAAGAGGCTTAAATCTTGTGCCTCACTGACGAAAAAGTCCAATAAACTACCAGCGAGAAGTCATTCTTTAAAGCTACTCGAGTCCTGATCATAACCGAGGCCAAACACATGTAAGCTGTCAGGCATTTAAAGGCGTGATGGAGTGATGGTAACCTCAGACGTAACCTGTGATGTCATATCCTGCCGCGGCGGGCTTCTTGGCCCCCTGGGCTCCGTGTGCGGTGGACTGGGAGCTGTGGCTGGTACTGCGGACCATCGCCGGCCCCCTGGAGGCCCCCGCTTGCAGGGTGGGGTTGTGGTAAGTCTGCGAGGTCGTCCGTGCCCCCCCGCCCGGCACGGCGACCCCCACCGGGTACGGGTAGCCTCCGGCGTGCCGTCTGCCGCCGCCCTGCTCCTCGCAGCACGACGCGCTCAGCATCCCGCCCCCCAGCATGGTGACCAGCGAGGACGCCAGGCCCACGTACAGACACTCCCCCAGCTCGAACTTCATGCTGGACGGCAAGTCCGGCCGGTAGAAGGTCTGCACCACCTCGTGCGTCGTCCACGACACTGGTATGAGCGACAGGAAGCCCGCGGTGAGGAACAAACCCCCGCTGGCGCCGGCCACGCGACTCTTAGCCGCGCCCGCTCCCTCCAAGCAGAGCGTGCACTGCATCCCCAGGGCCGCGACGGCGACGGCGAGCACGGACAGCACGAGGGAGATGACCATGAGGGCCCGAGAGGCCTGCAGGTCGGGGGACAGGGCCAGCATGGAGTTGTAGGTCTCGCATTGGAAGGCCCCCGTGCTCTGGTAGACGCACTCCATCCACAGGCCCCTCATGTTGGCCACCGCCGTCACGATGTTGGAGCCAATGTGGGCGGAGATCTGCCAGTACGGGAGCACGGTGGCCACCAGGGTGCCCAGCATTCCCAGCAGGCCCAGGAAGAAGCCCATCAGCTCCAGAGCGGCCGACGCCATGGTGACAACTGTGATGGAGGAGCGCCCCCCAAACAGCAAACCCGTCACTGACCGCATAAATATTACAGTATTTTATCTTATTCTGACTAATAAGTCGGCTTGATAGCAGCTGGTTGTTAGCTTTGTTAGATCACTGAGTTATTCGCTAATTTATCTTCCCGCGATAAACAACAAGCGCCGACGTAAAGTGGATCGCAACAGTAAATTTGTGTTCACGGCATAAAGGCAAACATTTTCCTTTTTTTTAAACAATTTTATTCATGGGACCTATGATTAATTTCATTGCAATAATTATTAGATGGTCCCCATTACTGTATTTCATGAACAGAAAAATCTACATTCCGACTTTTGTACGTTTCACAAGTCACAAACAAACAGCAAAACCTTTACAAGCTGCTTTTTAATAGGATAACTAAACAGTGTTAGTGTTGACGGGGGAAACGTTTGTAGGTGTAACCGGAGGCAAACGTGACTTTCAGCTATTTCAGCTCTGGTCTGCCTCTGTAATGGTTTTCACTAAGAGGGAGATGTCGCAGCTGTCAGAAATCCCTGTTATCTCTCATCGCAAAATTATTATTTACATCTGGGAGGCTGACGCGTAACGTCTTTGCTCGTCTGCTGGTAATTACAGTATGGGATGCATGACGCTACGGCGGCTTTACCTGTGTCTGGAAACTGTGTGGAACGACGTGGCAGAGTCCAGGCGTCTGGTTCTGACCCACTTCCCGTTACGATAAATCAAACTGTGAAAAGACTATCACGCCTTTGAATTGTGAGCTTTATTTTGGTGTTGTTTGTCTTTGTTGTGTTATTTTCAGATTACATTAATCATGTATTGTTCACTTCCTGTTTAGGTGTAACCGAGGATTCTATTTGTCGTGTTGATTTCAAAACTTAACTGCAGAAATGCTGAATATCCATATTTCAAATACTGCGACTGTACAAAGGCGAGATACTACAGCAAGAAACATTTTCATGCACCGGAGACTTCTTCTTTCAGACATGTAGAAATATTTACTTTAATGCTTAGTCTTTTGGCATCTGTACATTTTTCCTAAATTCACCAAAAGACAATAAATAGATCAACTAGTGAGGTTTTATGGTATTAGTTGTGTGTCTAAGCAACATTTTTGTCCCTCGAAATCACTGTAGAGAAATATACCAATCACACACACACACACACACACACACACACGCAGCCCGCTTCCATTCATTACCTGAGAATACTGCAGATTTTGGGAGAGCCAGACAGCGGACCCGTTGAGGATTCGATGGTGTTCCTTTGCTGCAGGAGCTGAAGTTGCAGCCGGAGCGGAGGATGAGGAGGCGGAGGATGAAGAAGACGGTGCAGATTGAATTCACTGCTCCTGCTCCCTCAGACCTGGACCAAGTGTCTCTGCTTCCAACGAGCGCTGTTACTCTGCTGGCCGCATCGGACCACGACAGCCAAAGAAGTACGCTCCTCTGAGTTGGACACACTTCCTGTCCCTTAAAGAAACAATAAACCAGGACAATGGACGCTGCTCCGTAACATTGTCTCTCTTTCTCTGTCAGATAATCTGCTGTGTTCGTTAAAGCGTCGAGTCTCTGTGATCCTGACCTTCACCTCCTGCCGTGTACACACACACACACACACACGCACACACACACACATCCATACCAGCCTCGTTAATCATTCCTTCAAAAAGGTGTTGCAACGTTCAGCAGAATGCCAATATTTCAAGCTATTAAATCTCTGTATACTGTAATTGAGTGAAAGCAGAAACATTCAGGCTATTGCTTGATGAAAAAGCTTTCATGAAAGTGTCTTGGGTCTGAAAAAAAATTGCAAAAGAAATGCAAAAAGTCAGAAATGGAATAAACCCACTTGAAGCACTGTTTTTTCATAATTTAATCTGTTTTATTCCTTTATTTTACATATTTCTATTTTGGCTTTTTCAATAGAGACATTTTCTGAAAGTAAACAGGGTTTGTTCCCTTCCTCCGTCCTTCATGCTTTCTCCTTCTTTTATTGCTCTCTCCTCTCTTATTCACCTCCTAGGAGCTGAATATTAATATTAAGTATATTAAATTACTTGAATTACTTTTACCTTTTTTAAACTTTGAATTCATTGATGCATCATTTAAATTTCTTCATCCATTTCTTCAATTTTCTTTACTGTAGTTAATTAAATCCAAACACCATAAATGCCTGGTCTATTTTTGATGGCAACTTTCAGACTCCATACAAAAGAATAACTGCCATAACATATTGTTAATTTACGACTCATTAAAGCTGAGACCAAACTTGGCCGCCTGCCGCACGTCACCATCCATCAACTGTTTGCTGGGTTGCCCGTTTGCAGACTGCTGATGCTGAGCGCCCCAAATATACTAACTAATACTACAAACCATGTCAGTGTACCTCCAGGTGTGCCCTCCTTTGGCGGCCGGTGGCGCTGTCATCCGAACAGTTTGAACGTGCCATCGGCGTCTGCGTCGGTGTCAGTCGCCCAGTTTGCTTCTGCGTCCCGTCCGGGGGGCTCGAACCTTTTCGGTTTCTGATCCCTCCGGCCGGCCCCCATCGCATTGCAGCATAGTCATGATGAGATTAACGTGTAATCCCTGCAAAAGCAGAGCGAGAGGGCAACGTCCACACACACACACACACACACACACACTCAGAAACACTGAGGCATTATTATAAATCAAAGGGAGGCATTATCTGGACGCGCCGCATGCTAATGGGGCAGCTACCTATGACCCATTGTTAGGCAGGCCGTTGTGACTGGCTGGTGATCAGTTATTGTGAATATAAAGGGGCTTGATGATGATAGAATAAACACCCAACCACTTATTCAGTGTTGTTGTCGATGGATTTATTCTTAACATTTGAATTCTTGTTGTGCTATAGAGGTGCTACATTTAGCATCTGGAGGCAAGCGAAATATAAAACCAAACATCTGTTTGCATTCCTTCTAATGAAAGTTTAATGAAAATGTTTTTGTTTGTCAAGTTTTTCTAGTTTGTAAAATGGGCCTTCATCTGCATTTTCTTGTGCAACCTTGGTTTGGCACTAGCGATTGGTGCTAACGATGCTAGCGATTAAGCATAAGCTAACTGAAAGGTTAACGGCTATATGAATGGTGATTAAAACCAACGTAAAGTCTGGCTACATGTTAAAGTGACTTAATGCAAGCCCAGTTTTTCATGTGTCTCTTTATAGATTCTGTAACTTCTGTAACTCTATGGTGGAATTAGCAAGCTAGCTAGCCAACTAGCGAGCCGCTGAATTAGAAAAATTGTAAAAACTGTAGGATATTAGAAACAAATTGACGACCCGGTTCATAACATTAATAAAATGCATATAGTGTACACCAGAATACGGCCATGATTCTGAAACTGTGTAATCAATAAAGTAATGACAATATTGTAAAACCACTGTAATTCTGCAACTGTAATAGAATAATACCAATGCAGTTATGATTGTATTTGATGTAATGTAATCAACTGGAATGCATGCATGTAATACTTGAACAACAACTGATATTGACTAAGGATCATTCGAAAGAGTTACATTGAACTCACCAGAAGACTCCCAGAGGTGTGGACACTGACTTTCACACCTTTGAGCATTGGTATAAATACCTGTAGGAACCATTGTTCTCGAGTTCACTGGTGGAGGCTACAGACGGGCACTAGGGATGGTCAAAGGACTGACCTGGGGCCTGTTGGTCGCTGAGACCAGCGGCTCCTCAGCTGAGATGTTCTTTTTACCACAACACCATCTCTTTTATTAAATACATTTGATTTTCGATCAGCGATGACCTCTGTCCGCCCGGCGTTTCTTCATTTTTGAACACAACAAAACTTAACGATCATTGCACATCGCTGCTGTCCAATTCTGAGTCTTTTTAACTGATTCAACTGATACTGTATCGTGACACAATGACTGTACTTTGTACAGTGCTGCAAAATATGCACTATATAGCCAACGATATGGGGACATGATGGGGGAGCAGATTAAACTTTCAGTTAGCTTGTCAGGACTTTGGCTGTGTGCAGGCCAATCCTGGTAACAATGTTGCCACAATGTTGAAATGTCTAAAACAAAACTGCATTGCATTGTGGTCGTCGCTGTTGGACTCCTCGCCACTTATCAGTGATATCACTACCCTCGTTTATTTTCCATCCCCGCCCACGGCCCTCACTTTGCCCATTCCATTGTTATTCACACTGCAAGATGCTGCTGCTTATTACATTCAACTACTACAAAATAATGCAGGGTCGAAACCATTGAAAAGTAAGTCCTGACCAAAGGAACAAGTCAAAGTACGAGTTGACGAGTGAAATCCCACTTAAGTGGTGGAATGTGCATAACGCAATGGGGTGCTATTGATAATGATGATATCTAAAGCGTTGTGATGAATATACATATTTAGACATTACAATTACAGTAATAAAACAGGATTCCTCACTGTCCCAGCAAAGAGCAAATAAGTTCTCACCTTCATCCCCGACTAAAGTTAACATGGGTTCTTGTGACACTATTTTCCAATAAAGGAGAATCATTCTTGCAGCTGTTACTGCAAAGTCACGGTTATTTAGGAGTTTAAATATTGAAGGTATTAAATGTGTTTAGAAGTGTAATTGATCTGATGAGGACGTAGATTGTGACTCATTTAGCTACACGGTGACAAGGAGCCAGTTAGATGTTTACAGTTTCATTTGAATGTGATGACGTAAAGCAGCTGCTGGGTTGCAGATTAATGCTCTGGTCTTCAATTAAATGACTAAAGTTTAATATTGACTTGATGTTATCTGGTGGATAGAGAACAGGACGAAGATTTTAATTGTATTTGAAAAAGTAACTGGCACAAAACTAGTAACATTTTGTGTGTTTTTAATATTTGGTAAAACAACATCTATCAATTAGAAATATGGTGCTCTAGAATTGAAACGCATTGACATGGAAATATCAGAGATTGAAACGTATTCCCCAATAATTAAGGCATTCTGTGTGGTCATTCCGATCTACTTCCCTTCATTGTAAACCACGTTGTGCTGTATTCCGTGTATTAAATGTGCTATACAAATAAAGTTGAATGTTATCAAGATCATCATCATCATCATTATTACAACAGAACATTTCTGATCGGTGGAAGTTAACTACCTCCAGAAGATGGCGCCAACGAGTGTGTCTGCTGCCGTTTACGCCTCGAATGAGGAGAAGAAGAAGAAGCCAATTTCTGGTTTAGTTGACATTAGCTGAAATGAGAAGCTAACAGCGGACAATAAGTTTTCTGCTTGTACTTTAGTTAAGTCAGCTCTGTATTAAGTCATGGAAAACCAACTCAAGTAGCAGTTGGCGTATATTACTGACTCTACAGGTACGTGACATTTCAGCTCAACGTAAGATAACGAGTTGCTAGCTGGCGAAGCTGCTAACAAGCTCGCTAGTTATTTCCACAAGTGTTAGCCGACTAGCTGTTAGCCTAGCAATAGCATCTGCTACGAGGTAACTTAGCCGTTAACAACAATTATAATGGCCACTTCCACATGAATCAAAAACACGTATTTGTATCGTTTTAAATCCATACATCACAGATAATATTAGCTATACGTCATCTCTTTGCGTACCGTATCAAACCGTAACGATAATAAACACATTTATTTACATTTTTGTGAAAATAAATGGTTATTCGAGGGCTCTTCCCCAGGGCGTAAGCCAATTGAATCGCTTAGAGCTCCGATTGACTGAACTCTCAGCCAATAGCGACCCGCGCTACAATTATGACGTATATCGCGGTCTCTCCCTCCCTCTCTCCGCGGTGTGCGGCGCAGCGGGCGTCTCTTTCCGGCGCAGTTCGCTTTGGATGCTGATGCTGAGGCGCCTCGCAGATCTGTAGCATCGCTAGGTCTTCTGCGTTTATCGCCATGTTGTACTGCCTGAGGCTGCAGCACTGCGTTGACCTCTGTCTGGGCGGCCTGCTGTTGTTTTTAGCGGTGGGGCTGCAGCAGGTGGAAGCAGCATCCTCTGCGGAGATGATCGACTTGAACTGGAAGCCGTTCATCTACGGAGGGATGGCGTCGATTGTCGCAGAATTTGGTAAGCTACGTGATGCACCACCTATACCCATATCCCAACTGCCCTGCACATTTCTTGGGCAGCTTATACATTGTACTTCCACGGGAGCACGTGTTCTATGCAAATAGTCTTTTTTCTCATATTTGCAAACGGGATAAATATTTACGCTCTGTGGTACACATTATATGCGTTGTTCATCCGCGACTGCTGATGTACACAATTCACCAGGTTAAAAATCAAGTCAGTTTGTTCCTTACTTTACAGCAGTAATTAACCACCAGATCTCATCGGTACATTGGAGTCGCAGAGCTGGGATCAGCTAGATAGATGGAATTATTGCTTACACGATTATTTAAATAGTGCATAAAATACAAACAAACACAACGTGAGGCATCAGTAAGTTCACCTGTGCTGCATTAGGTAGAAGATATATTTATTACCCATTTGTCGAGTTGTCGACATGAAGTGCTTATATTTATTTTTAGTAAATATTCATGTTGCGTTTAATTTGTTTATATTTTTCTTCTGCTGCACAAAAAAAGAGATTGCTGAATAACAAAACTTGCTCAATTATTTTAGTTTAGATTTTTGAATACAATACTTTTAATGACAATGCACATTTTTTTTCTTCATAATTCATCAATATTTGGTGCCAAATAACCTTAATGCTAAATAATTATTACGACTCTACTACATTTATTTTCTTTTTCTATTCTGATTGTTGTTGTTGTTCTTATTCTTACATTTTGAATCCTCAGGGACCTTTCCCATTGACCTGACAAAGACTCGCTTACAGGTCCAGGGTCAGTGCCAGTACACGGAGGTGCGCTACAGAGGCATGTTCCACGCCCTCTTTAAGATCGGCAAGGAGGAAGGCATCCGCGCGCTCTACTCTGGGTATGCAAAAGGCTTTTTAGTGCCTTTACAATGTCAAACACACTCTTTACCCCCACATAAGTTCCTAGGGGAGGTGAAGCGCAAGAACCTTTAGGCGGGAGTCGGCTTCATCTGGGGTACCTGTACAAGGGGAGGACTCTGGTATTTAGATTTTGGACACGGAGGAGAGCCTCCCTTTGGTCTGATGGGATTGAAAGTCAAGTCAGGTTTTGCGTTTGGGTTCCTGACAAAAGATAGAGAAAGAAACTGACAAAGAGACAGACAGTGCAGCAGTTCTGTGAATAAAAAGATTCTATTTACAATCAAGAAATCAGATCTGGAGATACTGGAGGCTGCACACCTCTACGAGTTTCTTCTATCTACAAGCGGTGTGCGGTTATTCAGGTTTTTTTTACACAGAGCTGTTTTACTTTGTGGGTGTTTTGAAATGCGATGTCTCTGAATCCAACGAGAGATGTGAAAAGAGTCCCAGTGGAACAGGAAATGTATTCCAGCTCCTCTTTGACTATCAAAGCAGCGGCGGGGATTCAAGTGATTAAGATTGACTGACGTGTGGGGGATTTGAACATGATTGGCGCTCTCTGTCTGCTTTGAGTTTGTCGATGAACATACTTTACTCTTCCTCTCAGCATTTCTCCGGCTCTGTTGAGACAAGCGTCCTACGGGACGATCAAGATCGGAACCTACAACTCTCTGAAGAGGCTGTTTGTGACCAATCCAGAGGGTGAGCGCTGTGCTTCTACCATCTCACCTTTTAAAACCCTCCATCTTAATGCTCTAAATCTACCGGCTGAAAACAGAGAGGGAGATTATTCACAGAACGCAAATCTTCCGACTATAGGAGACCTGTCTCTTAGCAGATGGACAAACAATGAACAGGAGGTGGTTTGAATGGTACGGAGAGCAAAAATCCTTTCCATATTTCAGTCATTTCAAACGAGAAAAAAACGTATTCTGTCCTTTTTTTTTTTTTTAAACCATCTCGACTTTTCTCTTCAGTTGAGAATAGACTACTTTTCCATCTGTACGGACAGAGTGACGTTCTGGATGGTATCGACGCTCAGTTTCCTAAACGCTCAGCGGGGCAGCCCGGAGATGTTGACTCACAGTAAACAACAAACCGGGTCGGATGCGTCGTGACAACCTTTGTTGATCCAGAGCGGACTCCCTGTGTTAACCCACCGGCACTAATTTGAAAGCTAAATGAGAGACAAAGAACTTCCAGGAAAGGAGGGAGTCAGAAAGGGCGCAGACAGGGAGACCGAGAGCTGTAAGAGCTCCTGATGGGCCTCGCATGGAGAGAACCCTTCTATTCATTTGGTTGGAATGACCCATATTTTTTTTTTTGCACATTTGCTGGCTCTTCTTTATTCTCTCGCTCTCTTTCCTTATACTCCTCTCAATATTTTATGGCCAATTAGTGAACACAAGGTAAATCATTTATAAAATGGAGCAGATCGGACTGAAGGAGCAAAGCGTTACGTCTAGTTTTTCTGTGGTTGGTTTTCTTAAAGGACCATTTGCGTCTCATGTTTGTGCGAGTTTGAGGCTGTCGAGATGTTCGAAACCTCACAAGAGGCCGAGTAACAAAATCACCCTTAGCATGATTAGCCGATTCATATTTATTTTATTGCGGGTTCACATGCTGGAATATCCGAGTACATAATCCCTGCATCGCGTGAACTAGTGGAACTCCCAACAAACCAGAAGGCCGGTCTGCAGTAAACAAGTAGAGTAATAAACATCCTGTTTGCCTTCTAAACAGGCGGCAGTGAGTCAGCAGCAATGAATCAGGGCAAATGCCTTTGTGCCTTCGTGTGATTACTGAAAAATATTGATTCTGGATCTCCTTCTAATAAAAGGAGTTCAGGGAGAGTTGAAGGAAAGGAAGCGAGAAAGAAATCCAGTCAGTGAGGAACGTCTGTTCAGCAAATCTCTCGTTTCTTCTCTTTCCGTTCTGTTTGAAATCCGAACATTTTGCCGCCGTGTGTGAGTGATCATTTCCTGTGTCTTTCACGTCAGACGAGACGATGGTCATCAACGTGTTCTGCGGCGTCGTGTCCGGAGTCCTGTCCTCTTCTCTGGCCAACCCCACTGACGTCCTCAAGGTGACCCTCAATGCTGGGGAGCGGGCTCGGATCACGATGTCCGTACCAGTATAGCGATCAAAACAATCAACGTCCTCTCATTTTAATTCAATGCTTCTGCCACTCGGAACACAGCATGTCCTCCTGTGCGGTCTTTGAATCGTTAAGAAGCTCCTGTGACGTTCAACCTTGTGTCCTTGTTTGTTGTTTGTGTGTCTGTTCTTGTTCCAGATCAGAATGCAGGCGCAGGGCAGTTTGCTCCAAGGCAGCATGATGTCCAACTTCATGAACATCTACCAGACCGAGGGCACCAGAGGGCTGTGGAGGGTCAGTCCTGCTTTACTTCACCTGGTGTCCCTTTGCTCTACTGAAGGCTCTTTTAGATCTCGTCATCTCGTTTGTCGGACTCATTTTCCTCCTCGTCCTGCTCAGGGTGTCATCCCCACAGCACAGCGAGCAGCCATTGTGGTCGGGGTGGAACTTCCTGTCTACGACATCACGAAGAAGCACCTCCTTCAATCAGGACAAATGGGAGACACCATTATGACGCATTTCATGTAGGTTCAAACTCCTCCTCCGCGATCATGCATGTCCGCGCCGTTTCCATCCGTTCACCCCGTGGCTGTTTGTGCAGTTCGAGTTTCACGTGCGGCTTGGCCGGGGCGCTGGCGTCCAACCCCGTGGACGTGGTGCGCACCCGTATGATGAACCAGCGGGTTTCGTCGGGGGCCCCCATGTACAAAGGAACCCTGGACGGGCTGATGCAGACGTGGAAGAACGAGGGCTTCTTCGCTCTCTATAAGGGGTTCTGGCCCAACTGGCTGCGGCTGGGGCCTTGGAACATCATCGTATCCTTCACAAGATGACACAAATACACATTGGACCATAGAAATGTAGTACTTTAGTTTATTACAATAATGTACAATGGAATCTGTATATCTCCTCTTACCTGTTGTGCTTTTAATGCGTCTTGTGAAGCTCTTTCCTCAACGTCCGTTCCAGTTCTTCATCACCTTCGAGCAGCTGAAGAAGCTCCCGTTTTAACCGGCGCAGGAGGCGGGACTTGGCCCGGTCTGTTGGACTGTGTTGGGAGTAAGAAGAGTGTGAGCTCGGCAGCACCCGGAGCTCATTCACACTCCCCTCAAATGTACGGCATTGATGCGACACTGTATTTTGTCATCTGCCTCCATGCTCATCCAAATCTTCTGTTTCTCTCATTTTCGGATTTAGTTTTTATTTATCGTCGCTGGTTGTGTTTTCGTACTATTGCCGTGGCGACACTCCACCAGGCAGCTAGATGTTCCCGCTGTAGCAGAAGACGGAACGTGGATTCCCTTCAGTTGAAAGACGGGAGTTTGCCAAATGTGGATTTGGTGAACTTTTGCCTTTTTTATTTTCTTTAAACAGATGCTTGAGATTGTTTTTGTTCTTCACACACCTGGAAAAAACCTGGAAAATGAGTTGGTTAGTCGTGTGCGTCGCAGAATGTCCGTTCAGGCTGCTCAGCTACGCAGTTTCCTAAAAGTTAGGGTGAAATTTTAAAAATTGAACGACTCAAAACGCAGCATTTTGAATGCGTCGGCGCCGCATGAGACGATCTCTGTTTGTAAATCGGATTAAACTAAACCAAGCAGAAGGAGGAGGATAAAGGAGAGTAAAACAGAGTATTAATCATAACAAAATTAGTAAATTACAGAGCTGGAGGAAGAGGCAGATACTCAGAAAAAGAAAATCACAAATTAACCTTTCCACGCATTTCTTGTAAATTATGACCACATAAAAATGGATTTCAATTTTATTTCTCATACATATTTTTCAAATCATGAGCTCATACGTGCGACTTTACTCGGCCTTTGTACGACCTTTATCGCAGGTTTCTTTTCTCTTCATATTACCTTCTCCTGCAGCTCTGCAAATCCTTCTTCTATTCGTTACCTACAGAGACCCCAAAGCGCCGCGGTTACCGCTACATTCAATATGTTGTCAAGATCTGTACATCGTGGTGCCTCAAAAATGCAGTTTAATCTGAAAATGGACGATGACTCGACACTCTGTCTGCGTTGTTCTATTAATCTTTTTTAAGGAGGTATTTCAGACTTATTTGAACACAAACTCTGGGATCACAAAGAGTCCGTGAAGTTATACTTGAAACGAGCAAAAGTCTGAACCAAAGCCTTTTTTAATGGGCCTCTTATTCCTTCACAACCAGACGGTGGACTTCCTCCTCCGGGTTTGTATTCCTTAGCAGATATTCACTCCCTATGAAGGTGTTTTACATTTTATCTTTTCTATGGATGCGTTTCTTTTTGTCACCTGCGGTCTGCAGCATGGAGTCACATTTCACAGCTGCAAGTCTTAGATTCGAAATGCAGAGATTTCAGTTCAACTGCACATGTAAAACAAACCAAATTGGAATGAATTGTGTTTTCAAATGTTTAACGCGTTAACTATTTAAGCATCACCAAACATTTTCATGCTGTTTTGTTTGATCCAAAAATCTTTTTGTTTCTATGTTGGAGTCCAATTTGTGAGTCGGCACAATCATGGATCACGGATGTAACATTAAGTGTTTTTAATCCGTAGCCGCAGGCGTTTAGTCCTGAATCTAAAGGTTTTCTTCTCACTGTCTTGTTACAGCTTTACGTCGGTTTTTGTGTTTTCCTTCAGTAACTAACGTCTGCACTTTGTTCTAACAGTTCTCAATTGTGAAAATACATTTAAGAAGCTGGTCCAAGATAATTCAGCGCGTCGATTTACATGGTCTAATGTGTCTTCTAAGATTTACATTTTAATATTTTCTTCCAGACTATCATGGATGCATTTAAAACGGGCTGCTTTGACCTGCTGAGATCCGTTCAGCCACGTCTGAGAAATCTTTCGAAAGCACTTAAAGATTAAACTTTAGTTTATCGATCAAAAGAGGCCAAAACGTGTTTATCAAGCTGCTTTACATTTAATTGAGACAAGTCTTAAAGAGATTTTGATCGATAACATTCGTTACGTTTTAAAAACTCCACCCGAGTAAAACAAACCAAACTGTTTTTAAATGACTGGTAGTTCTAATTCTTCCTGTGATTCCATGAACGTGAGCGTAGTTGTCAGCTGTTCTGACACACAAACTCTCCAGAAGCTTTTTATTTATTTGTTTGTGTCATTTTATAGAGTTCTGTTTGTTTTGGTTGATCTGATTTGGCCTGAATTATTTATTTGACTATTTAGTCCTCCCACTGGCATGGTTTGTTGAAATGTCTTGTCAACGTTTTTGTAGTCTGTTGCCTATTAAAAGAAGACTTGATCCACAAAATCACCATTTATGTATCGGTTATTTGCCCAGTGGTGTCTTGTATCCTTCAGGCCTCCACACTGAACCAGAATGAAAAAACACAACGACAGCAAAGCTATATGAAATAATCCTTTTTATATTTGCTTATTGATTTTGTATCGGCATCGTTCCTCCAGACCTCATTCTGACTCTTCAATTCTTCTCTGGCCGTTTAGTTTTATTTTTCATGAATGAATTCTTCATTCGGTTCATTTCTTTGAATTGTTTGTGTTTGGTCCCACAAAGAAGTTTCAGTCAAAATATTAAAGTCACTCTGATTTTCTAACACTTTAAATTAGCGGTCTAACAAGGCGAAAATGATTTAATATAAAGTATATTTTCTCTTTTAACTTTTTGCACTTTGGTGTGTCATCGCTGTCTCTAACCTCGATGTTGGATGATTTTAAGGAGTGAGTTCTCAGTGTGTGTGTTATAAGGTTTTTCTTTGTGTTCAGCTTTATATCAGTTCAATGTTCACTCAAATAAAATATATGCTGTAATGTTTTCACTATCAGTCTTGTTTGTCTGTTTGGGGCGATGGTCAACTCCCTGGATTTCAACTTTTATAGTTAACGTATTCTTCCCAAATGTTTTCTCTTACAGTTTTTGTTATTACATTTTTATTGGTTGAATATTGAGCGGAGACGTGCTGTTTCACGCTGCTATTGTAGATACTCATATTTGAGACGGTTGGGTTCAATGGCACTTTTTTCTTTGAGGTGATTTTACATTTTGCTTCTGTAGTTTGACTGAAAATATCAGTAAGTTACAGTTTAAATGTTTTGGGTCGAGTTGGTTTTGATGTTTTTGAAGTCTTCTTATTTAGAGCAAGTGACACAAACTAGTTAAACTGGTTTAAAAAACGGAATATGAATCAATTTACTCAAAATTTAGGAATTTAATACCAAAATAGATATTTTGTTCATTACGTCTGTCATCACTTTTATGTGAAGTTTTTGTTTTAAATGATTTAGCCGTTTTTCTTTTAAAGTCTGGTTCCTCTTATTTAATTTCTTTCGTGTTTTTATGTTGATATAAACTATATGTTTTTTAAGTGCAGAAACTTTTTTGCTGACACATTTGGTGATAGTAATTCAAAATCTAAATAGGATTTTCCTGACTACATAAAGGTTAAATTCTAACAAATAAATAAAACTTATTCGTGAAACAAGCATCAAAATCTGTACTTGTAATTTCCCTGAACCCACACATACACACACACAGATACATACACACACACACACACACAAACACACACAGCTTAATCAGGTGAACGTGCTTCAGGTGAGCTTCTCACACACCTGAACTGTGGTTGTATTAAAACCGGGCGAGAAGCTCTGGATGAAGTGACTGTTTTTGTGTCTGATGTTTGTGGAGCTTCCTGACTGAGCTGCTGCTTCACAAACGCACGCAGACCCATGTAGATACACATGTTTTATTTTATCTGGGTCATTAGAGAGCAAAGCTGAGTTCTCTCTAGAGCTCCAGCAGCAAATATGTTTGCTTAAGTTGTCCGGCTTCCACTTAGTTTTACGTTTTTTTTTTTCTTTCTGCAAGCATTTTATTCTCCATAGAGTTGTTTTTTTTTTTTTTAGCTTTCAGGTTTTGTCAAACTTGAGGTCGAAGAGCCATGAAGGAGGAGATCGCTGCCGCCGTGTTCTTCGTGGCTCGACTGGTGAAGAGATATGGATGTCTGGACAACGACAGCAGGGACCGCTTCGCCGCCGCCCTCACCTGCGTCCTGTTTGAGAACTACAAGAACCACTGGCACCCCAACGCACCCACCAAGGGTCAGGCCTACAGGTCAGCGACTCGCGTTTGATTCTGCCCGTCCGTGGCCCCCGTGCAGCCCGCGACTTTCACTGGCCTGACTAAACGTTTGGATCTGTTCAGCTTGGGTCAAACACGGATTTTATTCAACCAAACCTTTTGGAAACTTTTGTAAAAAGAGAGCCGGTGCTTTTTGTCATTTGAGTTCACGTGACGCCGGGCGGCTGAAGCCGTGTTCTGATATCTGCGGTTTCTCCAGGTGTCTCCGTGTGAACCGCATGCAGCTGCGGGACCCGGTGCTTCAGCAGGCCTGCAGTCGGACCCCAGTGCGCTACGAGGATCTGGGCCTCCCCCAGGAGCTGACGGTGTGGGTCGACCCTGGAGAGGTGTCCTGCAGGTGAGGCCTCTGCTTTTTTATTTTTTGCGGCGTGATGCTCAAGTTTGGGACCCTTTCAGACGCCTTTTTTTCTTCACACTCAAGATGCTACGCTGTGTTTCCCATCGCACTTCATCTCTCTAGTGAACTGACCTTTTTTTCTGCTTTTGCCACCTACAACCATGTGCAATAGCTTTGCTCGCTAGCTAGTTTGCTAACTAATCGATATTTCCCTCGTAAATGTTTCGTGATGTGTTTTAATCCAGTGACTTAAAAGTCAGAAGTGAGTTGAAAAATGAGTCCGACTTGTGTCTTTTACGTTTCTTTAATTTGCAGGTACGGCGAGCGGAGCACTCCGTTCTGCGTTTCAATCGTGGACGGCTGCCGCCGCCCGGATCGGGAATTTTCCCGCCGAATTCATGAAGCCGTTGAGCGGGCGAGCCTCGACGTTCCATCGGCGAGCTCCTCGGACGAGGACGACAATGAGGAGGAACGCGACGGAGACAAAAGCGCGAGCAGCTGCAACCTCTCGCAGGTCTGTCCTGCCTCTGTTGCCCCCGGCAACCCCGAGCCCAAATCCATCCCAACGGTCAGCAACCCCAACAGCGTCTACCGGGTGAGACTCGCAACATCCGCTGCACAAAAGTAGAAGTGGCGATTTCTGGGATCCGGTATTTTAAACGTTGTCGTTGCTCTCGTCCTCAGTTCAGCGAGTTTTCGCCGGGCGCCCCCCAGACCTGGCTGAGGGAGAAGAGGAAGGCCTTTGCCGTCGACGCGTTCCCCCCTCACCCTCCTCCCCCACCAGTCGTGGGGCCGACCCCCCAGTTCGCCGGCCAGAAAGGCTTCAAGTCCCACCGAGCCACGTTCACCTTTGCCGGGCCTCGGGTCGACAAGTACCACTGGGTCAGCAAATCCCGATGACCCGCGGGGGGGAAAAAGAGATTAAGGACAATTTACTTTAAAGGATGAGTTTACTATGTGTATGATTTCTAAAGTGTTTATGATGTAAAGTAATGCTGTTTAAGCATGTTTTTTAAAACTTCAAAATATTCATGTATTTTAAATGATTATGCTTCTATGTTGTTTTTATAACTAATATTGGTTGTAGTGTGAATAAAGTAACATTGAACTGTCATTGAAAAGAAATAAATGCGTATTGTCAGCTCTGCTGGTTCTAAAGTCGTTTTTATTTTTATTTTTTTAGTTGATCTCTCTTGTAGAAAGGCACGTTGAACATGACTTAAAGAGCCATTGTGTAAACGCAAGCACTTTAACCGTGCACGCTCATTTTTAATTTAATTAATCCCACACTCCGGCTCTCTTCACTGGCTACCGGCATCTAGTTCTAAACACCGGTGCTCACGTACCACGCTGTGAATGGATGGGGTCCAGCTTCCATCCAGGACCTGGTCCATCCCGACATCCCGACCCGCACTCTCCGCTTTGCATCTGATAAACTGCTTGTTCCTCCTCACTGAGAGCAAAACACTCGACTAGATCACGACTCTTTGCTGTCCTGCTCCTAAATGGTGGAACGAGCTCACTGAAGACATCAGGACCACAGAGAGGCTTCACATCTTCAGACTAAAGACACACCTCTTCAGACTCTACCTCCACTAAAAGACTAACGAATCGTAGCACTTCGATTGTACTTATGGCACTTATCTATTGTAAATTGCACTTGTTTCTTGCTCTTAGTTTGTATGGTTGAATGCACTTCTTGTAAGTCGCGTTTGGATAAAAGCTCAGCTAAATGAAATGTAATGTAATCACAAACGGTAAGTTGTGAACCTGAACTTTGTGCACTCCGATCCGCAGCTCTGACACAAGACAAATGCTCAATGGACACTCAAGCTGTATTCCAGATCACATTCTCTTTATTTTTAGTACATACCACAGCTGCCCTTCTGAATTCTGTACGGTGGTATCCATTCTATTGGTTTACCCTTTCTAACGTTGCACCTTGAGCTATGACCCACTTATCTGCTGCATAAAGGAAAGTGGTCTCAATCTCCAGAAACTCCTTTTTAGACTGCAACATGTGACTAGAATATTTCTGCATTCTAATGGGGAATGAGCATTGAAAGGTCCCATAATACAAAGGCGTCAATTTATTGCTCACTAGTCTAAATGACATGTAATGTAAAACAGGTGGATTGTGCATATTGCTGTTTTTTGGCTTTTAAACATGTCAGTAACACTACAGATGCCCTCTGTTTGGAGCAGGTGGTTACATGTTACACATCACACCTTTTGATGCAATGAACCCCTTTTAGGTAAAGGATGACAAAACACGCAAACAGTTTACATTTGCATAAAATGAAAGGACTATTTTTGAAGAGTTGGAACTGTTGATAATCTCCTAAAATACTGCGATGGTTCATGTTGTCCGATACACCGGAACAAAATCATTTTTCTCATTTTACATTTGCACAACCTCTATCCATCTTTGTTCTATTTGTAAACAGTATTACTGTGTCTCTTTACATAACACCTCTTAATAAATACAGATTAGAGATGAGATACCAGATAAGAAAATGTGTTGTCATCCATCTATATACAGAACAGCTACATAAGGGAACAAAGTTGAGTATCGCTGGTCCTCAGTCCAAAACAGAAAAATGAAATATTCAACAAAAAGGTGCACACGCAAACTATGTGGTGCAAACAGCTGCAAACCCGGCTTCAAACTTCATGACAGGTTCAGTAGATGGTTGTATTAAAATTAGAAAAGCTGTGCAGCCTTTTTAAATAAGAGGATATTCAATCAGATACCCTAAAAGTGGATTATTTACCTGCTTCATCCTCTATTAAAGGTAACTCATATGTTTGTTAATATAGTTCAGTTTGCAACCTGATAAATATGCATGTGTCTGCCACAGTCCACTTTTAGCTTTGTTACTCAATAGAAACTGGCATGTTTTTAAACAACTGCCGTATTTTACTCCTAAAGCAGCTTGAGACATTAATTTTTGTTACTAATACATTTACGCATCAGTAAAAGGTCCGTCATAGCTAACAGGGGGACTGCATTGTCTCGCGCATCGATTAAAATACCATTAAATATCACACAACCGCTCTGGAAGGCGACAAGAGGACGCGAAGGAAGAAAGGACGTTTGGCTACTTGTAGTTCCCTTTATGTCATCAGCAATCAGCCAATAGCGTAACGCCTTTATTCACCTAAGAGAGCTGATCGTCCAATCACAGATGTTGTCGTTGCGACGTAACCTAGCGCCCGCTCACATCCGGTCGTATATATGTTGCCACGAGTTAGCGGCGAATTTGGAGAGTGTCCATTTTGAGCAGCGAGTCGGCGTCTCCGGTATTTTCCCCCCACGAAGTAAGCACGCTTTCTTTTGTTTGTTTATTTATTTAATATTTTGTTTAAATATCGGAAAGCGGGATTCGTTTTACAAGTCGTGGGTTCGTTTTCCTGTGGCCTCTGCTACCGCCCTGCTTTTGTACGTAAAGTGTCCCGATTGTTTTCATTTCATTTAACGTTAGCTCACGCTTGTGATAGCCGCTAACCCTTTAGCCCCCGCAGCGCTAAATACGTTAGCGCTTTTATTGTGCTGATCGAATAAGCTGTTCGTCGGCCGTAGTATAAATAAACCCAACGTGCTTCATGCCGCTTAGTGGAATTTTGCGTTGGAGGTATTTTTACACGGTATTTTATTCACGTCCAACGAGCTAACGGTTAGCTGCTAGCTGGGCCTGCTCTGCGTTCCGAGCGGCAACCGAGCAAAGCGCGGTCCGCTCGAACACCGAACGTAACCCGCTGGATTACCGCTGCTTTTTGTTGGCTAACAAAGCCTTACTGTGCAACCCTAGAGAAGCCTTCGCCGAACAATCACCGTTACGGTGTCGCCTCTACGGCGGTTGTGCGGCCACATACGGAAAGAAAAAGGAAACCGTTGAATTAAGCGAACCGTTAGCAAGCCAATGGACAAAGTGAGCCCCAATGCTCGGCTTTTGTAACGTTAGCTTTGTTTTAGCCTTCGCCGCGATCAGCTGCACGTTGTTGCTCAATTAATACATACACGAGTGGATTTTGAGCAATCAATCAAAACGTTATTGTAGAAAACCATGTAAGAGACATTTATTGCATTTATTTATAGTTCATTGCAGAAAAATGCTACGTAGCGGAATTTGGATGTATTGGCTCGTTGCATCCATGTGAACATCTCCCGCCCCCCCGAAAGATGACTGTTGATAATGTACTAAAGACAAAACTAGGCCTGACGTTTTTGCTAGCTAAATCTACCATAAACAAAGTGTGAAAGAGACCGTATCAGCTCCCCCATTCATACCTCTTCTTTATGTTCCTTTCATCTACTCCTGCATCCTAAACGTTTCCCTTGTTTCAGTCTCGAAGAGCCCACCTCAGAATGGCAGACCCAGAAAATCTCCTCATGGAGACATCGGACCACAATGGGAACGATGGGGAGGAGGACCAGAATGGCGCTGAGCAAGAGCAGGAACAGGAGTTGATGGCAGGAGAGGAGGACTGCCAGGACGGCCTGGATATCCAAGAAGACATCCAAGAGGACATCCAGGAAGATGTCCAGGATAACAACGGTGCTGAGGGTGGCGACGGAGCCGACGGTGGCAAAATTGACGCCAGCAAAGGAGAGGAAGATGCTGGGTGAGTGTTGGACTGTTCAATTCAACGTTTGATTATGTTTTGTGGAAAAAGCAGTTAACCGCAAGGTATCCTTTTGTGTTTACAGAAAAATGTTTGTGGGTGGCCTCAGCTGGGATACGAGTAAAAAGGACCTCAAGGATTATTTCAGTAAGTTTGGTGAGGTATCGGACTGTACCATCAAGATGGACTCAAACACCGGCCGATCCCGAGGCTTTGGCTTCGTCCTCTTCAAAGAGGCCGCCAGCGTGGAAAAGGTGCGTCAAGATTTACCCTTCCGTTGATTAGCAGTGGCATGCTCCCCTATGGAACCAGCCGCCAAGACTAACTCAGTTGTCTCTCAAAAGAACTTTACTTGCATGTAATGTCACGCCATGCAGTTCCTGTCTGTTAGCACTCTATGCTAAACACTAACGTATCTGCAGGTGCTGGAGCAGAAGGAACACAGACTGGACGGACGTCCCATCGACCCAAAGAAGGCGATGGCCATGAAGAAGGAGCCCGCCAAAAAGATCTTTGTTGGGGGTTTGAACCCTGAGGCGACAGAGGATGCCATCAGGGAATATTTTGGCGCTTTCGGAGAGGTCAGTTTGCCAAATAAAATTGCAGTTAAATGAAAGTAGACCAATTTACTCAAAAGAATAAATTTGAAGGGATACAGCCATGTTGTTTTTAATCTTTGAGCCTAATTAAGATGCTGGCTCATGAACAAGTGGCTGATGGAAAGTGAGTACATACTTCCTATGACAACCTGCCAATCAGTAATTCTGGCAATTCCGGCAGGCAGACTAAATGGAGTAATCAATCATTTGCATTCAAATGACTTGCACTATGAGTCAAATGTTGGGCTTCTGGCTGAGTAATTGGACTTAATAAAACGTTTATTTTCCTTTATGGCAGAGGGGGAAAAAAATTGATAAAGACCTTTTTGATCCAACTTTCCAATGAATCTCTTCCTCCTAGATTGAAACCATTGAGCTGCCCATCGACCCCAAATCAAAGAAAAGGAGGGGCTTCATCTTCATCACATACAAAGATGAGGCAAGCGTCAAGAAGTGTCTGGAGAAGAAATACCACACCATCCAGGGCGGCAGGGTACAAACACGCACACTTTGACAGAAATGGTTTGCTGGTTCATGATACTGGCTGCGTTTTGTAAAATCAGCATAATTAAGTGTCAGTGCTTGTTCCACAGTGTGAGCTGAAGATCGCCCAGCCGAAGGAAGTTTACCAACAGCAGCAGTACGGGGCGGGGCGCGGTGGCGGAGGAGGTGGTGGCGGCGGTGGCTACGGAGGTCGTGGAGGCCGAGGGCGTGGAGGTAAGGTTTAGTTTTGGCTTTCCACGACTTTGCTGGCAGAGAAAGATTCGTCGTGACATCACATTTTACTGGCTGGAATAAGATAAACAAGTCTGTAATTTGTCGCCATTGTGTTTTTGGTCTAACGCCTCAATGTGAACTCTCAGGTCAAGGTCAGGGCTGGAACCAGAGCTATGGAAACTACTGGAACCCAGGATACGGTAACCAGGGCTACGGCTACAGTGGATATGGAGGCTACGGCAACTATGACTACTCTTCTGGTTACTATGGATACGGTCCCGGTTATGATTATAGTGAGTACACTGAATGTCTTCATCTACCGTTGAGGTTTCTTAGTTCCTGATAATTTTAGTATCTTCAAACTAAAGTAAAACTAGTAAAGTCTATTTTATATTCCTGTGAAAACATCTCCTTATTTTTACTGAGCTTGAACGAATCATAACTAAATTCATTGTTTACTGTTAGCGTGGTTTAGCCGAGCTGGACCAGGCTGCTAACGGCTAATTGCTAATGTTGCAGCTTTGCAGCAGATGACAAAGATGTGTTGATCACATACATGTAAAAGTTGCTTTCACAGCCTTTCAGAGTTTCACTTTCTTTCTCACATGGCCTGTCTCAAATAATCATGAAGTTAAAGTAGAAGTTTTATTTGCGGCAAAATTATAGGTGTGACTTACATATGGAAGAACACGTATGTTTTCTTTTGAAGCGATTTTCACACACGTGTTGAAAAAGATGTGTGGATGAAACGTCTAAATAATGAAACTCTGACAATAATTACGTTTTTCACATCCATGAAATGTTTTGAGATTTTGTTTTTAAAACATTTTTTTTGTTCGACCGGTGGGTTTTGTGCTTCAGAGGGTTAAGTTGTTTGTCTGACCAGTTTCCCCCCCCCCCACCCCAGCTGACCAGGGCAACGGCAGCTACGGCAAAACTCCAAGACGGGGAGGACACCAGACCGGCTACAAGCCATACTGATCACACAGCGCATGGTATGTCTCTGTACCCACTTGCACAGATTTTATTACTGCTCATCAAAGACTTGAGCAGACTAATGTTGTGATGATGGGTTTTAAGCGACCAAAGTAGATTCTCGGACCGCTGGGCCTTCAAAGCTTGTATTTTATGCCAATTCTGCGAATGGATCTGATATTCGTTGACTTTTTGTAGAGTAACGGATGCGGATATAAACCTCCAGATTGATTATCGTTAATCATAATTTGCCAATGGATGCGCATATCTGTCATGGTAGATCAAAACGTTATGTCTTCACATGTCTAAGGTATATTTGAAGTACTTTTAAGCTTGAAGGAGATGTTTTCACAATAATATCCAATGGAGGTAAATAATGAGCGGTTCCATTTTCCAACTACCTCAAACCACAGCTTTTATTAATTTTAACAGAACTAATAACTTTAGTATTTTGGGACAGTTGATGCATAAAAATAGTCTTGATCCTTCTAGATTAGCCACAATTGAATCTGTACCTCCTAATGTGGATGCTCTTTGATTGGTATTTATTACTAGTGGCAATTTGATAGGATGTAATGCGTGTGTGTGTATAAGTTGTGTGAGCTTTTGCACCTCTAAACATTCATACTCTCGTCCCCTTTAGGACTCCAGTGATCCAGTGAGACCGACGGCTGGATGGACACACTGGGCGTAACTCGACCTCTTTTATGACAGAAGACCATTTGTACAGAAAACATCTGAAATGTAACTTTTTTTTTTTAATCCTATCATTTTTAGGTTTTACTTTTCCCTTTGGTGTTTTTTTTTCCTTTTTTTCGTCCCCCTTCCACATTTCCATCAATGGAAGTGTAATTTTTACTGTACTTTTTGGTACCCGTTTTGATTCTAATGTATTGTAAGGCTTGTATTTTACATGTTTGCTGGCTTTACAGATTGAAAATCTTGGCGCTGTAAAGGAGCTTTTTTGACAAAAATAAACAATTTTCAGTAAATTTTTGTTTTGGCGGGCGGGCTCTGATGCTTCCAGGTTTCAGCTGGTGGGTGGGGTGGAAGATGGTTAGAAGTTTAGGATTTCATTTCGGTTGTCAACGTTGAATTTTCTCTTGGTCTTTTGTCGCCCCACAACCCCAATGATCTGTTGTGAAGGAACGTGCAACATGACTAAAGGACTGTTTCACGTTCCCTCATTTGGTAACTCCCCCCTCCCCCCTACTATATGTGGAATCCAGTGCACCAAAATGATTTTAACTCTTATAATTCCTTAAATCTGCAACGACTGCCTGCACGCTTATTTCCAGGACGTTTTGAATTCACAAAGGTATTAAAACATCTGAAAAGCTCACAAAGAATTGGGATGTGGGTGAAGGCTGAAAACAAATAATTCGACCTCATGCTTCTGTGGCATGATTTCCTGTTAAGTCTACATACGTTTATACATAACAAGCAACTTGTTTCAGTTTCTCTGCTGGTTTAGTTTGTGTTTTGTCAAGTGTCACTGGTTTTTTTAGAAGTAACCGCTTTGAAGTTAAATGTCTGCTTAGGTTTTCATTTGTTTTTTGTCTTTACAGACTTTTCAGACCACTGGAGTCTTCTCGACTAGTGTCTCTGGCAATTTATTAGTAATAAACATTCTCCTTTGTATTTGGTGTATTTTTAATGTTACTGTTAATCATGGTTGGGAACTATATTTTCTTATGAAGTTCTTAATTCTTCTGGACACAACATTTGTTTCCCGCTGAAACATCTGTACTCCTGACGTTGATCGGTTACTTTGACGAAATGAGTATGACTAAGATTAGATTGCTTCAGTTATTGGGAAGGCTTTAATTGCTGGTCAATGTGCATTTGGGCACGAGGTTGTGCCGTTTAGTTGATATTAAGCAGGTCTGTAAACGCCTGAGTAATCGTCCTCACTAGAATACTAGTCCTCCAGGTTTTCAATATCAGCTTTTTTTTGTACCTGAGGTACAAAAGCATTCAGTTAATTTTTCTCAAACCTGGAAGAAACCTAGCAAGTATAACTTCTTGTGTCATGACAATTCTAAATTTTTCCTGCACATATGTCGCCTGGGTACAAATTATGAACGTTATTAAAACATTAAAGAGCTAGACTTTATCTGGCAACAATGGCTATTGTAAACAACAAAGTTTTCGGATAAACCGGGTCGCCACTTTGCCCAAGACTTCTCTAAGGTCGATTTTCAGTCCCTTTACATCAGTGACCCTAAGTTTTTAAACAGAACAGTAGTCATCAGTTTCCGTAGTGTAGTGGTTATCACGTTCGCCTAACACGCGAAAGGTCCCCGGTTCGAGACCGGGCGGAAACATGTTTTGTCCAACTAATAGGCCTTCAATCACCGGCCAATCAGAGGAGGACCCCGGTGGGCGTGGCTTCACTTCAACAGGTTTCCCATCATGGACGCAGGTTGGCCGTGACTCGGCGGGATACGCGCACGTTTGGGCTTCATTACTAAACCCGGAGTACCAGAATTTTCAGGTAAGAATTCAACTTCAACGTTTGCTTTCCAATAATCTGTCAACGGTGGACTGTATCGATGACGTGGTCGTGGTAACGTCAGTATAAACGTTATAACGGTATCTCGTGACTTTGGCTTTTTAGCTCTTTTCCGCAGTAACACTCAGACAACGAACGGCCATTATCTCACGCTGTAATGATGGCCGAAAATAATAATAGTTATCTCTGGATTCTGTGTATACTTACCAACGTTAAATATTAAAGCTAACGTTAGCACAGCGTACGCGATGACCTTTCATATTTAAGCTAATTGTGGCTCATGACTCGGGCGTTGGCTAGCAACTAATTAACATAAATTTAACTAACGTTAGCTAACTTAACTAGTTATGGTAATTTAGCTAGCCAATTAAATTAGGATTTTAAAGTGTTTCATTATATGTTTATGTTTTGTCGAAGGAAGTAGCTCATGAATTTAGTTCATATTTAACGATGTATGAACGGCGCTTTCATAGTGACACGTGTTAGGCCGTGTTCACACAAAATGCTAAGCTAACTCCGAGATGTGCCCCCAAGGTTCAAACACATGTCATAAAACGGTATTATGAATTTGGTATCGGTAGTATAATATTGAGGTTTGGTAGGTTTGGTCTTGTCTGATAAACTCTCGAGTCTAATTCTCGAGTTTTCACTAACAAAACCATTTCATATCAACCAGAACTGAAATCATTAGAATTGACTTCAACATTACTTTTAAGACAGCTCTGCTAACGTTATCTGATATAAAACCCGGCCTAACACGCTGGCGCACCGATTGTTCTTGTAAAAAACGTTTTGGCTCTTCCTCGCGTATCATCCGTGTTAAGTTAGGGGGTGAAAACTGCGTCTCCCGGACGGGAGAAAACTTGTCATTAATATTGAAACTGCAGGTCAGCCAAAAGAGAGGATTGTCACAAACACTACACGGTGTGTTACTCGTGTCCTCTAATTATATAACGTTATTTTATATACAGTTTTAGGGCAACACATTAATATAGTATATACTAACGTGTATATTAAAATATTTGAGTCATACTGATCATGATAATGATATATTTTGTTATTTTAATAGTTCTCTGACATCTCACGTTTAACGTCTCCTTCGGCATGAGAAGATGCTGCAGCGCAGAATGCGGCAAAACACCGCTGCACTGCCACCTGCTCGGCATCGGTAGAAATACACTTCTGCAGAAGTTTTATTATTACTAACAAAGTCAAAGAAAGTTGTCCATAGATTTTGTGCCCGTCACACCTTTTCAATGCAAGCAAAACACCCATTGTCTGGTTCACTGCTATATGATACTAACATTAAACAGCTTTAGTGGTCCATCCATCCATTGTCAAACCGCTGGAGTCTATAGATTCAGTGGTGATCATCAATCGTGTATTCACATGCCTATGAAATTAAAACCCAAACTTATATAAATATATATGTCCTTCCTCGTTAGTATAGTGGACAGTATCTCCGCCTGTCACGCGGAAGACCGGGGTTCGATTCCCCGACGGGGAGAAATCTTTTCTTTTTCTAATTGTTCTAAAGTTATATTATCAAAATCCTACATACTTTAAATATTTCTTTGAGACCAAATATTCTTATCTGCACTATTATTTATTATTATTAATGTATTTTGTGCACTTCTGAGCATGTATTGTTAAAAATGTGTCCAATTTTCTCCATACAAAAAAAAACTCAGTCGATATACCGTTGTCCTTTTAGTTTTGCATTAAATTGGATTATTTTCTCTTTTGATTGCCTAGAAATATGTCCAGCACGTACTCTGCCTTTTGTCTTTTTACCCCCCACGCTTCTAACCCTGCGTAGTTCAACCAAAAACACTGTAGGCTGCGAACTTTTTGGTGGCCATTTTGGATACCATTCTGTTTTCAAAATGTTTAACTCATCTATATGGCCCTTTCTCAATACCTAAGACGGACAGAACGGACTTTCCGTTCCCGCGAGAATAGACTCGGGAGACTGACTCGGGAGTCCTGGCTCACGGGTACGGGAGAACGGAGAGAACGGTAATTTCCGCAATTGGAACAGCAGCTGACTAAAGCCTAGTTTATGCTTCTGCGTTTTCAGAGCGAGACGCAAGAGCCCCTTGCGTGTCCCTTGCGTGCCTTTTCACACCTCCTTGCGCGCTTCGACCCATTTTTCTAGGCTTGCGTCGAAAGCGACGAGAACAAAAGTCCACACAAGAACGCCTATAAAGGGCCTGTATGTCTACATCCCTCCTTGTTCATATGATAGGGCTACAATAGGCTGTACAATAGGCTGTAAACGTTTTGGTGGCCATTTTGGATTTGCATTTTACCTCATCAGTGTGTCTACATCTGTCCTCGTTAGTATAGTGGACAGTATCTCCGCCTGTCACGCGGAAGACCGGGGTTCGATTCCCCGACGGGGAGAAATCTTTTTTTAATTGCTAAATCCCATATACTTCGAATATTTCAACTTTTAGGCAGTAAATTGCCATCTTTGCACTATCATAGGGCTACAATAGGCTGTAAACGTTTTGGTGGCCATTTTGGATTTGCATTTTACCTCATCAGTGTGTCTACATCTGTCCTCGTTAGTATAGTGGACAGTATCTCCGCCTGTCACGCGGAAGACCGGGGTTCGATTCCCCGACGGGGAGAAATCTTTTATTTTACTACATATTTTCAATATTTTTAGCCATTTGGTGATTTTAAAAATGTACTTTTGATGCAAAATTAAAGTTGTTTTATTCATTTCTTAGTTATACGGGTGTTAAATCTTTATCTTTCCCAAAAATTACTATTGAAAAAATTTGAATATATAAAAATGCTGAATTTTTAAAGAGATAGTTGAGTTTTTGAGTTTTTAACATTCTGAAGCAGCATTCCAACAACTATACTATGCATTTCCTTCTGAAAATGCATTGGATTGCTGAACGCCAAAGCTGAAATTATTTATTTTTAAATGCTGCAATACAGATATGGCAGAAGCTGAACTTTCCAAAAATTGCTGAAAATGAGAAATATATTTAAAAATACAGAAATGAGAATCTGAAATGATTTTTTTTAAACGGAAATGGGAAAAGCTCAAATGAAATTTCTAGAATTCTAAAAATTAATACATAATAAACAATATTTTTCTAGTAAAACAATTAAACTGAAGTGATTATTAACAAAACAAGCGCAGCCATTTCTGGCTTCAGTCCTGCTTTTTAAGGTAAAACACAACTGCCGGAAAATGCTGCCTCCAAATTCTGTTTCAATATTTGGGCCATTGTGATAAACCAACCAGACCACTGGATTGACCTGTTCCTAGGCTTAGGATAATTTCATCGTTGATCTTTATATAGGATACCAATATAATCTAAACAACCTATTTCTTGTTTCTTAATGTTTTCTGTCAAAGTAAGATTCACACAAAACAACGCTGCCTATCTTCTTTTGTTGACAGTTTTATGTGCTTTTGTTCAATGTGAGCAATCAGTGCTTTGAAAAAAATGCAGGTTTAATACAAAGGGGAAAATAAAATGAGAGATGTCCTGATACCATTTGAGTCTTCTCAAGGCCTGAACTATATCTCTACCAAAAATGAGTGCCGATCCGATTCAGTCTGTTAATGACAATGAAAAATTAAATATGTCATAATTTACTATTTCATATGAAAACATTTTCAAACAACTGCATTTATTCAAGTTTCTTGCCAAAAACTAAAAATGGCAAGATTACATTAGAAAACCTAACAATTTGCCTTTACCCATTACCCATTTTCTCTGAGAGTAGCTTGAACGCATGATTGAACTTAATTAGCCGATTAATAACATGGATGTCAGATCGTCATGGTATCGGAACAACTCTTAATGTACAATGCTTTAACTTCTCCAGAATCATACCATTCTACAATTAAATACAATTTACTAAAACAGTTTGACGTGGTCAACCTTGGACTGTTAAGGGAGTTAATAATCCATCAGTAACTACTAGTTCATCCAGATTATATTTAGAAACAGTAAAATCTCATACAAATACTATCCAATTCCTAAGGAACTCATTATTATTGTTTGCATGCTAATGAGCTGGCTCACACGTGATGATGCTAATAACAATATGCACGTTTTACATCACGCTTGTTGAAGAAAAAGCATTTGGATAAAAGCAGACTCTGTGCCATGCGGATCATTTCTCTGTTCATCAGAGATGCGTGTGAGTGGTATTCCTGTTGCTGCACATGCTTTGGTAATAATAGAATAAAAGTCACAATACACTCAAGGCCGATCTCCACTGTAATACTGAAAAATACAAGTGTGAGCGAGTAGAGTTTTTGCAAAACACAAGGAGAAATCAATTTTATTTTGTCCTTAATGTATGTCTATTGCACTCCTGTCCTCTGAAAGTAAACAGGCAAGAATACTATTTAATGTTTTAGACTATCTTTAATATATATGTGGTCTGTTGCAGTTAAGCTTTACAATATGAGCGTTATCCTCACTTAGGTAAAAAGTTTTCATCCAGAGGGAAAAAACATGAAATTGCCCCAACTATTTTAAACCTCATCCAAGAGCATTGGTTCATTGAAGCAGCAGTCCAGCACATGATCCCCCAAGAAATAAGTTAAATATTTGTAACGATGAAGCAAACAAGGTACAATGTGTCAACCAGAAGGACAGTTGTAGAACGCCGACACGGCCACGCTCGACTCACTACGTCAATGAAAGTAAAAACAACTTGGTGTATCTCCTACGAGATCGGGACCCTATCCAAATGTAAGGGCTTCGTCCTTTTCTTGCGCAGCAAGTTTCATAAAAATCATACCAGCAGTTTTAACGTGAACTCCATGGCGGCGAGCGTCTCTTTTACCTTTGGAGAGAGCCAGCTAGCTCTGTCCACCCATTTCCAGTTGTCATGCTATGCTAAGTTAACTTTTCCTGTGGCTACAGTAAGTATGTTATTCAGTATAGGGATGTAAAAGTGGTGTAATTATTAAAAAACTTGAATGCAGCCAGATGACAATGTATTTATACATTAAATGTGCCAAATATTAAATAAAATTTCCCACTATGAAATAAATTCTAAGTTAGCAGCTACGTTAGCAAGTATGTAAATATGTATCTTTGTAGAAATAAAACTAGCTATGCTTCACATTAAAGACCGTTCTTCAGTGTTACTTTTTAATATGTACACGTATGAATGATAAAAAAGACTAATAGGTTGTTACAGGTTTGACAACGTGGGTACAAGTTTTTTTTTTAGCTAGATTGTTGGCTCTTTGAATGGATCAGAGTCCTCCGCATGCAGCATTTATCCTCAATAAAGAATATTCCTTTGCCCCTCAGACTGTTTCTTTGTTTTTTCACCATTCAGAGTTTGAAAGAAATGTCTGCCCCCACACAGGAACATCTATTAAAAAAAGGAATATGGCTACATCACTTCTTATGTATTGTGTTTTATTTGTATTGGGCCGCGTCTAAAATGTTTGTGGAGAAGAGAGATGTAGATGCATTTATTTAAAAAGTCAACCAGCTTAACGTGGGAGTTCTTACTGTGACTCAGTCTGAGAACAAATACAATCACATTTGAGGGAAACGACTGACATGCAGCCAACACATCCTGGAGAGTTTTTCACAGCCCTGAAAATAGAGCTGTAAAATATTTCTCAAACTAAAATCACACAAGAAGTGTAAAAACAAAGCAGGTGTATTTCCCGTGCTATTTGATTGTACATTGTTATGGAAAATTATGTAATAGCTTAATTTACCATAAGTGTCGACAGCAGATTTCAGTCTAAAATCTATCTTCAAAAAATCTGTTTTCTTAAAAACAAATATGATTGTTAAAACTTTAAAAAACAGCGCAATGGTTCATTTCTAAGGGTTGGTTTTAGTGATGACTGTGGAATGTACCTATGGGTATAGTGTCGGTGTGTACAACCTATAGTGACAACATTTAATATTTATATTGAGTGGCAAAGCGTTCCTCTTGTTCCGGCAGTGTGAATAAAGCGTTCATGCTTCTGTCTTCTTATCTACGTGTCTTCATGCAGGTTTCTGCTTTGCAGTGTGTGTGAGGGGGTGGAGGGGGTTTGTGTTTTTATGTGCTACACTGCCTCCAGTCAGCGGCTGGTTGAACCTCCAGCGGCCTCGGTGCAGTTCATCTTTCCAAAGCCAGGCAGCGTGACGCGTCCATGGGTGTAGATGTCGCGGTCAGGCCCCCGGTTCATCCGCTTGACCAGGTTCTTCTCGTACAGCAGAGGGTGGTAGGCGCCGAGCGTGCAGGCAGCGTCGTGGAAGCGCTGGTAGTAATGACAGAGCTCCGTCTTCCTGCGGGACGGCAGGAACTCATAGACGTGCACCACCTCGCACAGCGACATCATCAAAACGGTTCCTGAGCCGGACACAAGGGAGAGGAGATCAAGTTTAACGATATTGGTGTAAAACTTTTATTTCCACACCATTTTTTTCTGTGCATCGTGTCTTTTTGTTGTCTTTCTGATGCCGCTTTCTCCCTGTCTCTCTTTCTCTCTCTGCGCTAGTCCTCTTGTACCCTGAGCCGCTCCGGGGGTGTGTGGTCCGAAAGCAACGCATGTTGCGTTGCTTTTTGTTAACCGTCTAAAGGCTGGCGCATTCGTCTGCGTCTTTGCGCACCATCGTGTCAAACCACTCGTTTCAATTCATGGTTCTAAAAGTCTTGCGTGTGTTGCAGAGCAATTCACCGCCAGAACAACAGGTGGAGTAACGTGTTTTGTTGAAGACGACCTAGAGAGTCACGTCTTTGTGTGTGGAAGTTATTTGTTTGTTTTATTTATTTATTTATTTATCATAGACTTTATTGCCCCGTGCATCGACACTGCTGCTTTTCATCACGGACACATTTGTCCCGTATTTTCCTCCACAACTTTGTGGATGGGTCGACGCACGCAAGGTGGTGTGAAAAGGCACACAAGGGACACGCCAGGGGCTCTTGCGTCTGCGTGTTCTTGCGTCGCTCTGAAAACGCAGAAGCATAAACTAGGCTTTAGCTGTGTGTCAGCATTGGAGATGAAGGCGCGCCACCCCAGGGTGCTCAACTGTGTTCTTTTTTTTTTAACAGTCCTCTACTGCATTCCTTTACTGTTGTCTTCCAATGTGTTCTAATGATAGTGTTGATGTTTTTAATACCAAGCAGGCCGGAGGAGGGCGGGTTCTTCTGGATGGGCTCGGCCATGTTGTCCTGTATTCGTTGCCAGACCTGCCACTCAAAGCGAGGGTGCAGGATGTAGAAGGGCTGCATAGGATGAAGCTTCCGGTATCTCTGGTACTGAGTGAAGATGGGGTAGTCTGTCCTGTTGTACCACTGTAGAGGGGGACACATAGGTCTACGGCTGAGAGGAGGTTTTCAAACTGTGACGCATGTTCAAAAACTAAAGGGCGAAGTGAGGCAAAAGATCCTGCTGAGCTAAATTAAAAAAATCGAACTTCTCCTTGGGGTTAAACGATGTTTGTCATCCTTAAAGGTCGTTCAGTAATACTGATGAAAGGTTAGAACATTCTAGCTTGTAAACGTCACCTGGGTGAGATCGGCGGAGAAGGGGGCGGGGTCCCAGGCCACCAGAACACCTGAGCTGTACAGAGAGCTGGACAGGAAACGATGGTCATCTGACGCCATCACCTAAGAGTTAAGTAAAATATGAAGAGCGAGTTGAAGAGCGAACCCAACGCTGTGACCTTTAGCAGGTCAGTGTGTTCACCTGGGAGTTGATGAGGCGGATGGTGGTTTTAGAACCGACATCTTTTTCGTAGCCGGTCGTCGGCGCGGCGTTGAAGCGCAGCACCGCGTCATGAGAGTCTGTAAATGAATAACGGTTAAGACGTGTTTTAAGAGAATTAGAAATGATTCGGAAGCTACAGGAGTCTAAAATCAAGAACCAAGAAACTGTCAAGCAGTTTCTACCCACGGGCCATCGGCTCCTCCACAGGACAACCCAAATTTCTAAAATGATCTGTAAAACGACAAATGAAATATCACACCTATCTCTTTGCCAAGGCCGGAGTTGCGTAGCGACCCTGCAGACGACACCACGGCACAACTCCTGTAGGGCCCGAGGTCGGAGGTCAGGGTGTTCGGGGGCAGCTGGACTGCCCAGGACAGCGACGAGAAGGGCTCGAGGTCATTGGTCAAAGTTGTGACCTTTACCTTGTCCCTCAGCTGGCAGAGAAGCTTTGGACCGCTCAGCTTGGGCCTGCTGGACACTCCGCCAGGACCCGAGAACTCCACTCCGTACTTATTCATCGCCTGACAGAAAAGTAGAACTGTAACTATCAACATATTGAGTGAGACTAAATCTATACTTTGGTTCCTGTTATTATTATTATTTGTGAATGATGTTGTTGATCATTTTATTGATACTCAATACTAGCTAATACTAGCATGCTCTTAAACCGTGCACAACAATATTTAGAATAATCATAATTCAGTCACCTGATAGTTCTGCACCACCTTCCTCAGCCTGCTTCCCAGCATGCTACTGGACATCTCGTCATCCCACACCTCTCCCAAAAGCCCGTGAGGCCCGAAGAACTCTGCTTCCCCCACTCTGCCGCTGAGCTCCCCCCTCCGCCGGCCCCCAAACAGGGTCTCCAGCGCCCGCGTGAAGGGGCGCGGCAGCAGCCGGGCGAAAAACCCAGGTGGGTCTCGCTCCTTCAGCTTCCGCTTTGCCGGCGAGTCCACGGCGTCGCGGGTTTGGTTTGGAGAGGAGAGGACCGGGATTGGACGCTGAGGGTCGCCGGGGACGACGCCCGGGAGCTTCTGAGGGTCGATGTACATGGGCTTGGCTCCCCCTCGCAGCACCTGTGTCAGAAGGACGGTAAGTTCATGCGCTGTAGGTCAAACACAAAGATCCCGTGTTCATCAAACACCCCAGTTAACAGAATCACTCTTAACCAGAGACATTTATTCAAATTGGACTTCTGACTTTTGTTACCATCATTTTCTCACAAATTTGCCAAACTCAGGAAGTCACTCCGACATGTGTGAATGTTCAGATGAGTTCCGTTAGCAAAAGGACAAATGTTTTTGCAACCCTTGATGGCGCTAAGCTTTGAAAACATCATTTTGACCAAAAAACTGAAACATCCCCGAAACCAGGGAAACGTGGCACAAACTAGTTAATCAGTTTTGGGAAGGAGACACAATGCAGTGATCACTCATCTCATATGTGTATGTTAGCCTGGTAATTGCAATAGCTGGGTTTGAATCAGTAGAGTGGGCATAACTTAAACAATATGTAGAAATTAAATAATTAGCTTAAATGGCAAGATTAGGACCTGAATCAATCAAAAATACCAACTACACTCTGGGTTTCATCTTACATGATTGGCCTGCTGGTTTCATGAATCTCATATCGTACTCTGCATTGCATTTCATTGATTCTGGGATGCTCGTGTCATTCTTTTTCAAAACCGACGTGCAGCGCGGCGACAGACCTTGACGACGGAGTGTGCACGAGGCTGAGCCCGGGTTCGCGCCCGGACCCCAAAGATGGCGTCGGTGACGGGCACGCTGTTTTCGGCGCAGATGGCGTAGAGCAGAGCCATGGAGATGCAGAAGAAGGCCATGCAGAGGACTCCGCGGCGAGCCCGACGCCTCAGGCGCCACAGCAGGCTGACTCTGTCCATCGCCGCCCCGGGGATCTGCAGAGGACGCTGGGTGAGTCTTTACAAACACAAACCGTGTGTTTGACCTGGGCTAACGTTTTCCCATTACTGATATTATATTATTATATATATATATATATATATATACTGAGTTAGGATTATCTGTTCTTAGTTGTGTTCTTTACTTGCATATATATACTAATTAATATAGACTATGTGTATATTAATGAATAAATATATCTGAATTGACCAATGACTACCTAAATAATGAAGAGAAATAAATAACGTTCAAATAATTTACCAATTGGATTAAATATTCATGTTTGAATCCGGTTTTCACATTTCATGTGAAGCTTTGGGCCCCCACGTAGATCTGACGCTGAATTTGATCTATTTATTGATGGATTAATAACAAATTATTGTTAGGATTTACTCTCATTTCTTGTTTGAATGTCAAATAATAAAATACATGGTAATTTATTTTATAAATTCAATCATTATTTTGAAATGACATTAGATATTAAGATGGTCATCATTAATCTTGTTGTTTTCTTGTTTTATGCTTGTGTGTTTTAAATATATATGTCAATATTTCTATTTGTTATTTTATTTAGTTTATTAATTATTATATGAATTCCTTATTGCATAATTAGATATCATTGGAATAAAATGATTTATAATAATTCCAGTCACACTTGCTGTCCTCTTGTTTTCTCTGTATTACCACTAGATGTGAGGGATAAAATATTTTTTTGTAATTGGAAACAAACCTTTTGATATGACCTACTTCCCAAAAACACAAAATGGAATATTATAATTGAGTCTTTGTATTTGAACACAAAGAAGCATAAGGACACGGGATCATGCCATCGATGCCTCAGGCAATGAGTGAAATGAGGGAGAAATAGCAGAGAGGAGGAGGAAGGTTCATTAAAAGGTTGAAACAAAGGAAAGAGACCTGGACAGAATGGGCGTCCCATTACCGGAGGGCTTTGCCCTTTTATCCCACAAGACTTCTACAGCCGTCACATTTAATGGAATTAAATCAGTCTGGCAAAAGGTGAAATAACATTGAATGACAACTTAGAAACAACAATAATGTGAACGAGAAGAAGAAAGAGAAAATCTGTTATTCGTGGGACACGGTCATGAGATTAAAATCATCATACCGCATGTTAGTACAGCTAATACCTTGTATTATCACGGGTACCTCAGATTGGCACGCACTGTAAATATGTGTATACCATATGGTACAAACCCAACTAGTTTTCCCTGTTGCCAAATGTCAATAATTGACATCAGACCCATTTTGCTGCAATAGAGAACAGAGAACTTACAAAATCAATATGTCCCTGCTTTGTTATGTCTAAACATCCAGCAGCTGGTCCGATTTCAGCCAGCGCCGCATGAAGAACGGCACGACAGCAGTTTGATCGCAACACCTGGTATAAACAAATCCCTATTTTGTATCCGAACGTGTCTCTTCTCTTTGGAGGACAAACTATAAGTGTGTCACATTTTCTCATCAGCTTCATTTGATTTGATTTGGACCAGAGACGTTAAATCAATTAATCTAGTGGAACGACTCTTTCCACTCTCGATTGATTCATAATAAAAGTCTGAACATTTTGAAAAGAAATTTCATATATTTTGGTGTATTGTCACATAAAATAAGACAAATAAAAGCGGACAAAGGTCACAACTTTATTTTTTCAAGCTCATCCATTTAAAAATATTCTCACCTTTTTTTAGAAACAGGCGCGGAAAAATGCACGGCTCGTCAATGTCACACTGTACCACAGCAACCTATAAAATCGGACTCTGCTACTGCTTGTGAGAGGTCAGGACTTCGACTCAGGTGCAGAGCAATAAGGCAACGAAAAACTTCTTTCCAGGTTTGGAACCTTTTACTTGCAGAATAAATGAATGCGATGCAAAAGGGCAGCACAGGCGGACTCCACACGCTCTTGTAGAAACAAAAAAAGGAAAAGGGCCTGGCAATGAAGTAAAAACCAGGAATACCTGACTACAAACATGCAACTCGCGGAGGGACAAAAGATAACCTGACACGGACAAGTGGGGGGGGGGCTTACATACAAGTGGAGGTAATTGCAAACTAAACTCCGCTGTGGGGAGAAACTAAATTTGATCGTGATGCTGAACATCTGTCATCTGGTCCTGTCGGTCAGTCACAGATCAACGTGTTTTAAAATTGTCGATGAGAGCAGGGGATGTAAAACCGGACGGATAAACAACCAGCCGGGCAGATTCTGCCGATCGGTCTCTGGCCGAGACGCAAACTGTTATTAGTGGATTCTTTTTTTTTTTTATCCATTAGAGCAGCTTTGAATCAATAGCGACTCGTTGGAGGTGGAAGCTGCCCACGCGGCGGCGGACGGGTTTGACGCCTGACGAAATGAAACAACACGGCTTCGGACAGATGGTGCAGTCACCCGATATCTGCTTAAAGAAGTAGCCCTAAAACCACATGCACACAACCACACGCACACAAGACCACACAAGCAGCCAGAGGTGTGCATGATGGACGGGTTTATGGAGCCATAAACTACTGAAGATTAATGGAACGAGTGCGTTGCTGCAGTGCGTGTGTGCGTGTCTTAATCTGGCCTGGCAGTGTGAGAGGGAGTTAGATTGTTGCGTGTCTGTAAACACGTGTGCGCCGGCAAAGCTCTGAATCAAAACCACAGAGACGGTCGATTGGTTGACTGCTGTCGGCTGCAGGATGACATTTATGCTTTTGGCCCACTAGAGCGCCGGATCCAGCTGCACATCTTGCTCTCTTCTTTTAAACCAGAACATAAAAAGGGGAAGTTGAATTAAGTTTCGAAGAACAATTATCACAGTAAAACAAAACAGAATCCACCCGTCCTGCTCTGGGTCCAATGCATGTTAACGGAAAAAATAATAACGTAAATATAACGTGAAGCAGAGATTAAGGTATTCTGTTGGAGGTGCGGGACAGAGGGGCAGATGAGTGCAGTTAATCTGAGAGATTAGAGTCAAGGCTCTACTGTGGCCGCCTGCACATCTCATTCATTAAAACGCTTCAAAACGCTAAAGCGGAGGAAATGTTTTTGTTTTACACACTGGACTTGAACGGTCAAAGCATTTCCATTCATTCCGTGGTATGTTTTACATTACTACATCTCAGAGGTAGACCTTTTTTTTCACTGTACCGCTGACTGAATCATTTGTACTATTTAGAGATACGGCGTTCTCACTAGAATACGACGCATAGATGAAGATTTTATAAAGGAGATAACGTGCAACGAATGCATTGATGCAGCAGGAACATCAGGTAGGACAGTAAACATTTTACTGATTAATACTTTTAACTACATTGATCCACGCCAGTGATGCCAATGCAGCGGTGTCCTGTGTAGTGGAGTATCTTAAAGGTGCTGTATTGGTACTGTGGTGCAGCAGTGGGTGTGCATGCTTCACCCTGCGGGGACGTTACCTTGTAGCCCATGGCGAGGGCGGCACAACGCGCTGAGGTGTTGTTGATGCTCAGAGAGGGACTGATGCCTTCAGGTTCCCCCTCATCGCCTCTGGACACAATTATAAGTTCATATATAAACAGTCAGCTTCCTGCTCCACTTGGAACCTTTCCCCTCTTTAACTTAACAATAAAAGTCACTTTTCACGCTTTTTGAGACATGAGAAAATTATAATTTGAGGTATTTGTACTTTACTTGAGTTGCTTTTTTTCATGCTACTTTATTTGTGTGATTCATGCTTCAGGTTATAGTTCATCTTTAATGATCTATGCTTTTGCAAAAACAATAGTCTCATGCTTAAAATTCTTACTTTGACACAAAACCTTCTTACTCCAAACTTCTCATTTTAGCTGCAAAACAAAGTCTGGTTGGAACATTTACTTTAAGAAATGAAATGTGTACGTTTTCTCTAACTCTCTTCACTCACTCATCCCAAAGATCTTTTACCGACAGAATCACACTCATTTCACTAATATCAGCCTTTTAGTTCCATCTGGTTTCATCGCCATTGACCTTCAGCTTCTGTCACTTTCGTGATTGTAGCTATACAATTGTTGCCATCATTTTCAACGAAATGATGCAGTAAACACATCTTAACCGTAATAAACCCTCATCACCACCCGAATCCTCCTTTTTCTTTAATCTATCCCACAAAGGGGGAGTTAAGAGTGGAACATAACACTACACAAAATTCTGTATTTTATAAATGAAACAAACCACTATATTAAAGGCAGGCCATCATCAGAAATCAGGCCGCAACCGGATCATTAGCCCACGCGGAGATCGATCGACTGATGGATCAATTGATAAGGAGATGGATCTCTCTATGCGTCGCCGTCCCGTCTGCGTTTAGCTCATCTTCGGTGTGACGCCGATGCTCGCTGACCTGTCGCAAGTGATGCTGCTCACGCGCCGCCGTCCTCTGATTTATCTACCGCTCCGTTCCCCCGCAGCTTGTTGTTGATGTTGTTGTTCCCGCCGCCATGTTCCCGGTGAGTACCGCGCGTCGCGGAGCCGCCGCCGTCGCCGCCGCCGTCGCCGCCGCCGCCGTCCGTCCGGTGTGTCCGAGGCCGCTCTCGGTTGTCGGATGGCATTTGGAGAAGTGCGGACCCGAGCGCCGCGAGTCTCCTCTCGCCTCTCCTCCACCGCACCGAGAGTCAAGTTAGCGACAGGAAGAGGAAAGCGTCTCCGTCCCGGGTTTCAGAATAAGAGCGCTAGCGAGCGTGCGATGGTTTCTTATGTAATGGCATGAAATATAATGTTAAATTGCGTAGGACTACTACGTTATTTGTTACTGTAATGTACAATATCATGTGAAAACTAATGGCTATATTGGATTTTAAGTAGATTCTCCTTTTCCAGACTTCGAAGCATGAACGAAACATAAGTAAGCATAATAGTGGGTCAGTAAAATATTGGATCTGCAAAATGATGGCTTTTACTAAGTTATGTTATAATTTGAATGCAGTAATTTAACAAAACACTTACTGTAGTAATGATACTTTTATTCAAATAAAACCTTGGCTAATCCATATTTTTGTTACATATAATGACGTAGTGGTTTTATAAATTTTATTTTGAAGGCATAGGAAGATCGCATGATGTCCTGTTTGACTGAATTCTGTTAAAACTGACGAATTTATCTGCAGCAGCCAAGACACGTACCTCCTCTGCAGAGGAGGCAAGATGAAGAAACACAGTGGAGTCAACTCGCCATTCTGTCCTTTGTCCTGTATCAATGAATGATCATTGACCTCCTTCACCATTATACGATGAGCATATTGCTGCAGCACTGCTTGTGTTTAAACAAGCTGCAGGCGGGATTATGTCTTCATAACCGTTTTTTAACTATTGTCCACCTCACTTTAATTTTGCTATTACGATACTTGTTTACTCAACATTTTATCTCGTTGTACAGTTTTTTTTACAATTGTGTTAATTGCCCGGTAGAAAATATTGACTGACTCCGTATTTAACCGTCATTGCTGTCTTTGTAGGATGGTAAAACAACAAAAGAGCAGTTCCCTGACCGGGAATCGAACCCGGGCCGCGGCGGTGAGAGCGCCGAATCCTAACCACTAGACCACCAGGGACAGCTGTTGTTGTTGTACTACACTACTGTACTAATAGCACAACGTCGTGACTTGGTTATTTTTACGTGATATGTCCACATTAGACTTTTCGGCTTCAACTATTTGCCTTGTTTCATCGTCGGTTATTGTAGCTAAAAGTTAAGTTGGCTGGCTGGTCAATTTCTTCCGTATACAACACCGCAATGCTTCACGTTATCGACGTCTAAGAAGAAAAGTTACAGGTAACGTTTAATTAACATGCCTTCTCCTAGCTGACTAAGGTAGCAAAATCTCTCTAGCATGGAAATACAATTAATGACAAAATGTGTCGTCCGTATTATACTTGATATACTCTGGACTGTGGTTGTGGTATGAAGGACCTCGTGGCGCAACGGTAGCGCGTCTGACTCCAGATCAGAAGGTTGCGTGTTCAAATCACGTCGGGGTCAAATATTTTCGTTGTTTGTGTTTATTTTTTCCAGATCCTTGGAGTTCATCCGAAGATCCGCATAAATCATATTGGGCATGGCGGCCGATGGTTGTAACATTCATTTTATAGAAGGAGTAATACCACGTTTATTAAGCCCATTTCTTCAAGCACGTTTCTTAAGTGTTTACTTCCTTGGTACTTTTTACTACGTCTTGTATTTAGACTGTGACAACATGTATCCTAGACACCTTCACCCTAATTTGTGCTGCAGGTAGTGGAGGCTTTTTATAGACCTAAATTGTCTGTAACTTTCTCCCCGCTTGTGTGCAGAGAAGAATTTGAGAAAAGAGTGTAGGTATGAATTTTGTTTTTATTACATATTTATTAAGCAAATAAATATCTTCCATGCTCTGAAACATATATATTAAGGCTAAATCTAAATCTCTAAGCCACTCATTTACTAAATAAAACCCTCATAAATTAATGAGAAATACAATTTATTATACAATAAGTTCAGCATTGACGAGAATAAAACCTGAATATGAAAGAAAAACCTTTATTCTCCAATATTATGAAGTCAAACACAGGCAAGAAGAAACTCTCGTAAAACAAATTTATGACAAAAAAGTAATCTCAAGAAAAAATGAACTCCCATGTTCGTCGTGACCTCATCGATCTGGTTAAATTGGTTTAATTTTTTTCTTGGTTTGATTGCAGTGGACCCCCGGCTAGCTGCTGGACCCGCGGGTGCTGACTCTCTTGCAAGTGTTGTCGCTGCAGCGCTGCAGGATGAGCTCGGGACTCGGCCGGGCGGGGACGACCGGAACCTCCTTCCCCGTCTCACTCTCCGAGCCGGACGTCTCGGGAATGTTGTCTGTCGGTCGCAAATCACACCGCCGTTAGCTGTGGTTTCTGTTTGGATGTTTCCTGAACACCTCCTACCATTTGTCTAATCCTTAACTATACACGCATATGTTATATTATACATACAGGTAGATATTGTTGTCATAAGCTCTATCACAGCTTTGTTCGATATTGTACTATCTTATCTAAGCTGCTACCGGTCTTAACAAATAGGTCAACATCATCTGCAGACATCACTTTTTTTATTTCAGTACCCCTCCATCTCTCTCAAGGTTCAAAGTTTTCGGTCGGGAGTTTGTTAAAAGCTTCAACCGGACTTAAGTGATTGTGAGAAACTTGAGATGCATTGTCCCCCCCTCACGACGCGTGTTTTCGTTACCCTGGTTCTTCCTCTCCCTCATCGGCGACTTGGCGGCGCTCCTGGGGCCCCCGCTGGGCTCGGCCGGGCGGCCTGCTCTCTGCTGCAGGTAGCGGCGGCTGTTCCTGCGGTAGGAGTCCTGGCTGAGCCGCTGGCGAGACTTGTTGTGGATGCTCTTTGCGTTTCGGATGGTGGACCTGAGACCCGGAGGAGGACATGCAGTTGTAAAGGCGCATCGCTCATTCAACTCTGAATGTTTTGGTTCCATGAAACGATCACGCTGAGCAGTCTGCGGCGTACCTGCGAGGCGGTAGCTTCTGTCCCTGCGGCTTGGTCCTGTCTGCGTCGTAAATCTCTCGCGTGCCGGCCTTGTGCAGGAACATGGAGGGGAAATGACCGGTCTCTTCTCCTTTCCTGTGAAAATGTCCACATTTACTAAGATTCAAAGATTTTTATTGTCAATTACACACGCCCCGTGTATTGAAATTCTTGTGCTCGCCTTTTCTGGAAAGCAGACCAATTTTAAAATAAAAATAAAAATACAATATTTACATAAATGTACAAGAAATAAAAATAAAAATAAGGCAGAAATGAGGTAAGGGGAAAAGTGCAAAACTGAGCAAAAAAAATTAAATAAAATGTTTGCAATATAAATGAACAGTACCGTAACAGTAAGTGAAATCCTAACAAGCTAAAGTGCAGTCGCAGCTGTGACTTTTAGAAGGTCTCAGAGGGGCAGTGGAGATGTTCAGAAGTGTGGTGGAGAAACAGATATCTGGTAAAATCAGTTAAAGAGTACACTATATTTTTAATATTTTCCCCTCTTTAATTTATGTTGTCTTTAAAGACACAATACATGCAAACAGAAGCAGTCATTAGAGAACACAGCGGCTGCTGGTTTGTCGCTGCCTTCATCTGAGTTTGTTTATTGTTTGATTTTGGTGAATCGAAATTAACAAAAATCAAACTCTTCTTGTATTGAAGCTTTTCCTGTTTATTGAAAACATAACATGTAGAAAGCTTTTTTATCGGTTGCCGAGTTAACAGGCGAACATGTTATCAGTGATATTTTATAAAGTGTTTCCTCACTGTGTGTGTGTGTGTGTGTGTGTGTGTGTGTGTGTGTGTGTGTGTGCGTGTGGGTGTCGTACCTGACGACCCACCAGCCGTCCAGCAGCTTGTGAATGACCGTGATGGTTTCACCGAGCTCCAGAGAGATCTCGTCCTCCTGCTCCGCCGTGTAGGCTCTGGCCGTGACGAAGCGCTCCCCTGCGGAGACACAGAGACGCCGTCAGAAAAGGCCCACGCCGCGTTCCTCGATCAACGCACGACGGGCCCGCCGGCTTGCCTTCGTAGTTTGGCTCGTCTTCCTCGGCCTCCTCCGGCCCGTCCAGGGGCTCCAAGTAGGACGCAGGAATCCAGCCTCGCTTCGACTCGTACTGGCAGAACCACCAACCTGAGGGGCGACAGGAGGACCTCAGAACCTGGACTCGCCGATGGAAGAAGGAATGTTTTTCACGTTACAGTTGCTGTGAGTGACTTTTATTCTGTGGGGATTCTGGCGGCCCCTGTGGACGAACGTGGTCACTGCAGCAGCGTCTGACTCCCAAAACGCGTGAACATTTCAGAGTTTAGTGACACGAGATGATTGATTCTTCGTCACATTGTTTCAAGTTAATAAGTCACATTTCCTCTGGTTGTTTGGAGTCTTTCGTGCGCGTTTCTCGTTTCAGAGCCGAACTCTTCTCACCGTTCTGGTTTTTCTCCACAATCTCCACCAGGTCTCCGGTCTGCAGGTTGATCTCGTGTTTGGATGTCTTCTCGAAGTCTGCGATCACTCTGTAGGTGTCTAATATGATGGGGCCGGAAATCACTGAAGAAGGTAAAAGAAAAACCACAACGTTGCTTTTCATCGCGTCAAATTTCCCAGGAAACAAAAAGTAAAACCGCAGCAAAACAGAAATATTTGCAGTGGAGCGGTTTTGGAATCATTCTCACCGGACACGTTTCCTCTGGCCAACTCGGTGGACACCACGAAGGTCTCGTTTTTTTTCAGCCTGAGGAGCAAGCGGCCCTTTATTTACTTGCACTTGCATGCCCAGTTAGACTCCATGGGGATGTAAACGTGTGGCCCTGTGAGTCTGTGTGTGTGTTTGTCTGTGTGCACTTACGCGTTTGGGGCCGCGGGGTTCTCGTCCTCGGGTCGGACGGCGAGGAAGTCGGCGAGGTGTCTGCTGCGGGAGATGTGAGGCGGCAGGTTGACGAGCGAGTGGCAGTACTCGGCCAGCGTGATCTGTCGGGTTTCTGGAGACTTCTCGCTGATCAGCCACCGCGGTGCTGAGGACGCAGACGCGAACCACGTGACTCGCCCGGGGGGCGCCATTTTTACACGCGAACATGTGCTCAATTTTCTTGGAAAA